TCACTTTAGCAGCCCAGACGGCTGAGCAGAGGCAGCCAAGCATAGAATCCTTTGAGCACCCAAGGCAAGGCTTTGAACCCACAGGGAAGGCGCACATGCAAATGGCCTCAGGGTGCAAAGACGGTGGCCTGTGTTCAGGTATTGGCTCAGAAAAGAACAGAGTTCAGCTGGCCTGGGCCCAGAGGTGACCTGGATACAGGCTCAGAACAGACTCCAGCTATGGAAGTAGCTCCCTGCTAGGGCACTTGCCTATCTTGTGCAAGGCCCTGGGTTCCATTCCCAGCACTGCAAAAGAGAGCAATTTTAATCAAGTAATTACAAAGTAAAATGCAAGCTCAGAATACTATAATACTATACTAATGAATATTCTCTTGGTTTTGGCCACATAATCCAGGGGAATTTCAACCCTCCTGGGGACGTTTGGAAATGTGTAGGGCAAACCTATGGCACACATGTCATTTTTCTTTTAAAACAAAAGTTCTTTATGTGTGAGTTAGTTTTGTTCTAAACTAAAGCCTTAGGATTGAGGTTTCATTGCAGTGTTGTCAGTCTGTCATAAATAAGTGGGTTTAGGGTTGCAGTTTGGGCACTCATCTCTAAAAGTTTGCCATCGCTGGTATAGAGGTGTTCTTTCTTTTTTTATTTTTTGTGTTTTCAGAACAGTGGGTTGAACCCAAGACCTTTTCACTGAGCTACATTCCTAGCATGTTTTGTTGTGTTTTCTTTTTTGTTTTGTCTGAGCAGAATCTCTAAGTAGTTCAGTTTGGACTTTGAATCCTCCTGCCTCAGCCTACATATTTAAACACAATACACAATAGCAATAATCACTTTGGGGAATTGGTACATGCATATCACATATTTGCAAACCCTTTACTCCCTTGTTACAGTTAAGAACTAAAATGTTCCCCCAAAAGCCTCATATACTGGAAGATGATTAGATCGTGGGGTGCTATACTCATCACTGATTTTTTTTTTTTCTTTTTGAGACAGGGTCTCACTATGCAGTTCGGGCTGGCTTGAGCTCACTTTATAGCCCAGGCTGGTCTCAAATTCACAACGATCCTCCTGCCTCAGCCTCTTGAGTGCTGGAATTACAGGGAGGCACCACCAGGCCTAGACTTTTTGAGTCTGGCTTATTAAATCTAGCTTGATGGTCTCGAGTTCCAACTTTTTCCTGCAAATGGTATGATTTCATTCTTTATGACTGAATAATATTCTACTGCATGTCTGTACCATTTCTCCCCTGCCACATTCATCTATTGACCAGCATCTATGATGGTTCCAGAGTCAGCAACTGTAAATTCTCCACCATACATGCAGGGGTGTGTGTCACTATTAGAGATGTTTTTGACTGTCACAATACTGAGGCCTGCTGTCAACTGGGGAGAGGCCAGGGATGTGACAAAAGTTCTACAGTGTTCAAAACACCCCTGCCCACCGCCTCACACAGTGCGCTCCGGTCCAGGAAAGGTATTTAGACAGTGCTGCACATGAGAACCCTTCTGGGTCTCACCAGCTATGCTTTGTGGCTTCTAGCTCTGCTGATCAGGACCCCAGGGTCCTTGAACTCTTTAGGGGTCGGTGGCTTGGGGTACCATCACCCCGCTGGACTCACCGTCTTGGGTGGTGAAACAGCTCCAGCCCGCTTGCCCGCTCCCTGCCTCCTTCCTCCTTCCTCCGCTCCTGCCTTTTCGAAGTTGCCAAATTCAGTGGGAGGGGCTGGGCTCCAGGCTCTGACCTGTTGCACACCTGTGAGTTCCCCAACCCGTATGAAGACTGCCCTGCCTCAGCCAAAGGCATGGCCGCCTGGAGCCCTCGGAGAGCAAACGAGCAGTAGAATAAGGAAAGCACTCCCGCTGACCTTTACCTTTTTTTGGATATGTGTAAGCATCCCAGCAGCCCTGGGGGAAGGACAGAGAAGCAGTCTACCTTCCCACATCCCCAGAAAACAGCTTCAGAGACAAGGACGAAGAGGTCACTCTAGTCGGGGAAGGCTCTGGGCCTGGAACCCAGGAGATGCCTGCAGTGACCTCGGACAGAGCCTACTGCCTCTCAGCCTCTCCTCCTGGACCCACCTGGACCCTGCTTGCTTTTCCTCTGGCCCCACAGAACTTCCCACCATTCCCAGAAACACCCACCATCTCCTGACCACAAGCAAATATCCCTCCCCTCCATCCTGCTGTTGAGAAGCCTTTCTGCCCAGCGCTCCTTGAAAACTCCTACTCATTCTGCATAGTCCAACTCCTGTCACCTCCTCCACGAAGCCCTCTGTGACTCTCTCAGAAAGAGTCAGACCTGCCTGCCTCTGGGCTTCGTTCACCCCTTACCCCTGGCTCACAGGCCAATGAGTGTCTAGGGCAGGAGTCGGGTTCTGTTCCCCCGGGGCCTGCCCTGTCCTGGTGCAAAGCAGGACTCAAATGTTGGCTGGGAGAATGGAATGAACTGAATGAGACCCAGTCTCAGAGGCCAGGGTCCTCAGGGCCTCTCAGCCCAGGCCGCAGCCATGCTACCCTTCAGTGCTCCTGTGAGAGGCAAGCTGGGCTTTTGGCCAGGGCAATGGTCCTGCGGCTCTGTCTCGGATGCTCCTGGCCATCCTCTGGTCTCCACAGCCAGAGTGGCCGCCACAGGCACACTCGCTCCAGCCCAGACTCTAGGCCCTGAGGAACCCTGGGCTCCTCACACTCTCCCCTCTCTGTGTAGGAGAGTGTGCTCCGGGGAGGGCTCCGGGCCCTTCGCTTCCCGCAGGCTCCAGTTGCCTCCTGACCCTCAGGACCACCCCTCAGAGCCGGGACGGATCCCCTCCAGGCACCCTGGCTCACCGTGCAGCAGCTGCCACTTCACTGCCCCCTCCCCAGGGAGCTGGCAAGGACCACCAGCACTTGAGCAAGTTTGCTTCTGTGTTTATTACCACACATCTAGGTTCTCTTAAATTAAACAGTTCAAGTGGGCGCGCATCTGTGTTTCTGGGAATGCTGCCAGCAAGAAGGTACGGCCCCTCCTCCTGCCCCCAGTCCCCATCTTGTTGGTCCTGTACTGGGCAAGAGGACACCAGTCAGCCATTCACTTGGCAATTAGCTTTTGAGCACATACTGTGTGCAAGACTCTGCTTTGGGCACATTAACCCCTCTTGTGCCCACCCTCTCTTCCCTTTCTCCCTCCATCAACCCATCCACCCCTTCATACGGTGAGTGCCACATCCATCTGGGGTCCTCTCATGTCAACCCAGAACACTGATGTATATACAACAGTGTTGATTCCAAGAGTCACCAAAGGAATGCTCAACACTGTGCTCTGATGAGAATGTATACAACACAGATGAGAATGTATACAAAGCATAGGTGGCTTTTGGAGGAGTGATTGCAATGAGTGACAAACAAGAGGGTCAGAGGTCAAGGGCCCCAACTGCAGGCAGAGCAGCAAAGCGAGCCAAAGGATGATTGAGCCAGAGTTCGGAGCTTGCAAGTCGGAAAGCACTGAGTGAGTTAAGAGGCTCTTGGTTTGCTTGAGAGTGGGGTTGTTTATGGAAGAGCAAAGGATAGAAAATAAGAAAAACAAGCATCCATTTGGGAGGGCAGAGGGCTGAAGAAATAAGTCTGACACATGTCGGGGTGTTCTCTGGTCAGGGCGCCCATGATTTCCAGAATACCCTCGGGTTCCAGACATCTAAAAGGAAGCTTTTGCCAATTAGCTTTCCCGTGGTTACGACTCAGACACATCCATACTAGCAGAAACATGGTTTGCCTTCTTTAAAAGACTCCAGCACAATTAGAGCAGTTTGTGAACTCTCTGGACACTTGGTTTATCCATTCTGCATTGCCAGCAGCCTTAGGCAGGTACCCAACCTCGGCTCCTTCCCAGGAGAAACAGGAAGGGAAACAACTTCAAAGTAGAGTTCACAGCCAAGTGATCTGTGACAATAAGCACAAGGCAATTACATTCCATTGCAGTTATTAAATTTGGGGAAAACAAATATAATATAACATAGACATGTGTAGAGAGGTTAAAATAAAATGAAAGTGGAGGATAGACATAAAATTTGATGACCACAGGTTTCACAGTGCCTGCCTTAAGAGACAGTATTACCTAAGTGGGGTAACAGTGCTGAGAAAGGTTGACACTGGCGATCTGGGGCTGTGAGGAGACCAAGGGGTAAAGGGAATTGCAGCTTCCCAAAGCCACTACCACCTTCCTGTGCAGCCAGCCTGTCCCCGAGCTTCACGAAAAAGTGGAGGTGGTGGGCAAGGGCTGGGGAATGTGATCAGGGCTTTAAGTCTTAGCCTGAGCATTGAGATTCCCAGGCCAATAAAAAACTACTTCCTGTGTACTCCACAGGCCACTACCATGGCAAAGCCAAACCCCAAGGGGAGCTCAGCAGATGCCAGCTACTGGAAGTGGTTACTTTCTTTTACTGCACACAAATGCATGAAAGAATGAGAAACAGCCGTTGGGATGGTGCCACTAAGTGGACAATGAGCAGGAGGGCCCTGTTGATCATATAAGGAGGGCTTTAAAAAGAGGAAAAAGCCAGGCATGGAGTCGCATGCTTGTGATTCCAGCACTAGGGAGACTGAGGTGGGAGGATCACCGGGAGTTCGAGGCCAGCCTGGGCTCCCTAGAGAGGTCCTATCTCAAAAAAATCAATCAATCAATCAATCGGAAAATGCGAGGAACATCTAGCAAGAGGTCCTCAAGGTGCCTAGCAGAGTCCCTTTTATTACATGAATTATCTGTGGATTCCAATACACAGGTCTAGTGAATTTCAAACAAAACTTAGTAAAGCCAAGATCAAGTGTTACAGGAAGAAGACAATGGTGAGCAGGGGAGCGGTATTTCGAAGAGGACAGAGAGACGGAGTCAGAAGAGGAGGAGAAAGTCCGGCGAAGTAGACAGTCCAGGGTGACCGTGACTTCAAAGCTGCACTACCAATTTACACCAGAGGGGGCAGAGCTACTGAAATTGGGAGCGAAAACGCATATAAGATTCTTGACTCTTTGCAGACACCGTAGCTAGTTCCCTCCTCTGGGAGGGTTTAACTGCCCGGAAACGGAAGCTTCGTTCTTTTACGTTGGCTTCGCTTCTCGCGGGTGGCTGTTCTTCTCTGGCTGTACGCGGGAAGAAGGGATAATCCAGGGCCATCCGCAGTCAGGTGCAGTTTGGGGGCCTCGGGTTTGCATCGAGGGTGCAGAGGGGGAGGGAGCATGACGGAGCCGGTTTTTCGGGGAAGGAGGGAAAGTGGGGGTCGCGGGCGGTGCGCTGTTAATATCGAGGTCGTGTTCTCCGCAGGTCCACGTCCGCACCATCCGAGCGTCTCGTCGCCATGGTGAGTAGCACCCCTTCTGGCACCCTTTACGAGGGTCTGTGGGGGCTGCAAGATATGGTCGTCTTGTGTCACTAGAAAACGTGAGTTTCTGGGCTTTGTTCTTCCCGTTTTCCAGCCTCGGAAAATTGAGGAAATCAAGGATTTCCTGCTCACAGCCAGGCGGAAGGATGCGAAATGTAAGTTCTTGCTCTAAAGGCCTAAGCGGAGCGGGTAAGCAGGGGGATAGATCCGTCGCTCTGGTGCGCAGACGAGTCCGACCTGCCGGCCTCGGGGCTGCTGCGGTGTCTCCGGCCCGGGCGGGGCGAGGCCGTGTGAGCGCGTCCCTGGCTGTCATATTCCCCCAAGAAAAACCTGTTGAGCAAATGGGAAGGGATGAAAGTGGGACTAGGGGCAACTCCTTGGTGTAATTTTGAACGTCCGGTTTTGTTATACATGCAGTGGATTCTTCTGAGTGGAATCCCATTACTGCATGAAAGTCAGACACACTGAGTTCAGTACTTAAGTGTTCTGTTCTGGACACTGGGTGAGCTGAGTACAGTGTTGACTGCAGTAAACTTTTTTTAAAGTTAACCGGCATCTGCTTGTGTTAGTTTTCTGGCTTGCAAATGAAGGAGAAATGGAAGTAGTGGATCAGAACTATAAAAGAACAGGTTTTCACTTGCAGATCGACTTCTGCGGCCCATGTTTTATTTTTTACACCAAACATGGGAAGGAGCTATGGTCTTTTGTTCATGTGAAGGGATATTTAGAGGTGTAGGTTTATTAATATCAGGAAGTCTTGAGTCAGCATTTTTCTACTAAATGAGATACCCTTTGACTTCTTTCATATCATAGATATATCTTTCAAAGAAGCAGTTGGTTTACGGTAATTTACGGTTTGGGCTGGCGTGTTAAATTCTACTGTTTCTAACTAAGGGTCATAGGCAGGGAGAATCTTTGAATGACCTGTAGGTTGAGGCCAGGGTATGATTTTGCCCCTAGTACTCCAAATAATCCATTGTTTTCTATCTTGTGGTAAGACCTGACCCATAGCTGTGGGGACAGCTGGTGGTGGAGTGCTTACACACATGCAGTTAGCAGGTCAGTTTTAGATCCAGCCATTCAGATACTGCCTGTTCAAATGCCTGCTCAGCCAGTAGATGGCTGTTTTCAGTAAGTAAGGTGTGGTAAATCCTTTCCTTCAGTTTAGTGGAGTGCTGTGATAAGATTGAATCTTGATTTTCTATCTCACAAGATTGGTGCAAAGATCAAATCGAATATTCCATTAAATCTCTTACCAGGCTAAGAAATAACAAAAAATCAGATTCCTTTGGGCTGTCTAATTAGGAACCTGGCTTCAGATGATGTGGCTTACAAAGGTGGGGGTCATGGTATCCTGAGCATAACGCATTCAGTAGTCGTCTGTTAAGCACCTTTTTCTTATTTACAGTATTTGGGAATGGGCTCTTGCTGTGTTGCCTGGGCTGGCCTTAGACACTTCTGCCCCATCTGTCTCCTCAGTAGTTGAGATTACCATCATGCACCAATGCATCCTGCTTTTTTTTTTTTTTTTTTTTTTAATCTTGATAAAATACACACATGGTTTACATTCTTGGTCATTGTCATCAGTGTACCTGTTACTGACTGAGATATTGACACCATCCAAGCAGTGCCATCTGTCTCCAGCGCTCCTACAAAATTGAAACCACCGTCCCTTAGACACTGAACTCCCCACCCGCTTGGCAACTGCCTTTCTGTCTCCAGATTTGCCGGGACCTGTATAAGTGGAATCATGGGGGGGTTAGACTGGCTGGTTTCACTTAGCATGGTGGTCTCAAGGTTCACCTGGGGGGTATTTGTCGGTTCCTGTGGGTGACACCCCATTTTGTTTGTTTATTTAGTAACTAGTGGGTTGCTTCCACTGTGAGTGTTGATGAACAGTGTGCTGTAAACGTGAGTGGGTGGTTGGTTGTTGGCATTTGTTTTCTGTGGTTCTGTAAATTGAACCCAGAGCCTCTCACACGCTAGGCAAATGCTCTTCACTGAACCCCCTTCCCGGCCCTCTGTGTAGATAGGCTTTCTGTTCATTTCCATTCTTTGAGGTTTACACCCAGAAATGGAACTACTACTGGCTGAGATATGGTAATGGTGAATAAATGTTCTTAAGAGACCTGTGTGTCTACAGAAGTGCTGTTCACCTTAGTTTTCAAGAATACACTAGCCATTAAGGACAAGCAGTGTAGTTAATGTTAGAATTCTAAAAAACTTAGCCCACATGAATAGATCCAGGTATCTGGGTATATTGAAGATTTGAGGGTAACCAACGCGTTGGGCAGGCTGTGAGCCCCACAGCGCTTCTGCTTCCTGTGAGGTATCTCATCTTTTTAGCAATGATTGGCAGAAAAGGAGTTGTGGATACACAATAATCTTGTGTTCTTCTGTGCAGTTAGGTGCTCTGTGCTTGTGTGTCTCATTAGGTGGTTGGGTTGAAGCCCCGGACACTTCACTGCATTTAGAATACTGAGTTGTTGGAAGTGTTTCTGTTGGAACAAGAGATTTGACTGTGTAATGGCTTGCATACTCCTGCGGAAGTGCACTTGGGCCTCTTTATCAGAGCTGTGATCCCAGAATAGACTTTAGAAGTAAAAAAAGACTCAGAAAACTATATCTTAGGAGAGGCTGCATATATGCCATATCTAAAGGAGTGAGATGGGTCGATACCCTGAAGGAGGAGCTCTGTAGTATTCCCCAAGTGTCAAATTCTGTGCAGAGGGGATTTAACTCAGTGGCATAAGCACCTGCCTTGCAAGCAGGCAGTCGTGGTACCGATAAAAATGAAAAAGACCAAAAAAAAAAAGTCAGTGCAGAGAATTGCTTTCCAGGAGCAAAACTCGAGAGTTCTTAATCCTAAAAGATAACCTAGCCCTCTTGTCTCCTTTCCCTTTTAAGAATTAGACTAGGTCAGTGCAGAACGCTGTGTGCAATGTTGTGTTCAGCATATTAAGTTCTTGTGTTTTACATGTAAACCTGTTAAAATTGAATACGCCCCAGGCTCTGAGTTGGTGAAGGGAATGTAGATTTCTGGTGCCAGTTTAATTTTGAAGTGGACAGTACAGAGAGATAGGAGCTTCACTTCTGGCCAGTGATTGTTGATTGGCCAGTTGCAGTCATGTAAGTGCCATTTTGTGTGTGTGTGTGTGTGTGTGTGTGTGTGTGTGTGTGTGTGTGTGTATAAAGCTTGTGAACCCTGATAGTCGCTTTCTGTGATGACAGTTGCTAATTCTGTACTCCTTGGCAGCTGTCAAGATAAAGAAGAACAAAGATAATGTGAAGTTTAAAGTTCGATGCAGCAGGTATCTTTATACCTTGGTCATCACAGACAAAGAAAAGGCAGAGAAACTTAAGCAGTCCTTACCTCCAGGTGAGTGAGCTCCTTCCTGTAGAAACTTAGTAACTTTTTAACCAGAATCTCATGTGAGCTCTCTGTAGATTAAAGAACAAAACTGGGACAGGCAACATGACTCAAAATGACTTCCATCATTTCTCTTTTCCTCTAGGCTTGGCGGTAAAGGAGCTGAAATGAACCAGCCAGACTGATTGAAGTACATTAAAAAGCTTCAAAAGTCTGATGTGTCCTCTCGTTTTAAAAATGGGCAGAAGGTGCTTTTTAGTAGTGGGGGTAAGGGGTGGGTTTTGGCTGCTACTTTTCGTGTCATGAATATGGGGCTTGGATTTCAACACAACACCATAAAAAATAAAAAGATGTGGCTAGATCACAGTGTCAGTGGAAGACCCAAATTTGGGGACCAGTATGCGCTCTTGAGCCTTAAAGGTAGTGAGGCTAGCGTGAGTGCCTTCTGGTGAGGGAGGAACTGCCACTGCTGGTGAGTAACTGCAGGGTGAAACCTTGCATCTTCGGGATTTAGTGGTGGTGGCGTTGCAGCTTGCATATACCCTGTTAAACTAGTCCTTAGATGCAGCAGTAGAACTTTTTTAGGCTGGCACTTGCATGGCAAAGGACTCCAAAAGAACCGTAGAGAACACAGGCAGTGTGTTGGCCTAGCATGTAGTTTGGGGACAGCCATTGTAAGTAATAGGAAATACCAGAAAGAAGGAGAAGGTACAGAGACCTTGGATGAAGACCAAGACCATTCTCAAATCCAGTTGACATTCAACAGAGAAACCCATTTCTCCAAAGATCAGAGCCAGCATCTAAAAGGTGGGCAGTTCTGTGGTAGGAATGGAGGTGTGGATGTTTGAACCCTGGCGTAGCCAAATCCAGCTGAATATGAGAGGACTAGCCAGGCCTGTTTGCTTGGGTCCTGGTGCTGGCAGTTGGTAACTGGATATCTTTTCTCCATTAATAGGGAAAATAGCCGTATTTAAGCCTCTGCCACTGGTTTACCAAATTAAATGTGCTAGTGTTAAGTTTTAAATAGTTCAACAACACTGTAAGCAAATAGGCAAAGTGGCCATCGGTTATGTTGGGACAGGCCACCAGGTGGCACCATGTTGCCACAGATAGTTGCCTATAAATAATTTAGAAATGGCTTTCACTAAAATCCATTTTAAGTGTTAAATACTGGGGTAGATTTATTTATATCCCTGCTTTAAAACAAAACACTGTATTGGTATTACATTAAGTGGCTAGCATTACTGTAATGTCACATGTACAAGGCAGTTCCAAATGTCATGAGTTTATTGAAAGATGGGGGCTTTGTTTACTCCAGGAAAAGTGACACATGGCTGGGGATTTAGCTCTGCAGCATAAGCACCTGCCTTGCAAGCATGTGGTTGAGCATTCAATCCCTGGTACCAAAAATATTTTTTAAGAAAGTGACACATGGGCCACTCAGTAGTTGGTGGCAGATACAGAAAATGTGTCTTTAGCAGCTTTCCAATCTTCCATTTAAACAGTTAGGATTCCCAAGGGAGACTGAATTTGTTCCTTTGGCTTTCTTTGTCCCTGACACATTGTCTAGAGATTTGCCTCAGCTCCTAGGAAACAACTTTGCAGGGATTTGTAGGGAGAAGGCTGCCTTTCCCACCCTGGCTTGTGCTAGCTGACTCCTGAGATTCCAATTCAGTGAGAATGGCTTGAAGCACTCCAGCAGGTGTCCTGTGTCCTTGGCTGACCTCTAGGGTAGGTGCTTCTGGGGAAGCAGAGAACTCATAGACAACTTTCAGTATTCTAAGTTGCACTGCAGTGCTGTAGCCCAAGGGGAGAGCCCTTGAAGTTAGCTGCTTCAAAGTCCTGCACAAGTCTGCGCCAGCTCCCTCTAGGCCAGGTCTGTCTGGAGTTCTTGCAGCAGATTCAAAGCCAGTCCGAAGGTGACTGCCTACTGCCTGCAAGGCAGATACCTCCCACTGGGACTCTGGTGTCTTGTCCTCTGATAGCTGAGGCACTTGTACAGGTCCATTGTGATTCAAAACTCTAGAGGAAAAACAAATGCTTGTAATTCAATGAATATTGGCTGGCATTGGACTCCTTCATAGCAAGGAGTGCTACTGACCTGGAGAGGGCAGCGGGGAGGTCTAGTTCCCAGGGGACTACCTGTGATTGGCCCTTGTTTGTCTCCCCAGTGAATTTCACCCTTTGGGTGAAAAGGCATAACAAATCTGACTTCCTCACCTTCAAAGCCTCTCCTATATTTAGTACACTGGTCTGCTGGATTCTCCTTCCTGCTGCTCAGACCTGGCATCAGTACACGCCAAACTTCACCCCTGCCTACCCCCGTCACAACTAACTCACCTGTGGGTTTTTTTGAGAAACATTTCTGGCCCTGGCTCAAAGCTCTTAAAAGCTAAATAAGCACCATGCAGCTTCAAAGCTGACCCTGTTTCCCTTAAGACACAGGGCAGACAGAAACTTGCATGATTATTACAATTCCCCAGAACAGTGCAGAAAAGTGCAGTTAGTGGAAGAAGGCCTATGAATGAGGGGTCCTCCGGCTCCCGGGCCTTCAGCCTAAGAGGGGAGGGCTGGGCTGGGCTGGGCTGGGCTGGGCTCGAGGGTGTGCCTTGCCCTCCCTCTGGGGACAGGACGTTTCCAGGGAGTCCTGACATCCTAGCTGGAGACACCTGCCACATTTCCTTTCTCACCTGTGGCCTCTCATCACTACACCACACTGGGCTGGCTGCCCTGCACTGTCTCCAGCCAAACCATTCCTCTCGTCGTCACCCCCTTGCCATCTCACAACACACCCTTTCTCCTGCTGGCCTTTACCTGCCCTTCACGTGCTTCCCACCTGAGCTCCTGGCTGTGTTCACACCAAGCAGTCCGCAGTTACGGGATGGGGACTCTGCTGAGGACGGTTGCACCCAGTAGTGGCCGTCTCACCCCCCAGCAGGCTGGCGCCTCACATGTGAACCGTGTCCGGATCCATGGAAATGCCATGCTCAGGAGCCCGGGCTTCTGTCTGCTCTCTTAAGGTCTCAACGTGCCCTTGGGCGGGCTTCCATGCTCTTCGGTCCCCATGCCCATCCTTCCCACCCTGCCCTGGGACACTCAGGCTCTTCCTCCAGGATGCCAGCCTGTGTCTTCTTCCAGGAGGAACTAGGCCACCTCTCTCAGTCCCCAAACTCTGGGTCCCAACTCCAGGTGCTGTGCCGTATGGGCAGCATCGTTAGCCACTGGAGCACCTGAGTCAAGAGCTATCCCGTTTCTCTGAGTCCACATGGTTTCCATAGTGGACGCTCGAATGAAGGACTAAGGCTAAATCTAGACGGAGTGCCCAAGTCCACTCACCTTCTCAGGCCGTGACTGCTACTTACTATCCTTGATTTCCCATAAGACACTGTAAGAAGCCCGGGCACTTAGAGGCTGCACTCACTTCTGCTCCTTTCGCCCATTGGCCCAGACACCCCAGAACAGAAGGTGCCGACCTTTGGCCGGAGGGTGGGAACTCAAGGGCGTGGCCTGGGGCGTTACCTTGCCACGGAGGGGCGTGTCCTGGTCTAGGGGCGTGCCTCAGGCCTCGGAGGGGCGTGTCCTGGGGCGGCGCTCAGCGGCGGCTCCGCTCGGTGGCAGCGGTGGAGGCGGCCGCAGCGCCGGGCTGCGCTGGGGCTGAGCCATGTCGGCGGCGCGCGTGGACTACATCGCGCCTTGGTGGGTCGTGTGGCTGCACAGTGTCCCGCATTTCAACCTGCACCTGCAGCCGGTAGACAGCACCTTCAGCCCCCGCGACAAGAGTTACCAGGAGGTGAGCCGCGCGCCCCAGACCCAGGCCACCGCGCCCTGCGCGCAGCTCCTAGCTCGCAAACTTCCCGAAGCCTGTTCGCTTTCCCTTCTTTCCGCTTTTTCCCGCGACTCCTGGCCCTGCGGCCCTTCCTGGAGGCGCCTCGGTGTACGGGGACACAGGGAACCTCGGAGTGGCGCGGACGCCGGGAAGGGAAGAAGGCGGGAGGCCGGGGCTCCGGGCTGCGCCGGCTGGGGGCGTTTGCGTCCGGTGGTCGGGAGCTCCGAGAGGCTCCCCGAAGTTTTTCACCTTCCTGAGTTCCATCCTGGGACGCTCTCTTCCCTGGCAGGGTGGCCTGGCAGAAGTTTAAGCAAAAATGACTTGAGACTCCCGAGGCTGGTTCGGGGCTCCCAGCGTCCCTCCTCCGAGCCTTTGCCTGCAGGGTGTGAGGTGCTGCCAAGACCTCGGCCTGGGCCCCTGCTGGAAGGTTGTGGAGCTGGGCAGACAGCGTGGGTGACTTCCCCTGTACTTACAGGGGACCCACAGCCGCTTGTGTTTCTTTCTGGGAAAGAAAGTGGCCCCAGGTCTGCCGCATCTCTTACCATGTCTTGAGTCCGCACCCACCCACCCCAGGGCTGACAACCAACCTCCTCTTTGTCCTCTGCTTTAGCCTGAGCTGCTCCATCCTTGTGTCTCTCCCCACCAGCTCTCAATACTTCTAGGCCTGGAAATTTCGGGATCTTGACTTCTTGTCCAGTCTTCCCTCAACCTTTCTTTGTCCCGCCAGCACTTCTCTCCAAGGTGTCTGCACCCCGACCACCCTGCCAGACAGAGCTGTGGTCTCCCAGCCATACTGGGTGTGGCTGAGCCCACCCCGGCCCATTTGAATCCATTACCTCCCTCGGATCAAAGATTCAGGGGTGGCAGCCCAGGTTGGGGCCCATTTTTTCAGAGCTGTACCCAACTTGGGACTTTGGCCCTCGCAGCCTCTGCTTACAGAGTCAAGGCTCTGACCTCTAGATCTCCCTGTCTGGGGCAGCAAGGCCAAGTGAGGTCTCGGGGAGGTTAAGCCTGGGAGTCAGTCACCCGTGGGCCTCTTCCCTTTTCAGGCTTTGCAACATCAGGGCTCCGTCAGATCCCTGAGCAGGTAGCAGTGCCAGTAACCAGGAGTCTAATAATAACTCTTAGTGCCCTGGCTGCCTTCAGGCTCAGGCAGTTGGTGCCTGCTCTTCCAGGAGTAGGAATTAGACCTTTCCTGCTCTTGGTGAGCTTGCAGAAGGCATCCCAGTGGGCTCTTTCCCTTCTGTGTCCAGCCAGAGGAAGGCTGTGTTCCCTGAGAATGGGCTGCCTAGGGATAGCTCCAGGGGATCTTCCGCTCCCAAAGAATGCTTAAAAAGGGGCGGATGTGATTTCAGAGACAGCTGTGTTTTGGAATGGGTGCCTCAAACCGTCCCCCTTGGCCTCAACCCTATTGTCCTCTTCTCCGTTGGAGGAAATCTAAACCCCCTGCTGGGTGCAGGGACCCCTAAGTCTGGGAAGCATTGGAAGGGCATTCCCTGGCCCCTGTGGCGCAGAACACAGCACCTGTCCTGCTGGCAGCTGTGGCTGGAGGGCTCTGAGCCCACCCATTCCCAGTCCCAGGGACAGGTGGCAGTTGAGCCAGCAGGACCCACTCATAACTCCCTCCCACCCCCAGTCCTGGCCTTGACACCTTTTGTGGTGGGCTCCCAAGGATGTCCCCTTCCAAGGCCCCTGGTGCTATCCTGCTCCCCTCCCACCCCACCCCCACCCTGCTGGCCCTGCTGGGTGGAGGCAGAATACTGAATGGAAGGCAGGACATTAATCTGGCTTTGAGTATTATTTAAGGCCATTCCTATTTTAGTAAGTTCCCCTGTTGACTGACCACCAGTCTGCTTTCCTCCTGAACCCCAGTCGTGGCCAGTCGGGCAGCAGGTCAGTAAACGGCGTGGATTAAGCACCTTCTGCTATCACCTCAGTATGCAGACTTGATTGGGGCCATGTACCAAGCCAGGCCTGGGTGACCATGATGCCAAGGCAGCAGGCCTTTGGGAGCAGTGGCTGTGGGACAGCTTTACACCGCTGTGGCAGCAGTCAGGGAGCTGAGATGGCGACTTTGCCATCTCATAGCCAGGTTGGATTTTATTTCTATTATTGTGGAACCATGGGCAGATGTCTTAGCCTCTCCAAAATTCACTGCTTGCATCTGCAAGTATTAAATGAGATATTGCACATGGCACTCTTAATACAGAAGGTCCCACAGCACATAATACACCCCATGATAGAAATCATTAGGTGGTGAGCCTTGAAGCTATGTGATGAGCACAGTGCTCAAAGGGAAAGGGAGGAAAGCGCTTCAGACCCTGAGGGGGGAGATGCCAAAGGGCTTCAGTTTATAGCTCACAGGTTCAAACAAACCGGTGCAGGCTTGTAGGGCGGTGTGTGTGCACACAGGTGTGTCAAAGACTAAGGGAGATGGGAGCAGATGGGGCCAGGTCTCAGGCAGGCCAGCGACTGGCTGCCTTATGGCTGCAGGGGGTCTTAGGAGAGCAGAGGGGCTGAGAAACAGGTCACCAGTGAACTGAAAGGCCCTGAGCAGGTTTTCTCTCCCAGGACCTCACTGAGGAAGTAGAGGCCTCCTTAATTTTGGGGTCTCTGGGGCTGGTGGGAGCCCCTAGTTCCTCCCATAGCTGATCTTCTGTACCCTCCCTCCACACACACACACACACACACACACACACACACACACACACACACAGTGAACCTGAGCTCAGGGTCTTGGGAAGGCTCTTTGGGCTGCCTGCATCCTCAGCTTCTTTGGGAGGGGAGGCAGAAGGGAATCTTCCCGCCAGCTAGGGTGTGTGTCTAGGGGAAGAAGCCACCAGACCTTCCCGCCTTTGACAGGCCTGGGGGATTGGAGAGGGAGGGTGGTGGTGCCTGAAGGAGGAGAGCCCAGCCGGCCAGCTATCCTTTGGGCAGTGTTGGGGAGAGCAGAAAGGGCATCTGGAAGGAAGTCCAGCTGTGTCTCTTTGAACAGGCCAACTCAGTTTCCTCCTTCCTGGAGCATTAGTGTCATAGTTCAGCTGGGGGGAAAACCAGACAAGCGGGGAGCCCAAGCTCAAGCCAGGATGTGTGTGTGTGTGTGTGTGTGTGTGTGTGTGTGTGTGTCCACTTCCATCTCTCCTTGCCCTGAACCAGGAGTCTGCTCACTCTCTGGGGCGTGTGTCAGGAGATAAAAGGAGATGTTTTCATTTTTGTATTCAGGCAAACGTTCTCCTGTGCCTCTTGGAGTACCTCGGTTCCTAGATTTCCCCCAAGAGACCCAGGCTGGAGGAAGGGCGGAGCAGCAAGGCGCAGGTCTGAAGAGTGAAGGCCACACTGCGAGCCCGCCCCTCTGCGCGAGCTGTGGTTGGGATGAGGGAGCCCCATTCATCCCGTCTGGCACTGAGTCACTGTCACCCGACAGTCATGCTAAGTCTGGGAGGGGAGTTAGCTCTTCCCAGATGGCCTAGATGGGGTCTCCCTGAGCCTGCACCCCACCCCTGGCCTCACCCGGAGGTTAGCCCAGCACTCATTGTCTCCGAGTGACAGAAGCCCAGTGCAAAAGCCCCCAGGGACCAGAACAACAGGCAGTGCCACTCATGACACCCCCATGCCCCAGGGTCCTGAGCTGTTTGTTGGTCTCCACACTGGGTTTCTCATCACCAGAAAGAATTAAAGGGGCACTAATGTGGGTGTTGGGAGGTGTTGGTGACCTCTGGATAGCAACAGATGGTGGGTGATGTGAGAGACTGTCCTTCCTAAGCTCTGTCCATCAAGCAAGAGTCCCTGTGAGCAGAGCTCCGCTTCCTGCCGCACCCTCCTCCCTGTCCCCAAGGTTGCTGTGCACATGGGGACCAGGGTTTTCATTAGCAGCAGGAAAGTAATTGCCCATTGGAGAGCAGTGGGTGACCCCGAGTTGGCTGGTTGCTGGCCTCCTCCCCCTCCCTTTCCTCCCTTCTCTCCTCCTGTTCCCTTTGCCTGCTCTCTGCCTGTCCCACCACCTGGACACCTCCAGTCCTCCTTCCCAGGAGCAGAGGCCAGGGTTCTGGAGGCAAGCAGCCTCCAGAAAGCCTCGGAGTCTGGGTTACTCTGGCATCACTGCGCCTTCCCGTGCTGGGTACGTTATCCATGACCTAATTGAGGCCAGCTGCCCAGCCTGGCGTGGCCCCAGGCCACAGAATCCCAGGCTGCTGGGGAAGAGTTGGCTTGCAGGAGGTCAGAAGGCAGGAGCAGACTCCTGGAGTCTGAGGTAGAGACCTCAGCAGCCACCGGGACTCGGCAGAGGGTAGGCTTGAAGAAACTGAAATGGCTCCAACCCCTGATTCTGGGGGATTTTCCTTCTGGGTAGGAACGCAGGATGGATTAAGTGGCATTTCCTTTTTGGACAGAGATCAGTGGCACTACCCTTGGGACAGTAAAGAGTCACTGAGGGAGGTGGGGGTGTTAGCTGGGCTGCATGAGAAGCCCTCTTGGGGTTTCATTACTTTTTATAAATTATTAGGAATAACTTACACAAACATGCACAGTCTGAAGCATGTATCCCAATGAATTGGTGTGTGCGGCACCATCCCATCAAAGGGTACGCTATTCACACCTCTACTGCTGTAGTAAAGCTACTCTGGTCTTATACTTCATATAAATTAAACATGCAGTCTACTGGTTTGCAGTCCTCATCACTGTGCCTGGAGATTCATCTACTGTATTATGGGGAACGGTTTTCTTTTGTGGCTGCATAGTATTCCATTCCATGATTATAAACACAGCATGTGTCTTGTCAGTGAGCTTCTGGAGTATTTCAGTAGTGAACAGTTGCTGCAGTGGACTCTGACGTGTGGAGCTTGTTGGAAACACAGCCCTCCTTTCTGTGGCGATAATGGGTCATAGTGTGTGTGTCACCTAGTGGTTTGCAGGTTATTCAAGGGTCCCTGGGTTTCAGCAGTGGGGTGCCAGGGCCTGTGGTGGCCAGGACAGCATTTCCATCCTCCAAGGCACAGTGTGTCCGGGGTTTGCTGAGCACATCAGTTTGAAGAAAAAGCCAGGCTGCTGGGGAAGTGGAGAACTTGTGCCGCTTTGGTTCTGTGCTTCCCTGGCTTGGCGTCCGATGCGTCAGCTAGAGTTCTGATGCTGGCGTTCAGACCTGTGGCTGGGAAGCTCCTGGGAGCTGTCAGCGTCGCAATTAAAGGTCGAGTTGCAGCGTGGTGATCTTTGTTTCAAAAGAAGCGGCCTTGGGCCCCCACCTACCCTGGCCTTCACCTTGGCCTGGACGCCTGGGCCCCCCAGTGAGCCTGGAGGTTGGTGGATGGGCTGCAGCTTCCCACTGTCTCCTGGGGTCCCTGCAAGTTACCGGTCATGCTAGCGAGTGGTCCCAGAAGGCATAGTGTCAGTCCCCGCCCTCCTCAGAACCACTGTCTTCCCAGCTGCCTACATGAGGGTGGTGACCCAGGGGCACCTCTGAAGTGCATGCCCCAGGCGGGTGAAAACCACATTCATTGTCAGACCCATGTGCCCCATCTGGGCTGCCCTCTCCGGGCTGTGCTCACCACTTCCAATCATTTGCCCCTAAGACTGAGAAGCTTATCCATTGAGGTGACCATAGAGAGCCCAACTCAGGAGCTAGTGGCTCCTATGGACGTCCCCAGTTCTGTACTGTGTCCCCTGGAAAATGACCAAAGGGCCTTGGGCATCAGCTGCTGACCTCTGCGTCAGGCTGGCTCTGTGTGTGCCCCATATGTGGTTTGTCCCCTGTCCGACCTTCTGGGCCTGCAGTCTCCCCACACTGTGGACTGCCACCAGCATCCAGGGCCCCTGACACAAGCTCTCCGCACCGGGGTGTGGAAACAAAGGCAAACGGGGAGCCACTCAGGGTCCCCTGGGAAGCAGGGTAGGCTTTCTGCTCAGGAGCCTGACTTAGATTTGGGGTTAGCCCCGGCTCACAGTCACCAATTCTGGGGCCATCTGGTGTCCATCTGGCCGAATCAAGAGATTAGAGGACATGGCAGGCAGGTTGGGGGCTGGGTACCAAGGCCTCTTGGCAGATAGCTGCTGCCCTCGCAGGACCCTGAGGTGCTGGGTGGGTCTGAGAAGGCACCTCCTGTCTCCTGAGCTCTGTTTTGTAGCCCTCATTGGCTCCTAGATCAGCTGTCCTTTGCATGATGTAGAAGAAGGGGTGGGGCACGCCTTGCGCATCTTAGCTTCTGTACCTCCTTCCCAGCTCCTCGCCCAGCCCCCCAGAAGGAGCTGGCTGCTCATGACTGGATGCGAACCTAGACTGAGCACATTAGACTTTGGCATAGAGTGGCAGCAGCCTTGCCACCTGCCCCACTTGGTACCTAAGGCATCCTGCCCAAGCCATACTTCCACCCAGGCACGCTTGGCTGCTGTTCCCTGTGGACATCTCCCTTGGTAGCAATGACATATGAATGAAAAAATACAACAAATGTTTACATTTTAAAAAGCTAGTTACAGTAAAAGACACACTGACATTGGTCCTCCTTCAAAATCCTCCCTGTCTTGTAACACATGGCTCCCTTCTGTCTTTTTCATTTTCATTTTTATCGGTACCAGGGATTGAACTCACGACCACCTGCTTATAAGGCAGGTGCTTATGCCGCTGAGCTAAATCCCCAGCCTTACATGGCTCCCTTCTGAACTGTTCTGGAAGTCTTCTTTCTCGAGTGTCTTTAGTGGCACTGTCTTGGTTGCCTTAATATCCTGATATGATGGGAAACATTTTGGTTTTGGGGAAGAGAGAAATTTCACGGTGCCCGGTACAGTGAAGAGGTGGGTAAGAGCACACTGCACATCTTTATTAAAAGGTTTTTGGCACAATAGAGAGACAAAGAAGAAAAGAGGCCTTTATTGCCAGCACTGGAGGGCTGCAGGAGAGGCGAAAGAAAGTACCCCTGCCTGCCAGAACAAAGGAGCGCAGACACATTTATCACCTGTGGCCAGGGGAGGGTCTGGCAAGGGGGTCATCTTAGTAGCAGACTGGAGGTTACTTTGGCGCATGCGGGAGCAGGGACAGGAAGTCCATCCCGAGGTGAGGGGAGAAAAAGAAGAAGAAAGCTGTTGGTTTTGGCCCCTTTGCCTTTTTGAACCAGCACCATGGTGGCCTGACAGAATACAAATAGGGATAAAAACCCATCTCTTTGGGGCTGGGGATTTGGCTCAGAGGTATAGGTGCCTGCAAGGTCAAGGTCATGAGTTCGATCCCCAGTACCAAAAAAAAAAAAATCTGTCACTTTATAAGCCTGCTTTTTCATTCAGTGGGGCATGGCAGTAGCAGTTGTATTTTTTATCATACCTGGTAAAGCCACTTTCCAAAGAGGACCTCCAGAGCTGCTTCAAAATGTTCAAAGAGCAATGGAATGAATACCTTCAAAGTAAGGGGAGTTATTTTGAGGGGCTTTCCTGAGAGCATGTCTTTTAGTATAATAATTGTTTTTAAATTTAATCTTTCTGTGCATATTTGCTCACCCTTTAGAGTGTCACTGGTAGCCCTTGGGGGGCACCCCGCCTCCTTGTAGGGTGGCTCAGAGCTTAGCCACGGGCAGGGCCTGCTCCTTAATCCTTATCCAGGTGTAGAAGCTGGAAACCAGGGCTGGGGGCCTTTCTCCTGTCCTCTACACGGTGTGAGCCCTCCTGCTCCTTCTCCTCACCCTCCCCTGGCAGTGTTCCCAGGCCTGGAGCTCTAATCAGAGAGGAAGGGTCAGTGCAGGCAGGAGCTAGGGTATGCGGCAGACACTGACCTCTCCCAGCTGCGCCCAGGCCCAGGACAAGCATTCCCGGACTCTCCCCGCTGCTGGAGCCAGAGCTCAGCCCAGCCTGTGTCTTGCAGTCACTGCTGCTCCTGGGGCTGCTGGCTGCCGTCTGCCTGGGCCTGAACCTTGCCTTCCTCGCCACGTACCTGGTATGCGTCTGCTGCTGCCGGCGGGACCACGCGGTACAGACCAAGCAGCACAGCACCTGCTGCATCACCTGGACAGCAGCAACGGCCGGGCTCGTCTGCTGGTGAGTGTCCCTCCACACAGCTGGGGGCAGCCATGGCAGGCCCAGGAGCAAGAGTCACCTGCTGGGGCCTGCGCTCTCTGTGTTGCCCATAGTCAGCTATTTCTGTGCCCTCGGCCAGCCCCAGCTGCTTCTCAGCTGTATGGCCAAGTTCTTCCAACCAAGGAGAGCAGACGTGTCACCAAGATGCCTGCCCAAGCACTGAGATTCAGATGCCTGGGGTGGGGGCGGGGATCTCCCTAAACAGTGCACCCCTTTACCCACTGTGTCCCTGTCCCCTCCCAACTGCCAGCCAGCCTGGGCCAGCAAAGCCAGAAGTCTGGTGTGTACCCAAGTCATTTCCATCTTGTGAGATCAGGAACTTCTAGTGCGTCAGGCGGCTGTCCTTCTTTGCTTTGGCTGAGGAAGTGATGATTTCTAGCACCATGTGACAGTCGTGCTCCTTGGCCTGCGCCACAGAAGTGTCCACACGTGTATCTTTGCTGTATGTTTCTTGTTTTTATATCTGCAGAGGCTCTTCCCAAAGCCTAAGATAAGTGTAGTTCAATGGTTGAGTGTTTACCTAGCATGTACAAGGCATTGCGTTCAAGCCCCAACACTGAACAGTGTGAAGTGTGGGTGACTGGGTATGGTGACACATGCCGGTAATCCCAGCATTTGGGAGGCTGAGGCAGGAGGATGCCCACAAGTTCGAGATCAGTCTGGGCTACAGACCAGTCTGATAGTATAGTAAGACCCTGTCTCGAAAAAGAAAGAAAGAAATGTAAAACTTCAGGGTCCCCCCAAGGTGCTTCTGGGATGCAGCCCCACTTGGGGTGGTGGCGGGGGTTCCCTAAATAATTAGCGTTAGATCTAGAGCATGGGAACACAGACTGTCCATTCCAGGCCATGAGTGGCTGCAGAGCTCACTCTCTTCTGTTAGAACACATCCAGGATTGCATCCACCTGCAGCGTGGGGCTTGCTGAAGCTGGAAGAGAGCTGGGCCACGAGCTCATGGCAGGGGCTGGGGCCGGCAGACCGCATTGGCGCTGCCCATAAGAGGTCTCGGCCAGTTGGGAGCACAAAGAGCAGTAGAGGAGAGTCTGAGAGCTGACTGTGGTATCTAAAATCCTCCTCCAGAGAACACACACTGAACATGTAGAAGGAAGAGTGGGCAGGAAGTGGCAGGACCCCGTGGGCATGCTGCCAGCCCTGCTGGCTGCCCAGGGAACCCTGGCTGTGCTGTGGGACCCCGGATGAGGAGTGAAAACCACCACGTGAACTGTGGAAGGCAGGTGTTGCTAGACAGCTAGTGGATGTCTGGCCTCATAAGCCGATTGTACATTGAAAATAGCATAATATTGTCATTAGAAATAGCGTTTAATCCACTGAACAGTCTAGGTTAGCCCAGCCTGTCCCGCCTCTCCTTGTTTGGCTCTGGGGATTGGACCTGGGGCTTTCACACTGAGCTACATAATTTTTGTTTGTTTGCTCCTTTGTTTTTTTGGGACAAGGTCTTGCTATGTAGTTCAGGCTGCTCTTGAACTCACTATGAAGCCCAGGCTGACCTCAAACTTGCAGTGATCCTCCTGCCTCTGCCATTCAATGCTGGAATGATAGGTGTGTGCCACCATGCCTAGCGCCCATTTTTATTTTGTATTTTAAAATAGGGTCTCACTAAGTTGCTCAGGCTGGACATAAACTTGTGATCTTCCTGCCTCAGCCTTCCAAAGTGCTGGAATTATCGGGGTGCGTTACTGTGCCCACTTCCATCCTACCTTGAACAGGCTCAAAATGGGTATATCATCCTGCAATTAGGCAGAATCATCAAACAATAAAGCCTGTTTGATAATAAAGTGCCAGCTGTGCCATGTAATTAATTGAATGCCATTCGGGGAAGAAATAGTTATTACAAGTACTTCCATAACCTCATTAAGCTGAAAAACCATTAAGTTACACCATCAAATTTTAGGAACTATATGTATTTTGGAGCATTGGCTTGGGAACCAGGGATACAGTGGCCCAGTGCCTGCCTGTCAGGTGCAAGGTTGAATTCAATTTCCAGTACAAAAAAAGAAAAAGAAAAAAAAAATGGCTTGGGAAGCAAGGCGTGGTGGTGCACACCTGTAATTTCAGCACTTGGGAGACTGAAGCAGGAGGATTGCCCTGAGTTCAAGGCCAACCTGGGCTACATAATGAGTTCCAGAGCAGCCTGGACTGCACAGCGAGATGCTGTCTCAAAAAACAAAATAAAATAAGAGATTGGGAGGGACCTCAGAAGGGGCGTCAGTCCCAGTAAGTAATGATTGCATGTAGTCTGTACAGAACTCAAGGCAGAAGAAGTCTGTATGGCTGGATTTGTTTCACAGTATTCTAGACACTTATCCCAGGCAAGAGGGCCAGCAGTAAGGCAAACAGGCACCAGGTCTGCCCTTGTGGTCTTGGAGTTCTTGATCTCTTGGGAGAGAAAGAGAATAATGATGCGGTAGAGGAAAAAAACATAAAGGCATAAGGTTGGATAAGCTGTCCTTCTGACTAGGCATCCTAGGGCCAAGGATTTCCAATCCACAGGATGAATAGGCACTAACTAGACAAAAGTGGGGGCAGAATAGGAGGAAATACTTCTAGTCAGAGGCAGGATGAACAGGTGCAAAGCCCTGTGGCAGAACGTTATATGGAGCTAAAAGAAGCCAGTGTAGCTAGAGCAGACAGCAGGTGAGAAGGCTAAGGGTTTAATGGATAGAAGCAAGAAGCAGCCATTCAAGGCAGACATCATAGTGTGACAATGTGAGAACACAGAGGGGCAGCTGGGACCCAGACCATCCAGGAGCTTCTGGGCTGTGTTAGCGATGTGGGTCCTGAAGAGCAAGGCTTAGAGATCAGCCAGGCTTAATCAGAAGCAGGACCAGTGGAGTCTTTAGAGCACTGGGACTCGAACCAGGAGGAGTCCTCAGTGGGCCAGTGGAAGAGCTCAGACCAAAGGGGCACATGGGTGATTTGGGTCAGCAAGAGCGAGGCCACTGTGGGCCCCAGGTCAGAGGGACAGAAGGGTGAAGCTGTGCACAGTACTCAGCTTTACCTGGCTAGGGCAAAACACCTAACGGGCATAGCTTGAGGGCAGGGAGGTTTATGGGGGGGGCGGGGGATTCAGTTCCTTGTCACTTGGCTCCAAGGCAGGAACAGCATCGCGGAAGAGCCTGGAGGAGGAAAGACCACAGAGAGGGAAGAGACTGGGGTGAGGATAAACTGGACCAAGTTACATCACCGCGACCTACTTCTTCCCACCAACCCCCTAGCTGCTCCCACGGAGTTCAGCTCTGAGCTCCTCACTGATGAGGTGGGCTCCCCTCAAAGAGCCCCACTTCTAACTATGTGAACCTTCTGGAGATTGAGCCAAGGGCCTTTGCCCTGGCTTACATCCCTAGCCCTTTTTAACTTTTTGAGACAAGTTTACTAAATTGCCGAAGCTGGGCTTGAATTTGTGATCCTCTTGCCTCACCCTCCCAAAATACTGGGGTTATAAGTTTGCACTTGGGGGGACATTTTTGATTGAAACTGTAATGCCACAACACTAGAGAAGCTGGAACCAGGGTGGGCCAAAGCCACACACAGCAGCAAGCTTGGTAGCTGCTGTAAGGAGGGCACGTTCCTCACACGCTCCTGTCAGTGCCTCCATCAGCAAAGCCTATCAGGACCTTGAGAAATTCAGTGCCAGGGGTCAGCACCCTGTGATGGAGAACAGAGCAGGGGGCTGGGAGGGGCAGATTGGAAGGTGCACAGACCTGATACCAGTCCAACGATGGGACTGGCAGAGTGACCTCAGGGCAGCGGGTGACTTAGAAGGGGCAAGCGAGAGTGCAGGCTGTCAGTTACCAGGTGGAGGGCCATGGGCCCTGCTAGGGCCTGGGCAGAGGACAAGGACATGGATGATGAGCTGGGTGGGGAGGTGAGGAGCGAGGGGCTGCTGGGGGAGCAGCCTCCAGATTCTGACTTATGTCCTGGGCTGGCTGCCTGGTGCCACCTGACGATACAGGACCCTGGGAGGGAACCAAAAGAGAGGGTTTGGGGGCTACACAGACTGAGCTGAAGGCATCTTTGAAACATCCAAGAGGCAGTGTTGAGGACACTGATGGAGACTCCGTGTTTGAGTGATAAATTGGAGGTCACAGGGGTGGACAGTGTGGCAGCGATGCACACAGGTTGGCACTGCCCCCGGAAGAGTAAAACAGGAGACCAGAAGAGGGCCAGGACCAAGTGTGGAGCCAGCAGGAAAGATGGGGAAGTGTGGGTACAGGGCAGAGTGTTTCAGGAGGGAAGGACAAATGGACGGGGTTGGAAAATGCCCTCAATTCAGTGGCGCACAGGTCACTGGTCACCTTAGCTGGCTTGAGCGTTGGGAGGAAGAACAAAAAGAGGGGTGTCAAGGAAGTGGGAGTAGAAGGAAGGGGAGGTAAAGTCTGGGGGAACTGAGCCCGGAGGAGCTTGTTGTCCTCTGCTGCTGAGGATGCAGGAGAAGGAGATTAAATGTAGAGCCGAGGTGAGCAGGAGGTTCCTGAACAGGGAGCAAGCAGTGTGGTCTTCCACGGGGCCAAGACAGGACCTGTGACACCTCGAGGGATAGAGTGACCCTCCAGGGCTGTTTGTGGTCCTGGAAGGCCAAGTACAGGCACTTCTGGGCCGTGTGTGATAAAACCACAGATCAACAAAAGAGCAACAAACGAGAATGCCCCAGTTCTCAAAAGCAAGGTGATTGGGAGAATGGAAAAGAAGGAAATAGGAACGTTGGTTTGATCTTAAATCTTCAAAAACACCTTATCTTGATTTAGATAGCTAGAGGACAAAAGGGGTTTTTTTAGCACCTAGGGAATTTGAGCATTGGGGTGTGGCTCTGTGGTAGAAGGCTCATGGAGCGTGTGCAAGGCCCTAGGTTGGAACCCCAGCACTGCAAACAAAAAGTCATTTCGCCTCGCACACATCTAATATGAACACCGCCGTGCAGACTTGCTCGGTGCTGGAGAGAGACGGGCAGTGCAGTGGTGCAGCTAAGTGTGGAGAACAGGATCAGTGCAGTGAATCACAGACTGGAGAGAGACGGTCAGGCTAGAAATCTTGTTTTTATTTTGCGGGGGGTCGATTTCTCTCCATCAGAGAGAACTTTGTTTTTAAACATGCAACTCCCAGACCACACAAGGCAGCATGGGTACGGTTTGTCTGTCTGTATTTTATCAAATATCCCAGGTGATTCTGGGCTGTAACTCACAGACTGCAACCTGAAAAACACTGCACTGGGGGCCCAGGGTGTCCTGGAAGATGTCTATAGCTTTCAGGACTTTCGGTCCCGGGTCCTGCCCTTAGGGCAACTATCGGCCTGAGTGCATTTACGTCTCTCTTTTGGGTGAAGACCCTGCAGGCTGCTTAATCAATCTTCTGTGATCCCAAGTAGTGTGGATCAGATATAATATGATTGATGACAGAGTCAGGATTTGAAATGATTTGTTCAGGCTGGAATGTTGGACGGGAACCAACCATGAAATTTCACTGATAGGTTTCAAGCTCTGTGTTTGGTTAAATCTAAATCAGTGTAGACCTATAGGAAGGAGGAGACAGGGCTTGACAACAGTTCTGTGAAGGAAGTCAGGCTGTTGGGGGGCGCTGGAGAAGGGGCACAAATTGGGTCAGTGGTGGGCTGGGAGCACCCTGCAGCGAGCATCCCAAATTCTTTTGACCTTGGGTTCTGGTGCAGAGTCTGGACTTGAGTGCTTGCTCTGAGCTGGAGTTTGGGGTGACATTGAACCGGGCCTGGTGCTACATGTCTGTAATCCCACTAGTCTGGGAGACTGAGACCAAGATCAAAAGTTTAAGCCCAGTCCCAGCACTTTGGTGACTTTGTGAGACCTTGTTTAAATGGCCAGGGTTGCAGCTCAGTGCAGAGGCCCTGGGTTCAATCCTCAGTGCCACCAAAAAATAGGAAGTTAAATAAACTTTAACTAATAACTGGGGCCAGGGATTTAGCTCAGTGGTTCAAGTGCTTACCTGGTAAGCCTGAGGTCGTGAGTTGGATCCCCAGTATCCCCCCCCCCAAAAAAAAACACCACCTAATAATTGACCAAGTAAACAGCTACCTCTGGAGCACAGTAGGTCAGGGTCTGCAGACCCCAGCCCCAGGAAGGACAAGTGTCTGACCCGGAGAGCAGGTGAGAGGTGACAGGGCTGCATTGAGAGTAGTACAGGGTGGCACAGAGTTAGAAGTTTACCCAGAGGATGAGCCAGGTCCTGGGGTGCCTGGGTTACAGGTTTTGGCTCAGTGTAAGGAGATCCTTTCCATGTGCTGGAGCTTTGCCATTGAGGACCAGCTGCCTCGGCTGCACGGGGAGGCCGAGTGGGCTGGAGAATGACAAGAGAGACGGTGGGGTGGAGAGGTGTGTGGTCTCACTCACTCAGCCTCAGTGGTCCCAAGCCACTGGTGAGGAGTGCCCTGGGGAGCTGTGACAATATGGACAGCCTGTCTCCCCACCAGCAGAACCCTCAGGGCCGGCCCCATCCTCTGCCTTTGCAGAGAGTCAGCCTGCCAGGAGCAAGCTGACTCCTATTTTGTGACTCTGGATGACCCTTTAACCTCTATCTCCTCCTCACCCCAACTCCCAGGGGCATTCCTCAGCCAGAATGAAAAGCCTGCATCTCAAAGGTGTTTATAGAACTTTGTTCCCAACTGCCAAAAACTCCAAGATGGAATTTTATTCAGCCCTATAAACAAAAATAGGGTCTCAAGTTAGGAAAGACCTGGAATATGCTTCAGTTTGTATTTTTGTTTTTTTTTAATACAGGGTCTCACTATATAATTTAGACCAACCTTGAACTACTATGTAGCTCAGACAGGCCTTGAACTCCTGATCCCTCTGCCTCAGCCTTCCAAATTCTGGGCTTCAGTGCCTTGTACTGAGAGAAAGAAGCCAATTTGAAAAGGCCACACGCTGTAGGATTCCAACTGCATGACATTCTGGAAAAAGGCAAGGGGTTCTTAGGGCAGTGAAACTATTCTGTACTATTTGTCTGAGCCCATAGAGGACACAACACTAGGAGTGAACCTTCCACAAACTGTGTACTCTGGGTGGTTAACAATACATCCATCCGGGCCCTTTGCTTGCAAGAAATGCACCCCTGGGTGCGGGAAGCTCCCTGTACAGAGGAGGAGGTGTACGGAAGCCTATGTACTTAATGCTCAGTTTTACTGTGAACTGAGACCTGCCCTAAAAACAGTTGAAGACCAGACTGTCGATGTCCCCTCTAACCTTGGTTTGGGTCTTGCTTACAGTGCTGCAGTGGGCGTTGGCTTCTATGGAAACAGCGAGACCAACGATGGTGTGTACCAGCTGGTCTACTCCCTGGATGATGCAAACCACACCTTCTCTGGGGTGGATGAACTGGTAAGCCTCGTGGCAGCTGGCCATGTGTGGACACAAACCATGAGGTCAGTGTGTTCAGAACAAGGGCACTTCTGGTACCTCAAGGCCAGCTGCACACTGCAGGCTTATATGATTGATGCTGCCAGCCTGGGCTCTTCTCTGGGCTGCACGCATCCCTGCCTAGGACAGTTCCTACTCCCCAGGCCAGGAGGGGCTTGGGAGCAGCTGTGGGATCAAATCTCACAGGCTTCGCTGAAGCCTCAACACAGAAACTCAGCCTACTCCAGGCATGCAAGCCAAGTGCACTATCACTGAGCCACACTCCCAGCCCATTTTGCTTTTTCATTTTGAGACAGGGTCTTGCTAAATTTCCCAAGCTGGCCTCAAACTTGCAATCCTCCTGCCTCAGCTCCCCAAGTCGTTGGGATTACAGGTGTGCACCTTTAGTTTCACTGTAACTGCTGCACAGGAAGTTCAGGGGCAAGGAGAAAACTTCTCTTCAGAAAGAAGGAACAAGCCCCTGGAACGCAAGGAGAATCCCTGAAACCCAGCATGTGCCTTCTGGGCCTGTTTTCCGGCTCCGGTCAGTTAGTCATGACTGGTAGGGAGTTGTGAAAGACTCACTGTTCTGGCCCAAGGAGAAATGGGGCCTTTAAGGGAAGGAGAGAGCTACACTGTCAAGCCCCAGGTGCAAGTGACAGATGCTAAGACAGGGAATTGGGGTTTCCTCTAATTTTACCCTTGGCCCCAGGGGCCTGTGGCTTTTGTGATGAGAGCCAGGTCTTTTCTGCTGGTTTCCTGTGACAGCTCTGCGAGTGCTGGTCCTGTGAGAAAGAGGATTCCTTTTGCCCTTCCACTCACTCCCTTAAGTTCCTTGGAGGTGCTGATGCCTCCCTCTGCCCCCCAGGGGGGCTCACCTTCAAAGAGACAGCTTGCTGCTCATCATGCTTGTGACATTAGGGGAGGCAGCCCCTGCCAGAACCAAGGGCCTCAGTCTCCTGCAAAATTTATAATCTTTCCATTTGTCCACTGGGACCCTTTTTAGGACATAGAATCAAAGCCCCAGGTGTCTGGCCACGCCGTCAGAGCGAGCTGCTGCGGTGCAGGAGCCCAGGGACACAGCCTGGTCACCTCCCGGGAGGCATGGACGCAACCCGGCCCCCTAGAACTCAGCCTCCGTCTTCCTTTCTTGGCAGTGCTGCTTTCCCACTTTTCTCCCCACAATCTGCACAGGAATCCCTCCAGAGGAGCCTAGCTGGAGGGAAGGATCCCTGCCCAGGAAAGCCCCAGGCCATGACCTTGTACTGCACCACTCTGATGGGAAGCCTTGAGTGCTTGTCCTTATCTCAAGGGAGGAGGGCACAGCTGAGGACAAACCCCAGGCTGTCAGTCCCACCCTCCCCACCTCCAGTCCCTGGAGATCAGCCCAGTGCGATCCCCACTGCTACTCTGGAAGGAGAATAGCTATCCCCAGGCTCCAGAGTCATCCAGCCCCAGCCCCAAGGCAGAAGGCCCCTCCAAGAGTGAGGAGGGTAGTTTGGGCTTCAGGGGAGCTCCCAGACCTTAGATGATGCCGAGTCACAAGGGGCGAGGTCCAAATACCAGATACATTACATTAGGTGAGTTAATACTGGTGAGGGTGCCAGGTGAACTACAGAGGTGCTCCAGCTGGAGTGGCTAAGGTAATGAGCTCATTATAATTACTGTAATCGCGGTGAAGTGGAGGTTGGGGTGGGGAGCCTGTGGGTAGCATGGTTAGAGGATTGGAACACTTCGGGCTGGGTCTTGCTGGAGCCAGATCAAGCAACCAGGTGGCACCAACACAGGCAGCTGGCCGTCCTCTGCAGTCTCCTCCATGTCAGACCCCCCACACCTGAGGCCTTGCACCCCCAGGGAAGCCCGCGTCTCTGCGGGCAGTGGCAGCACAGGGCTGGGGCAGCCTGACAGGGTCTGGGGCAGCTTCAGGCTCCGATGGAGGGGAGGGGGTCACATGGATCGCTGGCTGAGTCGCTTCTGTGGATCCAGTGTCCAGCATCCAGCCACCCACCTAGCTTCTTTCCCAAGGTACCAAGCAGCCACCCTCCTCTCAGGGTTCAGTAAGCTTTAAGGCAGGGCTCCAGGCTCTGCTGCCCCATGAGCTCTGCTGACTTGTGTTAGAACCTGCAGCAAGCTTGTGGGCAATCCCTAGTTGGAGAAACTGAGGCATGGGGAGGTTTGTGGGGGGAGTTTTGTTGTTTGTTTTTTTGCTCTCTTGTCCCTCTGCTCTTTCCTGCCTCCTACTGGATCTGAGATTCCCAGCCCTCCCCCCACAACCTCCTCTCTACCTACCCAGCTCCCAGTAACCTCAAAAGCCCAGGAGCTTCCTCCCTCCCAGGGTTTGCAGTAGAATCACATGGGGGACTTGCTAAGCTGGGTTTGGGCCCTCCTCCCTGAGTTTCCCATTCTGTAAGTCTGAGGCTAGGTTGAGAGTTGACATCTGCAGTGACTCCCTGGTAGTGCTGGTGGCCGAGGGACTCCACCCGGAGCACTGCCGCATCCTTTAATCAGCAGTTTAGAGGGCTGGGAGAGGCTGCACTGTCCTGGGGCTCTTCCCCGCGGGAGAGCCAGGCTCCGTCTCTGGGGCTTGGCACTTCAGTTTTCTGGCAGAGGCACCTGCCCCCTGGTCCTGTGAAGCCAAGGGGAATGAATATGTGCAAAAGCAAAGCAGTAAGTAGGTCAGTGTCGTGATTTTAATTTTTTTAAATTTTTGTTTTGTTTCCTATGGGACAGATGTGTATTGCTCTGTGTGTTTCCTTTCCAGTGCAGGGGTTTAAGAAAGAGTGGTTAGAGCTGAGGGTGTAACTCACTGATGAAGTTTGCCTAGCAGGCAGGAGGCCCTGGTTCCATCTCCAGCACCACAGAAAAAAAAATTTACAGTCATGGAAGAAGGAAAAAATGATATTAGGGCAAAAGTTTATCAGCCCTTTGTTCTATATTATTGATGTAATAAAGAATGTAAGGGCTGGCTTTAGCCCAGCGGTTCCTTCGAGTCTGGCTTCCCAACTGTCTGGGCCGATTAGTCCGGGTTCAAGACCCGCGGGCGCTTTCCAGTCCTTTTTAAAAAAAAAAAAAGAATGTAAAAAGTGGTACTGGTCTTGCTCCTAATGTCACCATTTGGTAATTGTGCCATTTGTCTCAAGAGTATAAAGCCCTTGTGCATTTATCTTACTAAATGGAACAGGAAGGCTTATTAGGGTGATGCTTCATTACTGAATGAACTTTGACATGGTTTGGAGTTTTTCTACCCTGTGCCACGCTGCAAAGGGCCGAATCAAGAATGCACCGAGTCTATCTTGTGAGCACCACCAGCTCATAAGGACCAGGCACAAGCCAGAAAACAACAAGCTGCTGACATTGAGAAAATAAAACAAAATAGAACAAAGAGACCCATTCTCTTTATGGAACCAGGAAGTCACAGTGTAGGGCAGATGTGAAAAGCCACAAGGTTGCTACTAAGTCCCCGAAGTGCGGCAAGCCCGAGGTGGCCAAGAAGAGTGCTGTGCCCTCCTCTGTGTCATTTTTTATCTTCCAAGCCTCAGAGCTGCAGGCTGCTGGGTGAGGATTAGCATACGCTGTCCCCCTTCCAGCCTGTTGTGCTCCTGGGGTTAGCGTGACAATTTCAGAACAACAAAGCCCTTCTTCCCTGGCTGCCAGCACGCAAGCTCAGCAGGGTGAGCTTGGGCTGCTGAACTGAGGCCTGGTAGCCTGGGCCTGCGGGAAAACACCTTTGCAGTGCAAACTCCACCTGCACTCCTTGTTGGAAGCTAGCAAGGGCAGTCTCTGCCATCATCCTGTTTCTACTTCGCACAAAAAACTCCAAGCCCCTAAGGTCCATCAAGGAACAAAAGCCTGGCCACACTCCTGGCAGAACAAACGTCCAAGGGATGATGGAAGATACCAATTTCCTCCTCCTGACTCCTTCCAGACATTATCTGATCTCTGTTTGTTTTGCAAAGAGTTCTTTTGTTCTGGTTTCACTGGGAGTCTGGAAGGACTCAGCTGTTGCTATCTCTATAACCAAGCTTCTTGCAGGGATATGGAAGTCCTGTAACAGCCTAGGTGTTCTCTAGCTTCAGTATTTTATTTCTCTAAAGAGGAATCCCTTTCAAGCATTTCAAGTTTTAACAGACTTTGAGGAAGAAATATGGGCTGTTTTATTTCTGCATTTGAGTCTTTAAAAAAGACTTAAGTATCCATTTATCTAGAATGCCTGGCACCAGCATTGTTGGAATTTGGGAGTTTTTCAGGTTTTAGAATATAGCATAGACTTCCCTGCTAGAGATTTAAGAAATTTCAGATTTTGAATTTTAAGGTTAGAGATGTTCAACCTATCCAGCAAGGCACTAGCTCTCACGGCGCCCTGGTTAAGGCCGGGAGCTGCAGACCAGAGATTGCTGCCTGGTTTGAAGGACCTGATGGGTGTGTTAACTTCCTGCCATGATAATAAATACTAGAGATAATTAGCTTAGAAAGAGAAAGTGGTTTTGTTAGATTTCAGCCCGTATTTGGTTGGCCCCATTGCTGTTGGGCCAGTGGCCTAGCAGAGCAGAATTCCTCGCCTGCTGGGTAGGAAACAAAAAAGAGGAGGAGGAAGACACTGGATGCACTAGTCTGTCTCTGACATACCCCAGTGACCTGAGGACCTCCCACCTCTTAGAGCTGCCATCACCTCCCTGTTGTATCTTGCCAAGCTGGGGACCAGGCCTTAGACGCATGGGCTTTTAGGAGAAATGCTAGGCCCACACTGTAGCGGTGAGTGACAGGGAGTGGCTTCCGTCCTGCTTGTGGGGCGGCAGCCTCATGAGCTCTCTCCAGGGCCGGGCTGTCCTGGTGAGTCCCTTCAAGCACAAGCAGCTTGCAGAGACCTCCAAAGTGAGAAACTTGAGCCCCACCTGCATGGCTTTCTCCTGTCCGAGGCCTGGCATTTCCTGTCCCTAGGTGTCCGAGAATACCCAGAGGATGACGGTGGACCTGGAGCAGCACGTGGCCCGGCTTAGTGAGATCTTTGCTGCACGGGGCGACTACATCCAGGTCCTGAAGTTCGTTCAGCAAATGGCTGGCAACGTCGTTGTCCAGCTGTCCAGGCTTCCTGCATGGAGGGAGGTCACCATGCAGCTGACCGAGCTGTCCGACCAGACCACCTCCGTGGAGTACTACAGGTGAGGGGCAGCGAGCAAGGCCTCCAGCCTGACCTGTGTGGCAGCTGAGCAGTGAGTGGCCAAGGGGAGCCACCCACCTTTGCCACCTTGGATCTGCAAATTCTTTCCTGTAGCCTTTGGGAGTCTACTTCCGTCACCCCCACCATTTCCCAAGCTCGATCTCTAGGAAGGGCACTGGGCCCAGGCAGAGAGCTGCCCTCTCTGGGGCAGGGTCTAGGGAAGGTCACTTTGAGGAGCACCAAGGGAAGAGGTAGCAGTCCTGGCCTTGGGCCGACTCCCATGAAGCGCAGGTCCCTGCACTCCCAGAGCCGGCTGCTCAGCACAGAGGAAGCCTGAGGGTCCAGATCTATACGTCCTAAGAGTAGCACCCACTTTCTGGATCCCACCCCAAGTGCCTGCTCCTCTTTAAGCCACTAACAAAAGTCAGAGCCTTTACCCGCCTCTGCACATTACCCTCTGCTTTTCTGGATTTTTTCTCGTCTTGTCATCAAGCTGCACCCCAGGCAGTCACTGCGGGGCTGAGACCTGAGCACATGCTCCTGAGACCCCCCTCCCTGTTGAAGCCCTCCAGTCTCAGTGGTCTCTCACACCCATCCAGCACCTGCATTACACGATGGCACAGACATGCTGGAGGGAAAGGGACCCAACTCTCCTCCAGACAGATGCCAGTAGGCAAAAGTGCCTTCCTGGTAAGACAAACCGCCAGCTCTAGGAACTGTCTGTGACGAGTCTGGTGACCCATGTACTCTTCATTGCCTGAGCTTGGAAATCTCTCATCAGGGGCAGGCTGCGTGTCTAGAGTGGGCGTCCGTGTAATCTTGCTCTTCTCTGAGCGCACGTAGCACAGGATCTACCTGGACATTCTAATAAAGGCAGTGAGGAAATGGAAAGGCACGGTGAACGTTTCCATTTAAAAAATTTTGTTACAGTAAAAGACCTTGCCCTTAATGCCTCTCAGAACACCCCTTAGCTGTGAGCACATGTGGCGCATCGTTCTTGGCACTTTGCGAAGCAGTTCTGAACATACTCTTTTGTGCGTCTTTAGAAAGTGTGATGGAAATATGGTGACTGCAGCTGCTGATGCCATACGAAAAAAGGGAGGCTGCAAAAACACGACACTGTGTGTCTTCTTTATTCACTAAGTCTGGTTTTTCCCCAAGTCACAATGACCCTGAAAGGGAAACATGTTTTTTCCCCATCTCTTTGAGATAGGGTCTCTCTAAGCAGTTCAGGCTGGCCTTGAGCTCATTTTGTAGCCCAGGGTGGTCTCCAATTCGCAATGATCCTCCTGCCTCGGCCTCCCGAGTGCTGGGATTACAGGCGTGAGCCACCACGCCCAAGGTAAACATTTTGAACTGATTCAGAATTTTGAGGCAGCCACAACTAAAGATAACTCACAAACAGACTTCCAGAACTGCTTCAAAGTGCCAAGAGCCAGATGTGGTGTTGCACACCTGTAATCCCAGCACTCGGGAGGCTGAGACAGAGGATCACCACAGGTTCGAGGCCAGCCTGGGCTACATAGTGGGACTGTCTCAAAAAAAAAAAAGGAAAAGAAATATGATGAGTCAAGTGTGTTTGAGGTAAGGAGGGAGGATTTTGAGGGAGTTTCATGAAAATGGCTCTTAAACATTTGCCATATTTTTCTGTCACACCTCCTAAGTCAGAATGGTATGTCAGCCGGGAATTATTATTAAGGTGACTTTATTATATAAAAAGCTGGGAGAGGCTGTTGAGAAAGGCAAGCAGCTATTCCAGTGAGAGGAGGTGTTTCCCTGACCTCATCCCCAGGTGCCCACCCTTTATTCAGGTTGAGGGGAGAAAGTCCAGCCCAAGGCATCCTCTTCAGCTTCTAACAACTGTTGGCATCCTGTCCTCTTTCTGCCTCTGCTGTGGCCCCAACTGGCTGAGCTGCTGTAGAGCTTGGTGGTTCTCAGAGCTCTGAGGAGCAGCGCTGCCTCCAGGGATCCTGCCCAGTGTTGCTGTGGTTCCCGTTTGTGGCTGTCCTGTGGGGCCAGTGCTCCTGACCACTTTCCATAAGACCTACGATGCCTTCGAGGAGCTGGCGGTGGAGAGGCTTTCGGCCAAGGCATGGTTGGCTGAGCTCTGCGGAGGCCAGATGAGGGGAGCTGTGGGAATCGGGGTGGGAACGGCTGCACAGAGAGCCAAGCGCTTGGTTAGCCGTCCCTCCCCCAGTCCTCCACGCTCTTTTGGGAGAACACGCCTGCTGCAGGAGCTGCATCTAGGAACTGCTTACACATGCACGGTGTGGGGGTGGGGGCACAGAGCCCCAGCTGTGGAGGGAAGGTTCGCCCCAGCTGGGGTTCCTGCCTCTGGGAGAGGAGGGGAGCAGAGCGCAACACATCTTTAGTTTGAAGACGGGGAGCCAGTGTCTTTGGGATACATTTCCCATCTCCTTTATACGCAGGACAGTGTCGGGTTCCTCCGAAGTGTCTGTAATCTGTAGAAGGGGATGGGAATGCTGGATAGATTTGAGGCTTCCCTGCCAGCTCTGGGTCAGAACCTGGCTCCTTGGTGGTCTCCAGCCAGTGGTAGTCAGGCTGCTCTTGCTTGAAAGCCATGAGTTGATTTCTGGGAACCCCAGAGACTCCTGCTGTGTTCAGGACTGAGAATTTTTATGAGGCCTTTTGATTTTGGCTTTAAGCCCTGACCCCCCAAAGATAGAAAGAATGTCTTTTGGCTTTCAGGGGCCTCCAGCTCCCTCCCTTCTCCCCAACAGCCTCTTTGTCACTTTCTGCCAGTTCCACCCACCCCCACCCTCACTTCCGAGGCTTTCCTGCTCCCTGTGTGCTGCTGGTGAAGGGGATCCATTGCTGGAGGGCAGGGCCCCGTGGATTTGTTTAGCTGTTGCACGAAGAGAAATAATGATCAAGACTTTGCCCTGCGGGCACTGAAAGGAGCCCAGACTCGAGGCTGGTGCTGCATCAAGAGGACGCCTTCGGTCCTGCAGGAGGGAAAGGAGTCAGGGTGCTTTGTGCAGGGCTGTTCTCAGCTCTTGTGGATTTTAAGAACTGGCAGGCGTAGAAGAGCGGGGACTTGGATTCCTGGCTGCCTTGCCACACACTGCTCCACTCTGAGATGAATGAGGGGTTCCGGCTTCCTTTCCAAATAGAGAAACTGAGGTTTAAAGGGGCAAGGTGGTTTGCCAAGATCTTCCAGCTGGTGTGCAATCGCCTTCCCTATCAGCTCAGCCCCAGGACACAAAAAGATCCCAAGAGCTAAGGGCTGGGAAGCCTCAAGGTCAGCAGGTAGGAGGCCTGCAGATGCTGACCCTGGGCCCCTTGCTGGATGCAAGCTCTCAGGGGCAGAAACAAGAGAAACTCACAAACAGACTTCCAGAACTGCTTCAGAGTACCAAGAGCCAGATGTGGTGTTGCACACCTGTAATCCCAGCACTTGGGAGGCTGAGACAGAGGATCACCACAGGTTCGAGGCCAGCCTGGGCTACATAGTGGGACTGTCTCAAAAAAAAAAAAAAAGGCTCTTGGGCTCATCTCTAGTGCTAAGCTCTGTGGATGGCACAAATATTGGTTGAAGTGAACCAGAACATCCTGCATCCTGGATTTCACACAGCTAGGGGCAAGGCTAGGAGGCCAGGCTGAGCATTCTCAAAGAAATGGGCCTCTTGAGGTCTGTGGCTGTAAATGTCAGGCACAGGAGGCTGCTGTCTTAAAGGGAAGCAGGTCCAAGGAAGGGGACACTTCAGAGCTTCACTGACCAGGATAGTAGACATTAACTGCTTCTAGCAGTTCATTAGAAGCTAAGTTCATTAGAAGCTAAGTCGAGCTAAAAATGTATTTCTCCACTTCCACATGCATATCAAAAGTCCCCAGGCCCACCTCTATGTAGTAGCAGGCGAAGCTGGTAGCACGTGGGTAGGGTATTCCCACCACTCAGGAAGTCCTAGTGCACAGCTCTGGATGACGTTAAAGTGGGGTAGGAGGGTGCAGCCCCTAGAGTCCCTAAGGAGCCCCTCAGCCAATGGCCTGGGCTCCTGTTGACTGAGCCTTGCATACGCAGAGTCAGTGAATCTGGGCTGCCGTGCAGGCCTTCCGGTGGGCAGCAGGTGAGTTGCTCTGCCCTGCGCACCCTGATTGTCCTCCCTTCCACCTAGGTGGCTGTCTTACCTCCTATGCTTCATCTTGGACCTCGTCATCTGCCTTGTCACCTGCCTGGCACTGGCCAAACGCTCCAAATGTCTCCTTGCCTCGTGAGTCACCCTTCCTGTGGGCTAGGGACCAAGAAGTAGCTAGGAAAGGCTCCGAGATGGGGTGAGGCAGCAGCCAGGCCGGGGTTCCCCATGTGTGTCCTCCCTAGGTGTAATTCTGGGTCTGGTGCATCCCACCATCATGGCCCCTCCTTAGCTGCGTGAGCACACAGCTGGGTCTCTAGCCCAGGAGCTCTGCCTGAGGCATGGGGTCCCCTAGCCCTCTCCCAGCCATTAGCAGGCTGATGGCAGAGTAAGGGCGTAGACAGGAGAAGGGTACTGGAAGTGGGCAAGGTGGCCACCAGCATGGATCCTTTGCCTATCCACCTTCCTTTTTCTAGGATGCTGTGCTGTGGGCTGATAACGCTGCTCCTCAGCTGGGCCTCCCTGGCCGTGGACACCACTGCAGCAGTAGTGAGTAGGGGTTCTGGGGGGTGGAGTGGCCTGTCCAGTGACCTGTCCTGTCCTGACCCCTCAGCAAGGGCCAGCTGCTGGCTAGCATCCCTCCCTTAGGATCCCAAAATCCTGGAGCCCAAGGGCTCGGATCATCTTGGCTAGCCCCTCACCCTCCAGATAGGAAGACAGTTGGAGAGAAAGGAAGGGCTTGCCTGACATCATGGGATATTTAAAGTCAGCTAAGACGTAACATCTCTGTGAGGCATGTGTGGGTGGCCGGTGACACAGTGAACTAACAGGGTAGGGTTTGCACTTACACATACTCTAACACACTGTGTTGTATGTGTGTGTGTGTGTGTGCACGCATGCACATGTATGTGCTTCTCCACATGGTGCCTCAAAGTGTCATTGAAAGGTAGAGGCTCCCTATGAGGGAGCCTTCGGTCTTTAGCAGACCTTACCATGGAGCTCAGCTCTGCAGGAGACTCTGCCAGCCCATTCATCAGGAGGCTTTTGCCCCTCAGTGGTACCAGGTACCTCAGAGTGCATCACCCAAAAGGCTGGCATTTGCTGTTGACAGTCACAGCCTGTGGGAGAAAGACTTGCAGGCAGATCACTGTGACACATTGTGACTCACTGAGGTGAAGGTACATGCTGGGGTGTGTGTGCATACTCACATGTGTACATGTATAGATGTGAGTGTGTGCTAGAAAGGTTGCCTTTAAAGAAATGTCTCCCTGATCAAAAGTCATAAACCAGCACTGTAGCCTGCATCCGTCCTGCCTGAGCTACTCGGCGGGTAAGAAGTGGAGGTGTCATGCAGGGAGCAGCACCGGCTAGCTCAGGGCCTTGCTTTAGTGGCAGTGGAACTGGCAGGCAAGAGCTTTAACTGGAAGAAGGTAAGAGGATAAAGAGAGGCCTCCAGCTTGGGTAGTAGCCAGAGGGGGCACTCTGTAGAGGTTTACCCTGGCCCTCCCACAAAAGCAGGAAGCCAGCTAAGGCCCAGCTGATGGGTGCAGGTGTGGTTCCTCATTATCTCAGTCCTGCTTGTCCCTCCGGAAGAATCCTCAGGACATGAGGGCTGATTCTGTTCCCATGAGGTGACTGTCTCTGCTTGGGGCAGTCCCTGCTGGCATGGAAAGGCTCTGTAGGTTAGGGCAGTGGAGGTGCTAGGAGTGAGTGAATGTCTCTGCAAATCTCCAATCCTGCTGCCCTCAGTCTCGAAGGATAGTGAGTAATCTAGGTAAATTTAGCAGCAATAAGCCTTGTTTTGCCAGCTTTTATTCAGACACTCCCTAAATGACTACCATACCTCACTGCTGAGCTGAGGCTTTCATCCAGAGTTTCACGAAATAAAGGTTAAGCTGTGTTCTGCTTTTAGTTACCTATTGGGCATTTGTAAAGCATCTGTGTTGTTTTCAGCAGAAACTACTTTCATATCCTCTGCTGTCTCAGAAAAGAGCCTGAATCATGCTTTTGATGAGTAACAGGTTCAGGGCTCAGGAATTAGTTTGTTCCCACAGTGCTTTCTGACAGTCAGAAGCCCCAGTTCCTGGTCTGCCCAGCAGCTCTGGCCTTGGGCACTTTGGCTCTACTGTGCCACTGGGTTCCATAGCTTTCCATGGCCTTTGTTCAGAAGACAGAAGAGATGGGCATCTCCTGTCCCCCCACCTGGCACCAAGGCCCCAAACTACGACTATGAAGGCCATGATACAAGCATGCAGCTCGTGTGCAAAGTCCTGGTGACCTCTGGGACTGGAGGACTAGTCACAATGCAGGGAGGGAAGCCACAGGCTGGAGCAACACGCAGCTCTGTGGCCCGGGCCTCTCCTCCCTACAAGCCCCTGGAAGCCTTCCACCGCTGTCCTGGGGCCCAGAGCTGTTTCCTGAAGGGCAGTCTTTGCCTTCTGGACACATGGTGACTTCCAGCTTGCCACCATGAGCTTCCCTTTGGGCGGGGCTGCCTCCCAGCAGGGCTTCTGTGCTCTCCAGGCTTCTCCTAGGGGAGAACACTTTTGCCATTGATTTTACCTCGAGATGCCCTGGAATGCCAGGGAGCTGGGAACAGTGCCATTTCCCTAATTCCTTTTAGTCAGGCCCTCTTGTAGGGAGGAGGGTGTGAGGCCAGGCTGAAAGGGCCTTTGATAGGGTGAGGGATGCTGTGCATTTTAATAGGAAGAGGGGTGGGGAGGAGCCAAGCGGGGGAGGGGAAGCCAGCTGTCAACAGATCATTGTGCGGGGCTTTGTGTGGCTGCTCCCCACACCCTGCTCTCTGCAGCCTCTCCCCACCCCTGTCTCCCTGAGAATCTGCTCCAGGTGACCCTGAGAGGAAGGGGGCTGGGGCCTGGGGAACTGAGAGAGCCCACGATGGGAGCCACAGAAGAGACCTCAGCAGAGGAGGGGAAATACTAAGAAAGGGCTCAAGATAGATTCTGCAAGAACAGTCAGCCACCTGGCGCCACCCTGGGCATCAGTAACCCTAACCCACCTCTCCCTATACTGTGTCCCAGCAGTGGAACCTCAGGAAAGGCCCTGTAGTTCTCCATGACTCAGTTTCCCCCAGTAGAAAATAGAATAAGAGCTCCTTCCTTGAACAGTTGTGGGTAGTGAAGGCTGAGTTGGTGAATCATGGGAGGCAATCACCTGTCCTAGGAAACAGGAGCTGAGGGTAACTTGGGTCCTGAAATGCAGGCCTGGCCTAAGAGAGGAAGGAAGGTAAAGGACCACATCATTGGGCGAGCTCCAAACAGGGCACTCCTCTTTCTCTCCTTGGACCCCAGTCTTCTTGGGATGACCCAGACCAAGACAGCAGCTTTGCTCATTACTCTTCCCAGAACTTCCTTAGCCCCCCTCTGGCCACTCTACCTCTTGAGCCATTGCTGATGCCCCCCAGGTGTGCTGGCTTTTCAGCTCTGGTGGGCGATACTAAACTGGGCTGCTCCATTCTGTGTTACTGGTTTGTGTGTGTACAAAGCGTCCTCCCAGGGTCCTGTGTGTGTCTGGTGGTGACTGTGTGAGTGAGTGTGTGCACGTGGAGCTCTGGGAAACACTATCTAGCAGGGCCCATTGTTCCCCGGCATCCTTGTATACTAGCCATGACATCACCCTGCACCCATGCTAGAACCAGGCCTGGTACCTGGTAAGTCTTTATCCACTCGATGAGTGAGTGGTGCTGTGTTGTGAACCTCCAAAGCAGTGGCCCCTAAAGAAGGAAAGGGCTTCTGGCATTGCAGAGCCATCTGGAGAGGCCCCCTTCCCAAGGAGCACGCACTAGGAGGGACAGTGGCTCAGCAGAATGAACTACGGGACCAGAGCTCACTGGAGCTCCTCTGAAAGGTAGCCCCAGTACCTTCCTGGGCCCCCTTTCCCAGTGCCCCACTACACCGTAGGCCAGATCCGAGTTGAGGGAGGCAGGCCCTGTGGATAATATGCTTGCTGCCTCCTCCCCCAAGGCCTGTCTCCATTCCTACATGGCCATGCGGGCTTTGGGGGTCACCTAGCCAAGCCATGCTGAGTTTAGATCTGCCAGTTCATCCCAGCTCCCAAGCTCATGCTCTTCCTGCACCCTCGTCCCATCTCAGCAGACAAAGACCTGCCCCACACCAAGGCTCCTAGATTGATTGAGCTCTAACCTCGCTCTTTGGTGGGTAAGTTGCAGGGAACTTTTATATTTTGCCTGCCAGAGCATGTAGAGCTTGAAAACAGCAAACGAAATACAGTAAAGATGGGCAGATAAGGCCAAGGAGCAGAAAACTCCCCCAACCCCCTGCAGCTGCCCCTGGACCTAGGTTCATTGACCTCCCTGACTGCCGGTCCCCGAAAAGCCATTCAGGAATATGAGCAACAGTTAACATGTCTCTACCAGTCGCTTTTCAGAACACTTTGCATGTTTGTTTATAAGGTAAATAGTATTTCTGTCTCCACATGTCAGATGAGGCAACCGAGGCCACAGAAAGAAATAACTGATTCATGGTAATGGCTGGAAGGGGCAGAGCCCGGATTCAAACCCAGGAGGAAGCTCCTGAGCTTTTCTGCCAGGCATGAACAGAAAGGTGCTGAAGGCTGAGGCAGTGGACACCTGGTTCCTCCCAGGACTCAGGCTGACCTTCCTCCTTGCTTCCATCTCTCCCTGCCTCAGGGCACCAGTGACTTCTGTATGGCTCCTGACATCTTCATCCTGAACAACACACAGGGCCAGATCAGCACAGGTAACACACTTGGGCCTCTGCCCGGATGCTCAGGGTGGAGTCCCATGGGTTCAGGTCTATCGAGACTGCCCCCTTTGGGATCTTAGAGATGAGGAGGGACACCTGGTTCGACCACTGAGGTTGGTAAAGGATCTGGTCCCCCGTAAGCCACCTGATGCCCATTTCTTACCTTACAGAGGTGACCCGCTACTACCTGTATTGCGGCCAGAGTGTGAGCAGTCCATTCCAGCAGGTACGGCACCCAACCACAGCCTCCACACAAGGCCCACCAGTGGTCAGGAAAGCGGTTAGCTGATGCCTCTGCTTCGCTGAAGTCCTCCTTCAGCTGTTTCTCTGGGGACTTGTGCTCCTGGGCAGCTTATTGCCATTCAGGTGCTGTGCAGAGTCAAGGTGGGGCCCAAGGGTCTGTATTTGACCACATCTGAGAAGCAAGCGGACCGGGGAGCTCTCAGGCAACCAGAGGAATGGGGAAAGATTTCCTGCAGGCAGGAAGGGGCATACCCCCAGCCATAGTGGATAGGTTGACCAGAGCAGTGGGGTCTGGACAATTGGAAGTGCCTCCCCGATATGAGTCAGGGTGCCCAGTATTCTAGAGCAACTAACCTGACCCAGCCCCTCCCAGCAACCCACCCAGGCCCTTTTGTGCATTTGTAGTCAGTGGACTGAGGGGGGCTGCATGAGGACAAGCCCCTCAGTAGCTTTAAGGGTTCCTGGAAACAAGAGCCTCTGGGAGCTGTGTTCTCTTGTCGCAGGTGCTGACCGTCTTCCAGCGCTTGATGACCTCCATGCAGATCCAGGTCACAGGGCTGCTGCAGGTCGCTGTGCCCCTCTTCCCCTCAGCGGAGGTAAGGCAGCTGCCTCCTACAGCACCTGTGCTAGAAGAGGAGACCCTTTTTCACCCACCCTGCCCCTCATCCTAGGCCCGCCTGTGGAGAGCTGGCTGCTGGCCCGCACCCCTCCCCTGGTGCTTCAGTCCCTTCCTGTGGCTCGGAAAGCCTCTTTGCACACTCTGTCTGTGGTTTGATCTGCAAGCCCTCCCCACACTGCTCACTCTGTGCCTCTGCCCCACTTCCTGCTGCAGAAGGATCTTCTTGAAATCCAGTTCCTGCTGAACTCCTCGGAGACCAGCCTGCACCAGCTGACGGCCATGCTGGATTGCCGAGGGCTGCACAAGGTGTGGGGCGCCCCCAAAGGCCACCCAGAAAGAGAAGTCATCAGAGAGACCTGGGAGAGTGATGCCTGGGCTCCCTGCAGGCTGTGGAAAGTGGGGGGAAGTGCTGACTTCTCGCTTCCCTCTGGTGGCTGAGACAGGGAGGCCCAGGGAAAGGAACTGGGGGCAGGCGTGGGAGGCTGGATCAGGTTAGCTCCCGAACTTGGGAGTCAGAGGACTTGTCAGAGGGAAGCAGGTTTCCATGGTCGGCACTGGAGGCCATCTGGTCAACCCGTCTGTCTCTGTGGGCTGCAAATGGTGGCCCAGTACCATCGCCGGGGTCATCTGTCTCCCCAGGAGCTTGGGATATCAGACAGGAATGCAGTAACGCATTACTGCGGGAATACGCAAGCTCCCCCCAGGCGCTGGCAGACAGCCAGGGCGTGTGTCACCATCCACATCTGGTATGGGTTTAGAGCGGTGGTCACGATAATGACTGTGGGAGCCGTTCCCTCGGGGTGCAGCTCTGATCGGCCCTCACTGTACTTTCTATCCAGTATGTCATCTGTCTTCGCAGTGACAGTGTGGGGTAGTTATTTCATGGGGAATCTTGCCAGGCAGGAAACTACGTGTGTGTGGCTATAAACAGACACACGTGTGTACACATGTATGCGTACCACACGTCCACAAAGTACCTTACCAAAGCTCTCAGTGCTGGCAAGGCAGGGACACAGATTTTAGATCCTGGCGCTCTGGTGTCAGAGGTAAGACCATGAGTCACCCTCGTTCCCTCGCTCCTGCCCCCCACTCAGCCCCTCAGCACAGCCTGGCAGCTCTCCTCTCAGTGAATCCTGAATCCATGCATGTCTGTCTGTCCCGCCCCCTCTGTAGCTTCCACCCAGGACCATCCTCCCCTGGGTGGCAGCCATGGCCCCCAAACTATTACCCTAGGCAACAGGAGCCCCTCCACTTCCCCTTGTCCCCTGTCTCCCAAGACCTTTCACACACAGCAGCCAGAGTGGTCATTTTTTAAAATGGATCGGGTCACTGGGCATGGCAGTAGCTGCCTAGAATCCCAACACTCAGGAAGCAGAGGTGGAAGGATCGTCACGAGTTCCAAGTCAGCCTGTGCTACACACAGTGGGACCCTGTCTCAGAGAGAAAGAAAAAACAATCAGTTCACACCTTCCTATCCCAGCACTTCTGTCTTCTTCTCATTTATGGGAAACCTGGATTCCTCTCCTGCTGCTCCACCCCTCAGGTTAATGGAGTCTCAACTCCTGGCCTCAGTCCTCCCCTCGGCCTCTCAGGCAGCTGGGACCAGAAGCTCATGACACCAAATCTGCGCCCTTTTTTTTTTGGTCTTTTTGAGATGGAGTCTCACTATGTAGTTCAGGCTGGCCTTGGGCTCACTTGGTAGCTCAGGCTGGTCTTGAACTTGCAACAATCCTCCTGCCTAAGCCTCTCAACTGCTGGGATGGGGGCACACTACACCCAGCTCTTTTCTCTTTTTAAAACACACCAAGCTCATCCCCTTCGCCTCGTCTCTTCAAGGCATGCTCCTTCCTATGTCCTGGCCTTTGTTTATGCCCTCTATCCTGGCTGCCCCCTCCTGCAGCCTCCTCTGCGTGGCTCAGAGCCAGCCCTTCAGTGCCTGGCACACAGTAGAAATGGCGCCATGGAACCCTTTTGTCTCGTGCTCTCTGGTGAAGCCTTAGTGGCTGTAAAAGGTGCTTGGGGTGGGGAGCAGCCAGGAGATCCCAGATCTGAGGCAGGAGGAGTGGGTTCCCCAAAGACTAAGGTAGTAGCCGGAACTCCTCCTCAACGCATGGCCCTCCTCCTCCCCAGGACTACCTGGATGCCCTCACTGGCATCTGCTATGACGGCATCGAGGGCCTGCTCTTCCTCGGCCTCTTCTCGCTGCTGGCTGCCCTGGCCTTCTCCACGCTGATCTGTGCAGGGCCGAGGGCCTGGAAGCACTTCACCGCCAGGTGGGCTCTGGTCCCCTGGGAGTGGCAAGGCAGCCCCGTCCCGGGTGACTTCAGAAGCTTTCCCAAGAATCCCCACAAAGGGGTCTCAGGCCCACAGGGGCCAAGGGCGGTGCCAACCCCGTGCCGCTGCCTGGGCTCCTATGCTGCTCCTCTCCCTTGGCAGGACCTTGTACAAGGGGATAATGAGGGAGTCTCGGGTGTTGGGAGGGTACCCTGGGGAACTCACAGAAGAGTCCCTTCAAAGAGGTAACCAGTGGTCTGGAGACAGGAACAGGGACAAGGTGAGGTATCAGCACCTGAGTGGGCAAGAGGGAGTGGTAGGAGGCCCCTGTGCAGTCCACTGGTGGCCACCAGGGAGAGGTGGACTCGGGGTTAGAGTTAGGCAGAGTGACCTTGTGAACAGGGACCGTGCTTTGGAAGCATCTCCAGAGAAACGCATATGGCGACCAAGAGCATCCTGGGAGAAGAGACTAGGAAGAGCAGGACCCAGCAGCTCAAGCCTCCCTGGCCAAACTTTGTGTCATTGTAGGGACAGAGACTATGATGACATCGATGACGATGACCCCTTTAACCCACAAGCGCGGCGTATTGCAACCCACAACCCTCCGCGTGGGCAGCTACACAGTTTCTGCAGCTACAGCAGTGGCCTGGGCAGCCAGAGCAGTCTGCAGCCACCCACCCAGACCATCTCCAATGCGCCTGTCTCCGAGTACATGTACGGCCAGCCTGGGGCAGCACCGAGTTGCCCAGCCCTGGAAAGGAGCTGGGTGTCCTGGTTTGGTCCCTACGGCCACATGTGGGAGGGAAGGCACTGAAGCACAGCCCTGGCCCCCTGACTCATCATCACCTGTTGGCACCCATGGGTGCTGAGGGAGCGCCCACCACAGGTTCCTGGCTATGGACTCTTGCCACGAACTCCGTGCAGGTCCCAGCCAGAACAGCTATGCTTTTCCACGCCGTAATGCCCCCTCCTGCATGTCCCCTGACCCCTCTAGGTGGACTTTGTCCTTTATTTGCCCTATTTCCACACTCCTCATACCCTCATCCATGAGACCCTCCCAGACACATCTGTACACGCTATACCCCACATCCCCAGACCCCACCCCACTGAGTGCTCCTCTCGGCCCACAGGAACCAGGCTGTGCTCTTTGGTGGGAACCCTCGCTACGAGAACGTGCCGCTCATCGGGAGAGGCTCCCCTCCGCCCACGGTAAGCAGCCTTCCCCCTACAGCGCCAGCACTGTGGCCCTGACTAGAGAGAGAATCGAAGACAAGCCCCTGCCAGCTGAGCAAACGCTGTTCCCAGAAGCACAAGAGAGGGAGACAGCTTGGTCATTGAATAAGCATTGGACCAGGCCACCGTGTGCATCATGTCCAGTCTGAAAAAGAGAGACTGCAGAGTCAGAAAGAGACATCACCCTTTTATGTGGCCACAAAGGCACAGCCCGTTTTACTGCTGTGCTCAGGATAAATGGCACCTGTCCTCAGTGTGACAGCACCCTTGCTTACACCAGCCATCTTGTATCCCCTGGTAACTGGGGTGGCCAGTTTTGTCAGATCATTGCCTTTGTCTAGAGGAAAAATGAAATGTCTGTGTTGCCATGATGGTCGGGAGTTATAATGTAGAGGCAGGCGCCTAAGTTAGGCTCCCACTGAGGAGAAGACCGCAGTGTCTTTCCTGGTGTTAACCTTCCTAATAACCTTCCTGACCTCTGTAAGAAGCCAGCCCAATCCCAGCACTCTTGAAAGCTGAGGCAGAAGGATCACAAGTTCTTGCCCAGCCTGGGGAATGTTAAGACTGAATGAGACCCTGTCTCAAAACAAAAAAATAAAAAGCGCTGGGGATATAGCTTAGTGCAGAGGCCTGGGATTCATTCCCCGGTATGACAGAGAGCGAGAGCAAGAAGCAGCCCACTCCTGCATTGTAAGACTGACAAGAGCTTTATGTGGCCTTTTAGAAAGGTTAAATGCATCTCAAAAAGGCAGAGAAAAGCCAGGGTGTTGGCACATACCTTACTGCCAGGTACTCAGGAGTCTGAGGCAGGAGGATCTAAAGTTTGAGCCCAGCCTGAGCAATTTAGTAAGATCCTGTCTCAAAATACAAAGAGTTAGGGATGTAGCTAAGTGGTTGAGCATCACTGGGTTTGATTCAAGTCATTAAAAAGAAAAAACGATTTACAATAAATTTCTAAAGAATATACTCTAAAAAGAGAGAAGGCATCTTGGTTTCTCATTGCCAGGACAATACTGAGTGCCGCAGTTACAGGAGAAGTTTATTTGGGCTCACAGTTTGCAGAGGTTTCAGTGCACAGGGGGCTGGTGCTCAGGCAGGCTGCGGGCCAGGCAGGAAGCAGCAGCCTTCCTTCACTTTTGCTTTTCAGTTCATTGAGGCTACAAGCCCATTGGTTGGTGCCAGCCACACCCAGAACAATGCTCAGCCAATCAGTGGACTGATCCAGGATCACTCCTATGAGAGCAGGAGGCTCTGGAGACACCTAGATATAAGCCATGTCCAACGGCAGTGGCTTCATTTTTGCACCAGGGAACGGGAAAGGAATTTTCCTTTTTAGATTTGTACTTCCCCTTATCCCAGAATGGTTCTGATATCAGACACTGTGCTGCCCCACCCCATCAGTGCTCAAAGCCTGTCAGACTGTGCCCCAGAGGCCTATGCCTCCTGCCCACCTCACCGATGCCTCCCAGCAGGAGCCACACCCACACGGGAGCCTCAGTAGTGAGCTTCAGGCAGAGGGAGGAGAAAACACCGGGCTGCCTTCTCCCAGCAAAGGCACTGAAAGTCACAGGACTGAGCCTTGATGTAGGAAGAGCTGCAGGGACAGTGTAGGCTCTGGGCAGGGTGCCAGGCTCATGTCCTAGCTCGTTACTTATGGCCTCTGGGACTTTGGACAATGACTGGTCCCTTGCCTCAGTCTCCTCATCTGTAGACTGGGAATAGTGATAACGGTGCCTACATTATAGGTGATCTGAGCATTAGAGGAACAAATTATTATAAAAGCGTGATACGGGCGGGCTGTGGGTGCAGCTCAGGGGGAGAGCACTGGTTTAGCATGCACAAGGGCCTGGGTTCCGTCCCCATCAGCACAAATAGAAATACTCATTTATAAGACATATAAGACGTTGAGCTGTTTTTTGTTTTTTGTCTACTTCTTCCGTTACAAGAAAGAGCAAAGTCAGAAGACAGAGATGGAGGCAGGAAAATTCTGGAACCAGGTATTTGCTTTCATGTGACTGGTGGTGACATTTTACCTGGCCATCTGGGGGTGCACAAAGGCACTGCTGAACCACTGTCAGAGAGTAGCAGGGAGACCTAGATTCCTGGGACCTGGGTCTGAGAACCCAGGAACCACATAGGTGGGACATTTAGCGACATCCTGGCCTCTGCCTGCTCCAACACCTGCTTGGACAAATCCCGTCTTTCCCTCCCATCTCCCCACCCTGCCATCCTTTTGGACAGCGCCACTTCAGCCTACTTTTTTTCCGTCTTCCCAGTGCTCAGGAAGGGGCAGCAGGCTGGGGAGGCCTGTGTAGGTGGGACAGCACCTTTCAAGCCCCAGCCTGGCTTCTCCTAAGTACCTGGAGCCTCCAGTGGATCTCTCCTCCCCATAATTGGGGAAAATCCGCTGTGAAAACACAATTCCCCGATGCCTTGTGATGTTAAATAAAACTGATCTTTAGATTACCTTGTTTGGAAAGATCTGGTCAACGCTTTGGCCATTAGCCAGGGGTAAACAAGAACTATCCTTACTTAAGGCTTGAGAGCACAATTAACCTTCTTCTCTGGAATGAAGATCTGTGCAGAAGCCCAGCTCAGCCTGTTGAGGGGAAGATCCCCCACTCCCTGCCCCTGCAGGGCAGTAAGGAGAGCCCTGATGGTGCTGCTAACCAAGAGTGTGGGCATCGGCCCAAACAGGACAGTGAGACTGGCTGTCCCCACCACCAGCTGAGTCTTCAGCACCTTGTGTGGGCCACATAAGCTCCCCATCTGTCCAGTACCTCTTTGGAGCAGCCAGGGTTGTCACTGTGGTGGAATATGCCCACTGAGGCCATCTGGAAGGCACGGCCTGCCCTCTAGACTGGAAATACATTTTCCTGTAGCTCCACCTTCAAAGAATCCCTCCTGTCCTGTCCTTCCAGGCACTGGTTCCTAGACCCAGTGGCCCAAAATGGCCTAGGACAGGTGTTAAAGTTGTGCCACAAGACATTACAACAAACCGATTTAAACAACAGGTTTTATTTGTGATTCTAAGACCAGATAGCACTGCATTCTGTAAAGTGGAGCCAGAGTCCTATCGAGCTCAGCAGAGGAAGTCCTTCTTGGGATTTTTTACTGGTGGACGTAGGTGGTGTGGGGGGTGGAACCCAGGGCCTCAGGCAGGCTGAGCACAGGTCATACGACAGAGCCATACTGCTAGCCCCCAGGGGTTGGTTTTATAGACAAAGAAGAGAAACATAGGACAAAAAGTGGACTGGTCATTTTTAAGCTACTTTCCTTATAAGGATATGGGGCGCAGGGAATCTGAATAAAGAAATAACCAACTGATTAACATCAGGTTATTTTAGGACCTCCCCCACCCCTCACTGGGGAGAGAACCCAGGGCCTTCACACTGAACTACACCCTCAGGTTATTTTTTATATCTAAAAAGCAATCTTCTGTAATTTTTATTTACTAACACCAACACTAAGAATTCTTTCCAGGCTCACAGAAGAATCTCCCAGGGAAAGGGGCCTGAGAGGTTGTAAGTCTTAACGAATTTATCAGTAGGTTTGGAAAATAACTGCTTTAAGGAAGGGGGTCTCACATCTGTGTGTACATCAGAATCAGCCAGAGGACTTTTTTGGGGGGGGTTGCCGGAAATCGAACTCATGACCTTGTGCTTGACAGGCCGGGGCTGTGCCACTGAGCTGTATGCCTGGCCCTCACCCACAGGACTTGTTAAAAACATATACTTGTAGCTGGATAGGACACACACTTACAATCCCAGCTGTCTGGAAGCAAGAGGAGCCCAAGTTCCAGCCCAGCCAGGGCAACTTAGTGACTGAGCAAGACCCTGTCTCAAAATAAGGAAGACTGGGGGTGTGGCTCTGGGTAAAGTCTCTGAGTTTAATCCTTAGTACCTAAAAAAACAAAACAACTCTTCCGGGCCCAGTTTGCCTCACATTCAGGATATGTGGCATGGGCCTAGGAATTTACACTTCTAGCATTTTCCAGATAAATGTGACCCTGCTGGTCTGGGAGCCACGGTGGAGAACAGGTGGCCTCAATCAGTGTCGGCTCTGCTGATGGGCAGGACCAGCCTTCATGGGCACTGTCCACCGCTTTGCGGGCTGCATAGCAACATCCCTGACCTCCACTCATCAGCTGCAAAGCACTTCAGCTCCTCAGCTCCCACATGTGACAGACAGACCTTCCCCAGACATGGAGCCAAAATCGCCTCTCACGGAGGCCTGTTGGCTGACCAGCCTCATGCCCTCCTCCTCCCCCACCCCAAGTGGCAGAAGTATCCACTTCCCTCTGGTGCACATGACGCAGACCTCCAAAGCCTCGCTGGGGCCACAAGACCGTCGCTGACCCTTGCTACCCAGGTCAGCAGGCCAGCAGCACCCAATCCATAGCCTGTTAGAGCTGCAGGCTCTCAGGCCCTAAAGATGAAGTCCCCAGGTATGGCAGGAGGAGCCGCGGCTCTGCTTATTTTTTTGCAGACTTGTGCTATGTAGTACAGGTTGGCCTTGCTTAAGTAGCACAGACTGGCTTCAAACTAACAGTGATTCCCCTGCCTCAGCCTCCTGAGTACTACGAGTACAGGTGTGTGCCACCATACCCGGCTCATCTTTGCTTCTAAGAGGTAACTAAGGCCTGCTGAGCACACACTTGGGTTAGGTCACAGCCTATGTTGTTGGAATCCCCTGAAGACTGCTAAAAGCATACTGATAGCCCTTCAACATGCTTAGCTCCACCCCCCCACCCCACCCCCAGTACTGGGCCTTTGGACCCAGTACCCAGGGCCTTTGGACTGACCTACATCTTCAGCCTTTTTCTTAAATTTTGACTTAAGGTCTTGCTAAGTCTCTCTAAGTTGTCCATCTAGGCTCAAACTTGAAATCCAGCCTCCACCTCCCAGAGTTCTGGAATTACAGGTATGAGTCACCATAGCCAGCTTACCATGCTTAATAATGTGTGTTTTACCTCAGTAAACAAAAACATCCTGGTCAGGTGCCCTAGGCATCAGGATTCTCTTGGGCCCCCTAGGTGTTTGCAAACCTCTGTGTGAAGTTTCCTCTGTCTAAGTCAGAGTTAAGTACTCTCAGGCTGATGCTCCAGGTGGGGAAATTGAAGCCAATAATGGATGTGGAGAACCTTAGCTACAGTCCCCAGGCCTGTAAACTGCCCTGCTTGGCGTTTGGACCTGGCTCCCAGAGCCCACCAGCCTGTGCCCTCAGCCTGCTGGCTGCCAGCTGCTCCTGGCTGCTGGGGGAGGGGGAGTGCAGCTCCGGGGCCTAGCCGCTGCTCGTGGGCTGGGCCCCACCTGTCAGGCGCTCTGCTCACTGGCTGGTGCTTCTTGATCCTTTTAAAACTCTATTCTTGGGGCTGGGGATTTAGCTCAGTGGCATAAGTACCTGCCTTGCAAGCAGGTGGTCCTGAGTTCGATCCCTGGTACCGATAAAAAGAAAAAAAAACCTCTATTCTTTCTCTTTTTCTGGTACGGGGGCACACAAGACCTTTACCCTGAGCAACATCCTTAGCCCCTTTTTAAATTTTTTTATTTTCAAACAGCGTCTTACTGAATTAAATTGCTAAATTGCCAGGGCTAGCCTTAAACTTGCCGTCTTCCTGCATCAGCCTCCCAGGGTGTTGGGACTGCAGGTGGTGCGCCACCCCAGCAGTTTGTAAAATATCTTTGGGTCTGTAATCAGGTGAATCTGGATGTGGATCTGGGGAGGCGGGCGGCGATGGCTGTCCGCCCTCCACTTACCTGCTGGGAGCTGTGTCCCAAGTAACTGCCCCACCCGTGTCTCCCTGCAGTACTCCCCCAGCATGAGGGCCACCTACATGTCCGTGGCAGATGAGCACTTGCGGCACTACAGCGGTGAGTTTCCCGCCTAAAGGACTTCCGGACTCCTGTTGCTTCTTTCCTGTTTGGTTTTTAACAAATGCACACAAGCTGCATTTACCTAATGGAAACCAAAGGCACCCGGAGACCAGCAGGGTCCTGTGACTGCAGTGGCTCGGCGGGGAGGCCTTACCAAAGCCTCAGGTGGGCCAAGGCCAGGACCCAGTCAGAGGCCTCTCTTCTGTCCTACTGTCTACCCAGGGTGCCCCACCCCCACCCGCTGGGGCATGGCATCCACAAGGGAGGTTCTCAGACGCTGCCAGGCTGAGCTCTGTGCTCGACACCAGGACTGCCTGTTGTCAACTCGACCAAAAGCCCAGGCAGCTGCTCTCGAGTCACCTCTGCACTTCAATTTTTAGCCAGACGGTGGGAGGAGCTTACCAGGAGGTGCTCTTAGGGGAGGCAGTGTCCCTGATGCATCTGGAGCACTGTCCCCATCTGAGTTCCTGGGCTATGCAGACTGCCTGGGCCTCAGAGGCTCAATGTCGGGGGGCTTCTGCAGTACAGGGGTGGGGAGTGGTGGCCAGGGAGAAACGCAGAAGCAAGCCTGCCATGTTCTGCCCATTCTCTGCTCCCCACTGATGGCCTCAGGTATGGACAGACACTTTGAAAATGACTTCACTCTTTTTTCCAGTGTTTCAAAAAGCAGTTTGATGATCCAAAGAATCTCACCTCCTAGCATATCCATTCCTTCAGCTGGGTTTTATACTATTAGTATAGATTTTTGCTGGCACCAGCCAGTTTATTACAGATCTGGAGGAGAAGGGAGGAATGGAGTTTTCAATAAAATACAGGGGGAGCCCTGAAAGCAGAGTGGCGCCCTCTCGAGAACAACCGAATGCCCGAGACAACTGCCCTGCCCTTGTGTTTTCAAGGAGTTTGTCATCAGAGGTTTCAGCAAAGTGATTTCACTGCAGCTCCATACAAGGGCAGGCCTCCTTGCCACCTACACCACTGTGCTGTCCCCATGCCACTGTCCTGGACCCTGACCTGCTAGGTGAGCAGTAGCTCGTTGGCCAGGAGGACATAATGACCCCATCTTGCCCAGTGCGGGGCCAGGGTAGGGTCCACGGTGCTTCCAGGCTCCTGCCAACCCGCCATGTGCATCACCAAGCCCATGGCCTTCCATGCCAAGAACATGTGTCTTGGGTCCGGGATTCAGTCTCCATTCTGGAAGAGTCACTTTATCATCCCCATCCCATACCGACATCAGAGTCATCGTCAGCTCCTAGCCAAGCCCCCAAGACAGAATTGGGCCGCTCAGGGGCTCCCTGCCTCACCTACGCTACCCTCTACATACCACGAACTGCTTCGAGTGGCCATGTCACACCCCTTCTAGTGGCCGTGTCACATGCACATGGCCCTGTGACATCCTGGTGTCCCTTCTAACATTTCATTACTGGCAACTTAAGGGTTCTTAATGCATGTAAACTAAACTAAAATTGCCCAGGTGTCCCTGGAAGAGCCAGGTGGACAAACCTCTGCGTGACATGTGTACGCCCTCACCTGGGAGAGAAATAAACCACTTGTACTAAAATGTGTGCTCGGCCTGTGACTTTTTCCACACAGGGAATAATGGCATTTAATGGCCCCTTAGACCCCTTCTGCATTTGAAGCATCATGCAGTGCATGGGTTACAAGCAAAAAGTAGCATTAATTGAGTGTGCTAGGGACTGTCCAGGTGAGTAAAAGAGTGTAAGTGTGTATGTGTTAATTGATTTGTTTTTCTGTTTTTGTTTTGTGGTACTAGGGACTGAACCCAGGGGTGCTCTATCACTTAGTTCCACTCCCCTCCTTTTGAGCCACCGCCATCATTCTGAGATAAGAGTCTTGCCATGTTACATAGGCAGGTCTCAAACTTGAGATTCCCCTGGTAGCTGGGATCACAGGCATGTACCATAGTGCCTAGCTGTGTATTAGTTTTTAGGTAAACCTCACAAGAGCCCTAGGAGGTCTTTCATTCTGCATATCGATCAACAGATGCATTGAGGCCAAGGGCCTGGTTGCAGGAAATGCAGAACCAGGAGTTTCTAGCCAGGTCTCAAGCTCTGGCCTACTGCTGCCCCCGACCATGGTACCCTAGGGTTGAGTGGTGGTCACGCAGCAGCTGTCTACTATGCAAGTCCCGTGAAGCCGCTGTTTTCTCCTCCACCAGCCTCATGTGGTCCTTGCTGCATGCTCTGCTTAAACATTTGCTGTCCCCTCCCCGGGCTGCCTTTCCAGCCAGCAAGAGGCCTCTCACAGAGCCTTTCCTGCTTGCTTTGCTGAGTCCCTGGGGACGCAGGGCCCACCAGGGGTTGGGGCAGCTCCAGCTCCGCTCTCTGAGCCATAAGCAGCTGAGGATGCCTCACCACTGTCCCCAGTGGACTGCACACCCAGGTGAGTTCCAAACAGATCTGTGGAACTAGACTTCCAGAATGCAGCCTCCTTTGACAGAAATGGTTTTCCCAATCCACCTCCAGCTGATCTCAGGGCTTCTCCAGCAGCATGGAAAAGGCTGGTAGCCACAGGGAAACTTTTCCCATGGTTAATATGATGCTTTGAGGGCAGCTGTAGCTCCAGAGCCCCAGGGGAGCAGCTTTGAGGGCTTTTATGGTCTCTGATCTGGACAGGGCTCAGTTGCAGCAGGGCCTGAGGCAGGAAGGAGGCCCTGAAAACGCACAGGCCTAAGAGTGGCTGGTCAGTGCCCCATGGGTCACCTCCCAGCTTTGCCCTGCAGCAAGGGGGTGCAGAGGGGAGTTACTGTGCCACTGCCCACCGCCTGGCTCACCTTGACTGTCCTCCCAGCACCTGACTGCAGACCGCAGGGAGATGGGCAGCCAAGGTGGTAACCTGGAGACAAGGGCAGTTACTGCCAGGCCCTTGTGTCTGGTCCTTCACCGGAGGGGCGGGGGTGGCTCCGGGCTGCTCTTCACCCACCTGCCACACAGGGAGTCCTCCAACATTCCCCCACCAACCAATGTTCCTTCCCGGCTGTGAAGCCTTGTGCCTCTTTCAAAGGGGAGCGGGAGTTAACCCTTGCCCCTGGGCGCCACACTGCCGAGCCTTCCTTCTCCCCACCCTTTCTTTCACTGAAATATACCAACTATTGAACCCAGGGCCTTCCTACCCAGCTATACCCCCAACCCATATTAAGTTTTCTTGTTCAGAGACAGGGTCTCTAAGTCATTAACTTGCTCAGGCCGGGCTCCAACCGGCAATCCTCCTGCCTCAGCCTTCCAGAGTGATGAGATCCCAAGCACACACCACCATACCCTGCTTGCTTTCTCTTCTTTTCTCCTCCTCTCCTTTCCTCTTCCCTATTCCCCTCTCTCCTCTCCACCCCTTCCCTCCCCTCCACTTTCTCTCTTCCCCTCCCCTCCTCTCCTTTCTTTATTTCTTGCTTGCTGGGTGCTTGCAGCATCTGATATTGGGCCAGGACCTAACACATGCTAGGCAAGCACTCTACCTTTGAGCTATATACCTAACTCTTAATTTTTACCTTTTTAAATGGTTAAAAAAAATTAGGGATTTTCAACTGATTTTGATGGTAGAAAGAATGGCTTTGAACTGCAATTAAGCAGAATGTTATCCTCCTCCCTGAAGGAATCCCACTCTTAGTAAACCTGTATCACAAAAAGCCTATTATCAATTATACTTTTAATTGTACCAATCAAAAAATGTAGAAATTGGCTTTCTCTTTGGTCATATAATTATCTATATGGTACCTTTGCTTTTTGCCTCGTGAACTACAAAGTGTAAGACATTTGCTGTCTTTATAGTAGTTTACAGTTTGCTCACCCTTCGCTTTCTCCAAATTTTGGAACAACAGACTTACCTGTTACAAATTAGCCAGTAACAGAATCCACGTTGATTCGCGTACATACAAGTTCAAAGTCTTGTATAGACAAGATTCCTGGAGTCTTGTGCTTCCTGTTTTGGTTTGTCTGGGGGTTTTGGGGCTTTGTTTTTGCAATGCTAGAGCTGGAACACAAGGTCTACTGCAGGCTAGGCAAGCACACCGCTGCTGAGCCCCAGCCCACGGTCTGTTTGATTTCATCTTTCTTTTTCCTGATTACACAAAAAATGTGTCAGGCAAGCATTTCATACACAAAAGTGTGAGAAGAATTCCCCCTAATCCTCAACTCAGAACAAAACTCCATGAACAGTTTGTATGTTCTCCAAATTTAGTTCTCAAGTACTTGAAATAAGGTAATCACACTACATGTACTGTTCTATAATTGCTTTTTTACAAGTGGAACAGGTTCCTATCATTCTTTAAAACTCTGCTCCTTTTCCATCATTGATTCCTGTAGACAGGAATCTTAGACTCATACTCCACAAAGGAAGTGCTGTCTTCCTGCCTGGCGGAGGTCTGTCAGCTCAGCTGGACGCCTTTGGCAAGCAAGCACAAGGCAGAAGCTTTCCTAGGCTCACTCAGCAGGAAAGCAACACTCAACCAATGTCCCCTGACATGTGACTGACAGGTGGCTCTCAGGGTCACGGTCCTTATACACTCCCCATCTCCCTGTCTTATAGGAAGCGGTCAAGAGCCTTCCCTAAGTCCTCGGTGATTGGTGGGAACCATGGGATAATGGAGAAAGGCCACATGGGGAGGAGAAGACCCACTCCGTGCTAGGTTGGGTTAATGGTGTTTGCAGCATCTGAATGGCAAGTGTGGTGGGCAGGTCATGATCAGGACCAGCACTGATACAGAGGCCTTGGGGCCTGGATCTGAGGGAGGGACACACACACACACACACACACACACACACACACACAGAGTCACTGGTGCTGTGAAGAGAGATGGAGCTGTGCAAAAAAGGCTGGGGAGAGGAGACTGTTCAGCATCCTAGCACTGACGGAGCACATGAGAAAAAGCCCAGAAAGAACAAAGAGGGAGAGGGGGAGACGAAGAGGAGGGATGCAGACCACAGGAGGAGCGGGGAGGGGCGCCACCGCACCCCAGGGAGTGGGAGAACAGGATCCCAGCTACAGGGTCAGGCAGCTGGACAGTCTTCGCCTTGCTGGTCTTCCAAGGAAGACAAGGTTCCCTCCCTTCTCCGTGAGAGAGGGAAGGAAGAGCCAACCAGAGAGAAAGCTGAAGTGTGTGCTTGATAGATTAGCGGCTAGCGCGTTCTGTCCCCAGACTTCTCGAACTCTCAAGTGCTGAGGGTCCCAGCTTTGACTCCAAGCCCAGCCTCCGCCTCCGTCTCGGGGTCTCGGGGTCTCGGTAGAGAGAGGACGACAACCTGACTGCAGGTGCCATTCCCTGCCAGTCGCCCGTCTCCACCATTCCCAGCTAATGTGACATCCAGCAGTAGTCTGTCAGGCAGAGTATGACCGCCTTGTCACAGACGCGATGCGATGTCCAGGCCACCTGAGACTAAGAGGACGCGGCATCTGAAATACCTTAAGAGACTTTCTACTTTCCCAAAATCTTTCCTGAGAGCCCCAGAGATCCACTCCAAATGGCTCCTGCTCCTTTTCCCACTCTTCTTTGTCTTTGGACACAAACTGTGAATGACTGTTTCATTCTGGATCTCTGATTCTCCAAGAAAAGCACCACCTGTACGGACCCCAGCCCAAGTGGACTTGTCCCTTGGGCAGAAGAGCTGCCTTGGTCACTAAATATCATGTGGTTCAGAGCTTTAAACAGAGAGGGCAGAGGGTCCGGAGGAGCCGTCTGCGTGGACGACAGTGGGGATGTAGGGAAGGAGAGGGAGCCTCACCTTTATACGATGGGAGAAGGGCTGGTCTATGCCATAGAGAGCAATGGACACTGCTTAAATGGTGCCAAAAGGTGGGGCAGTTGGTTTCACCAAGGGTGTGGTGGATGCCTTCACAGGAAGCTCGCACAAACCAAGTCCTGTGGCAAGCATTCCAGCAACGAACATGAGTGGGGACTAGAGTGCCAGTTCCCAAGCTGACCAGGACACGAGAGCATCCGCTGATGAGGCCACACAGTGGCCATCCTGCCAGACGGCTCACACACGCTTTATTCCTGCAAATTGAGATGCAGCCTACTTTAAGCATTGGTGAGGAAAGCAGGTGATGTTTGCTAAATGTTTTTATATTGTGCTTTACTGGCCATGCAAAGTTAAGACTGTATATAGAAGACTTTCAGATAATGTAGGTAGATACTCTGCCTTCAAGAAGGTAACGGGGTAACTCCTCAGGGTTTTTTTGTTTTTTTTTTTTTTTGAGAAAGCAATCTTTTTGTTTTTCAATGCTGGGGATGCGCACCATGGCTTCACATTTGCTGGGTAAGTGTTCCACCACTGCACTACACACCCAGTTCCAGAGAGATGGTCTTTTTAACAAATGATACTGAGAAAACTGGATATCCACACACAAAAGAATGAGGTTGAGGGGCCAGGGATTTAGTTCAGTGGCATAAACTCCTGCCTGGCAAGTGCAAGGTCATGAGTTCAATTCCTGATACCCCAAAAAAAAAAAAAAAAAAAAAGTATGAGGTTGAACCTTACCTAACATAATGTACAAAAATTAACTCATAGTGGATTCATGACTTAAATGTAAGATCTCAAACTACAAAACTCTTAGAAGAAGAAAATGTAAGGAAACTTTTGCAATTTTGGATTTGGCTGGATATGACATGAAAGACACAGGAAACAAAGGAAAAAGGAGACAAACTGGACTTTATGAAAAATTTTAAACTGTATGCATCAAAAGACACTATCAAAGATCCCCATACAGAAGGATCTCCATGAATTCAAAGCCATCCTGGGCTATCCAGTGAGTTTAAGGCCAGCCTGCACTACATAGCAAGACTTTGCCTCAAGAAAAGTTTTTTTTTTAAAGATGCTACCAAAAAATAAAAATAATAGGGGCTGGGGATTTAGCTCAGCGGCATAAGCGCCTGCCTTGCAAGCAGGCAGTCGTGAGTTTGATCCCCGGTACCGATAAAAAGGAAAAAAAAAAAAAAGAGTTAAAAAAATAAAAATAATAATAAAAAAAGATGCTACCAAGTGAATAAAAAAGCAACCCACAGAAAAGGAGCAGATATTTGTAATCTGCTATGGTATTAATGTTCCTAATGCATGGACAACTCCTTAGACTCAACAATGAAAAAGAACCCAATTCAAAAATAAGTAAAAACTTTTATGTTTACAACAATTTTCATAAAATGGAAAAAGAAGTTCAGTAGTTTGTGACACAGCTGGAGGATATCCAGGGACAGGGCTGATCTCAGCAAAGACCTTCTGTTGCCAATTATGCTGTGATTGGGTGGAGAGCAGAGATAATGCGGGGTTTCCCCCTGTGAGGTCCTTGTGAACCCTCATCGCATTATGTGACCCGAAGCTGGCTTCCCTGAGCGTCTGATCAGGTCTGCCGGAAGGTCACCAACCAGCTGCTGCGGGCAGTAGTTGGCAGCGCGCTCCTGAGCGAGGGTGGGAGCCTGTAAAAAACCCCCGGCCCGTGGGAGAAAGGAGGCTGCAGTTTCCGTGCAACTTTTCCCACTTCTCACCTTCCCACTCCTACTTCTCCGCCCCGAGAGAATTGCCTCATCAGAGTCGTCACTTCCCGGAGCTGGTGGCGGGGAGGGATTGCAACCCCAAAGACCCATTACCGCCCTTTAGGAAGGAGATCCCGTCTACCGTCCGGTTTGCAGTCCCTGACCGCCGTGTGGAATGCCCGTCCCCTTTCCCTGCGGTTCACACCCATTTTCCAGCGCCGGATTACAACCCCGAATCCCACTCCCTGGACGACTGGTTCTTTGCCTGCCCGTGTCCGCTGACTTCACGCTGAACTGCGACCCTGTGCGGTGAGCGTAGAGCTGCCCTTCCGGCTCTGTCTTCAGCCTGGGGCTGAGCACTCCCCTAATTATCCTCTAAGGCCTGCCACATGTTAAAAAAAAAAAAAAAAAAAAAAAAAAAAAAAAAAAAGCCTGCCACTGTCCCGTCACTTTGCAGACAGGGAAAGTTAAGTCTTGGAGGAACAAAGTCACTTGCCCAAGGTCATATAGTAAGCAAATACCAATTGGGTTCACAGCTCCAAAAAACACTCAGCACTTTTCCTGGAGAAGCCACCCGGGACCTTAGACGTGCTTCTCTAACCCCAAATTTCCTTTGCTTAGCTTGCAGTATCTTATGTAATTGCCGTAGCCTGATGAGAAGTAATAGCTCATTCACAGATGCCTGTATTCAGCGAAAATCTGAACACACGTTTGCAATGTGCCAACCGTGCAGCTAAGCCGTGGAAATACCAAACCTTGCTCTCAGGGAGTTCCTGTCCCGGCGGCTAGGTTGTATGCATTTATCATACACCGTGCGGGGAATGTGGGGCGGGGCGATTGCACCAAGTACCTACATGGCCTGCGAGCATCCAAGCAGGCTGCACTTCGCCTCCCCCCGCCAGGACTCAGGGCTTCCCAAGCACTGACTGCTTTTCATGCACGGTCCTGGGACCTTGCCGGACGCAGATCTGTGGACGTGGATAAGCACCCTGGCAAAGCTCCGATGGATAACCACTCCCGGCATTTCACTAATTCGCTTAACTTTCCTCCCCTCCGCAGAGGTAGCCAGGAATCAGAGGTAGGACAGAGTCACGTGCTCCAGCCTCCCTCCGCGCAGCCTCCGTCCGGGTCACCCCATCCCAGGGGTTGCTAGGCAACCAGTCAACTGTGCGGTTGGAGGAGCTCAGGGGCCGGGAACTTGGCTTGGGTACTTCCCTTGGCGGAGCAGCAGGAGGAGCCGACCCAGCATAAGGAGAGGGCGCCGGGCGTCGTCCTCGCCTAAAGCGGAGCGTGGAGAGAGGAGGGGAGAGACGCCGGGGGTAAAAAGCACCAACGGGGCAACAACCTCTCGCGAGGGCTTCCTTTGGGCTTGGCTCTGTGGGATCGTGGATTCGGGCTCAGGTAGTTCTAGTGTCCTCTACCACGTCGGTCCTGGCTGCCCTGAGTGTGAACCTCTCAAGGGCTCTTTGGATCAGAACCTACTAGGGACGTGTAATTTGAATGCATCCTTTCAGGACTCCCTTACCTGGGAGCTGGCATTGCTGTGCCCCTTAGGGTATCACGGTGGAGATCAAACCTTTGATTTTGTTCCTCCAAACCCTGCACACTTCCCCCTTGAAACAAGCTCGGAGATCTCTTTCTCAATACGGGGACTGAACCCAGGACTCTCACAACTTTGTGTGTGTGTGTACAACAGTTGAACTCAGGACCTTGCAGGCAGTTGCGCCACTGGGCTACATCCCCAGCCCAACAACTACATTTTTTATTTTGAGACAGGATCTTGTTAAATTGCCCAAGTAGGATGTGAATTTGTGATCTCCCGCCTCAGCCTCCTAGACTGCAGGAATTACAGGTGTGTACCACCATGCCCCGCTAAATTTTGATACTTGGTGAAGGTTCTGATTTGGTGAAGGTTCTGATTTGATTCTTTCCACCAGATTCTGGTGTTTGCACTGGAGCATCCTGTTCTCTTTTTTTGTTTGTTTGGTTTTTTTTTGGGGGGGTGGTTTGGTTTTTTTTGTTTTCGAGACAGGATCTTACTATGTAGTTTAGACTGGCCTTAAGCTCACTATATAGCCCAGGCTGTCCTCAAACTGGATCCCCTGCATCGGACTCCCAAGTCCTGGGATTACAGGTGTGCCCCATCTTGCTGGCTGCAGCATTGTGTTCTGTGTGTCCATTGCTGTCTGGTGTTTACTATGTTCTGCATGCCTTGAGGTGTCTAGGTTTACATGCAGAGGGCGATCCCCTGCCCCTCGCCAGACTCCCAGGCAGCAGTAACACTCTTTATGCCCTCCCCCATCCTGGGCAGGGCCTCTGCTCAGCCCCTGCCTGCTCAGCCCGGGTAACACTCCTGAGAGCCCCTTGGTTGACCTCACTATTCATCCCCAAGACCTGTCTGCTTGTGAGAAAAGAGCCTGCTCTGGGTTCTTGAATGAGCTGTTTTCCCGTCACTAGGCCACCCTTTAAATGTCCCCTCTGTCTGGCTCCAGGCACAAGACAATGCCTCTGTTCTCACTCAGAGCTTGGCCTTGGGAACCACCAGGAAGAGGAGAGCAAAGCTGTTAAAAATCTGATCCGGAGGAGCTGGGGATTTAGCTCAGTGGCTTAAGTGCCTGCCTAGTAAGAGCAAGGTCATGAGTTTGATCCCCAGTACCAAAAAAAAAAAAAAAAAAAAAAAAAAAAAAAAAATCTGATCCGGGCTGGAGAAGCTGTTTCCCTCATTCCCATCAGCCTCCTCCATAGGCCTAGGCCCCAGTGGGCTGTCACAGCAATTGTCAGTGGGATGGTGGGGAGCAGCCCTAAACTGTCTGAGTCTAGCAGCCCAGCCCAGAGGTGAAGGTGCTTCTCAGTGGAAGAGGACGAGAAGGGAGACCAACTGGACAGCCCCTCTAGGTCCGTGTGGAGTGGACAGCTGTGTTTGTGCTTCTTTCCCTACGTCTATGGAGATCAAGGCCTCTTTGGGGGCCAGTGAAGGCCAATTTGTGGGATGTGTACTGTGTTTGAGTACCAACCCTGCAGCTGCCAGGGCATTTCACTCCACCTCTGAGCACCCATGGATGAGTCAGCTCTTGGAAGGACCGAGAGGCCCAGCCAAGGTCTTGCAGCTGGTGAGGGCAAGGCCAGAACTTGAGGTCAGGGTCCTGCCCAGTCTGTTTTCCAATTCCTGCTTTTCAAGACCTGGGCCACAAGGCAGAGGTTTTCCTAAAGGCCTGGATGTTGTGCCAATTGACATAGCTGCCCAGCTTTGTCCATTCTCAGGGTGACTCTCTTCTGTGTGTGACCGGGTGGTAGAGAGAGGAGAGATTCCTAGAGGGCTCTGCACAGAGTGATGAGGGTAGAGGTGTGGAGCCTAGAACTCTGGCACGGTTGAGCTTTTTGGACAGTTGGGTGCTTGGGTGGGGGATTCCAGAGGAGGCCTGGGGCTTCTCACCTGTGTTCTGTGTAGCTCAGATCTGGAGCGTGGTAGGGAACTCAGCCCAACATAATTGCCATCAATATTTCTTCCTGCCTCTCAAGAAACACCAATTCAGCAGAAGCTATCTGATGGGAAAGTCAGGCAGGTCACTTACCAGCTTCTGATGCTGAGTAAGTCATTTAGGGTACCTCTGAGTATCAAATTCCTTTAAAAAATGGTGATTTCACCTCATAAGGAAAGTGCAGGAACCAAGCAAAATAATTTTATGCTTAGCACATAGTCAGCACTCGGATGAGTCTTTAAAGTGGAGATGCAGCTTCTGGGTAAATTTCTACCCTTAAAACCTAGTCATCCCGGTGAGACCTGTGGAGAGGGGACAGGGCCAGGTGGGCCTGTCACCTCACATGCTACCTCTGCCCTGCAACAGCTGTCACCATGGAGATCGTCTACGTGTACCTTAAGAAGCGCAGCGAGTTTGGGAAGCAGTGTAACTTCTCAGACCGCCCGGCTGACCTAAACATCGACATCCTGCCCAACCCTGAGCTGGCCGCGCAGTTCGTGGAGCGGAACCCAGTGGACACGGGCACCCAGTGCTCGGTCAGCATGTCAGAGCACGAGGTGGGCTCCTTGCCCAGGCCCAGCTGGCCAGGGTGTGGTAGGGCTGGTGGGCAGCAGGAGCAGGTAATGGGGCTGGGTGCCCTGCCCCCCTGAAAGCCACGTGGTAGACCAGCCAGGGCTGGGAGTTAAAGGGGGGACCCACCCCAAGTCCACTGCAATGCTATACTCCAGAGAAGGTAGAGATGAAGCCAGGAGTTCTTCCTCCCGAGGGTTCTAGCCTCACGTGTGAGACTCCTCCTGGAGTTACAGGGGCCTTTGCAATACCAGGGAGAAGTACAAGGAGTGATCAAAAATACAGTGAATTGTTCAGTTTTAAAAATTTATTACAGTAAAAGATGTGTTATCATTAGGGCTCCTTAAAACACTCCCTCCAGCTTTAAACACACGTATCCCATCATTCTTGCCATGTTTTTGTTTGTTTGTTTGTTTGCTTTTGTTTTTTGATTTTTTTGAGGCAGGGTCTCACTATGTATTGTAGGTCAGGCTGGCCTTGAATTCAGTATGTAGCCCAGACTGGCCTCCAGCTCCAGAGAGCCTTATGCCTCAGCCTCCCAAATGCTGGGATTACAGGCACCACACCCAGCTATTGGCACTTTATAAGGCGGTTTTGGAAGTATTCTTTCATGGGTATGTTTATGAGGTGTGATTTAAAACAAAAACAAAAACATGGTGAATGCTTCTGTTCAGTGCCATCCAACAAAAACGCATCACCATGCATCCTTATCACTGGATCTGGCATGGTACAACTACCTAACCCGGGTCTTCCCCAAAGCCAAAACCAACGTGAGCGGTAAATGTTTTAAACTGATGGAGGACATCAAGGAAACCCCGATAGCACCACTACAGACATAAACGAGGATCCCAGAATTACTTCAGAAAGGAGCCAGAATGGTGGAATACGTGTGTTCAAAGCCAGGACCATCTTGAGGCGGATTATGGTGGTGTGTCTTGTACTGTAGGAAAATCTTTAAGCATTTAACATTCCCTGTATTTTTCAATCATACCTCATGTTTTGGGGAGAGCAAGGCTTTATGGCTATCGGCAGCTATTCAGCTCGAGAAAGGACAGCATGCCCTGGAGAATTCCTAGGGCAGGTTCGGGCTCCAGGATAAAACAACTGAGGGCCCTGTCCCCGTGAGCCAAGGACCAGGTTAAGGAACCTCTGAGAGAAAATTTGACAGATTCAATGAACCCATTTCCTGTCACACGAAATCACTGAGAGAAACTGACACTTGATTTAGCCAAAACAGAGCCCACAGTTGCAGGCAGATGGGTGGATCGGGTGATTTGAGGCTCAGATTCCCGCCTTGCTCCCCTAGCCTATTCCTGTCTGTGGAAGGTATCCCACCATGACCACAAGGAAAATGGCAGCCACACTGGCTCTTCCGTCACGGTTCTGCTGCCTTTGGGCAAGTGGGTTTAAAGATGGAAAGGAATGCTGGGTGTGGTGGCCCACAGGCCTGGGCTCCCAGCTATTAGGAGGCAGAGGCGGGAGGGTTGCGGGGTGAGGCCACTGGGCTGCACAGTGAGCCCCGTCCCAAAGAAGACATGAGGAAGGACTTCCATGTGGGGTAATGACAATTTTGGAACCAGGTAGGGGTAATGCTTGGATGATATTGTGTGTGGTAATGCCACCAAATCATACGCTTTGAAATGTTTAAAATGGTAAAAATAAAAATAACCTTTTTTTTGGTGCTGGGGATTGAACTCACAACCTTGCATTTGCCAGGCAGGCACTTATGCTGCTGAGCTAAGTCCCAGGCCCAAAATAACCATTTTCGAAGTGGGGAAAGTAGGAAGGTGGCCAAGTGGCAGGTTCAGTGGATCCAGCTGTACCCTGGGTGGCACTATTTTATTTTACTTTATTTTTCACATTGAGCTTTTATCTCCAGCCCTTTTTTACTGTATATTTTGGAATTGTTTTTTGGCACAGGGACTCGAACTTAGGCACTTGAGCTTGCCAGGCAGGCGCTGTGCTGCTGAGCTACATCCCCAACCCCTGTGCTGTGTATTTTGGGAGAGGGTCTCACTAGTTTGCCCAGGTTGGCCTTGAACTTATCAAAGTGCTGGCAGGTTTGTGTCACCACACCTATCCTGGGTTGCTTGCAATGATGTGACATTATTATTAATGAAAGGGCAGAATCACGCCCTTTCATTTCTTGGAATCTCATAGAACCCAGCTTTGGCCTCTGAGAGCCTTTAGGATCCAAGAACAGTCAGAACTGGGGCTTCCCTGACCTCCAGGTTCAACTGCAGAGCAGTTAGCTCCACAAGGTGGTGCTGCGAGGCTGCTGTGACCAGCTGAGGCCCAAATATTCTCTGCTTTGTGGCTCAGGCCAGGGCTTTTCATGAGCCCATCCTGGTTGGCAGAAGGGGCTGGCTGCTTATACCAGGACAGACATTTCCTTACCCATCGGACGGGCTGTGTTTAGGCCAACACAGAGCGGTTCGAGATGGAGAGCCGGGGTGTTAACCACGTGGAGGGGGGCTGGCCCAAGGACGTGAACCCCCTGGAGCTGGAGCAGACAATTCGCTTCCGGAAGAAAGTGGAGAAGGATGAGAACTATATCAATGCCATCATGCAGCTTGGCTTGGTGAGTCTGCCTCCTTGTCACTTGGGGTCCCCCAGAGCGTGCCACACCCCAGCTGGCCCAGCGTGGCCTCCCGTGGCTAAGAGGGGAAGGAGACTGACCACAGCCACACAGGTCCGTAGCTGAACACTGCTCAGTATGAGATTAAAAGGTGGGAAGTCCCCCGGGCAAAGGAAACCCCAAAAGAGTCCTCCCTGGCAGCCAACAGTGACCACTCCTGCTTCAAAGTTTGCACTGAGCTCTGGGTCTCTGCCAGGCCCAGGAGAGACAATAACAGTGAGCCTCATGGCCTTCCTGCCCCAAAGAGTCAAGTCAAAAGCAAATGCTGAGGCGTGGCCACATCACAGGAAAGGAGAGAAATACTGTCAGCAAAGGGGGACTTGCCTCCCTCATCAGGAGAGTGTTTCTCCCGGTGCAGAGATTGGAGAGCACTTCCTACAAGAGATGGCCCTGGGCCAGTCTTTCCTTGCTGGATCTCGAATAAAAGGCGAGTCGTGTAGTCCCATAGGGCCAGTGTCTGCGGACCAGGAAGCAGGACCCAAGTGCTGTCATACGCAGGGGTTAATAATTCTGCTTGACTCCTACAATATTTTTCAGACTTTTTTCAAGAGCGATTTTCCTAGTCACCTCCCTGCTTTGTGAAATCTGAATCTCATGGCTATACTGTATAACTATTGATGTGATATATATATATAATATGTATATTATATATATATATATATATATATATATATATATATATAAATGAGGCTTTGTATAGGTTATTATCTTATCTTCAAAACTGAGTTGAAAGTGCATGGGCTGTGGGCTGGGCATGTAGCCCAGTGGTGGGATGCTTGCCTAGCCTGAGTTCTGTCCCTAGCTCTTGGAAGAAAGGGAGAGAAGAAGGGAAGAAGGAAAAAAGGAAGGAAGGAAATGCGTGGCCTGTATAGAATGGATGTGCCCACTGGGTATCACTTGTTCCTCCCGGACTCCATCCAAGCCCTGCTCAGTCTGAAGGGCCTCTCTTTGTTCTGAAGAGCTTTTGATCTGTGTCTCCCCCACTGCCCCCAGATCATGGAGCACTGTATCAAGCAGAATAACGCCATAGACATCTACCAGGAGTATTTCGATGATGAAGAAGAGGTGGAGGTGACCGAAGAGGCCTCTTCAGCTAAAACCATCAATGTTTTCAGGTAGTTCCGTAGCGAGCAGGTGTTTGGGCAACTGTCAGCCTCCAAACGGACCCCTTGCTCGCACTCCAGGCTGGGAGGACTGTGTGCTCTGTGTCCAGGCGTGACAAGAGGCAGAGCAGTAAGAACTCGGTGCTCAGCAAAGTGGGCTCTACCCCTGCAGGGTGTGGAGCTTCCAGGGGTGAGACTGTGAGTGATCTCTAGGTGTATATAGTAGCGTCACTTCCTGCAGGGTATAGGATGCATGGCAGACGCTGAGACCCAGCATCACGGTGGGCAGACAGGCTGCCATCTTGCATTCTTGGCTGGAGATCAGAGCTAATCTCCTCCCTCCCTTTTTCAACATTAATAGATTACAGTTTTTAAGGTAGTTTTAGGCACACAGAAAAATTGAGCACAAAGTACCGAGAGTTCTGCATTGCCCGCCCCTTCTCTCGCCCCAACACACAGATCCCCTGTTAGGAGCACCCCCACTAGACAGACATGGACACACCCTCACCACCAGGAGTCCACATTTCCAGGAGGCTCACTACCAGGGTGGTCCAGTCTGTGGTTTGGGACGACTGTGTCATGACAAGTACCCACCATGATAGTGTCACACGGAGTGTTTCACTGCCTTAAAGATCCTCTGTGCTCTCCTGTTCCTCCCTCCCTCTCCCAGCCAGCCCTTGGCAATGGCTGGCCTTTTCATCATCTCCAAGTTTTCCCTTTTCCAGATGTCATATAGCAGAATCCTACAGCCTGTGGTCTTTCCAGCCTGCCTTCTTTCATTTTATAATAGGCGCTCATGTTTCTTTTAAGCATCTTTTCAGGGCTTCATAGCTGGTGACTCTTGGTGTTGAACGATGGTCCATTATCTGGACATACCAGGATTTATGCACTCAGCCACTGAGAAGTGTCTTGGTTGCTTCCAGGTTTTGGCAGTTATGAATAAAGCTGCTATAAATATTCATGTGTATGGACGGAAGTTGTTAAATCATTCCAGGAAACAAGGAGGGCAGTGGCTGGTTGCCATCCGCTTTTTATTCTAATCATCACAGAAGATCAAGTGCTGGCTCAAAATTTTCCTTTTTTATGATGTTAAGGATCGAAACCAGGGCTTTCACACCAAGCTACATGCTAGGTCTTTTTTAAAATTTAATTTCATTTTCTTACTGGTACATGCTTGCAGTGCATAATGATATATTACATGATCACAGTATAGGGGAGTCCGCACATGTATTTAACACATCTTAATTCTTTTTAGAATTTTTGTTTTGAGACAGGGCCTCACTAAATCACCGAATTACCTAAACTGGCTCAAATTTGCAATCCTCCTACCTCAGCCTCCCAGAGTGCTGGGATGTTAGGCATGCACCACCCACCCAGCTTCCAAACTTTCAGCAGTTTAAAGTGTTAAACTGGAACTTAATTTGCTGTTTCCATTATTTTAATGCTTATTATTATCTTCTAATTATGACTGGTGAGACTGGTTTTTCATTTATGGGAGTCTTATCAACTTTGTTTAAAAAGTAGATTTCCCTGAGTGAAGGTGATTACTTAAATGAATTTGAACATTTTAGAGACAAAAGCCTAATGAACAAGGGATTAGGGGAGCCCCACCTCCAGACTCCTGCCTCCAGACTCCTTGCTCTTCCCTTAAAGGGATCCTCAGGAAATCAGACGGACAGCCACACACCTCTCCTGGCACCCGGATGGCAACCGGAAGTTGGCAGTGGCGTACTCTTGCTTGGATTTTCAGCGGGCACCTGTGGGCATGAGCCATGAGTCTTACATCTGGGACCTGGGTGAGAAGCAGCGGGGTCCTGCCGGCCACCGAGGGCTGAGGAGTAAAGGAAGGCGGATTCTCCTTTCTTTCCCTCTCTCTTCTCTCCTGCCTGCCTGCAACCCTTGGGATCGAACCCAGGGCCTCAGACGCGCTCAGCAAGTGCTGTATCGCTGAGCGCATACACCCAGCATCCCCAGTTTCTGAGTCTTGATCTGGAGCACTAAGACCGGGGTCTGTGGGATCCCAACTTGAGGCCCCTCAGAGCATAACAGAATGATGCGGACTAGAAGGGGCCCATGTGGGAGGGAGGGGAACCCATGCCCTGGCCCTCCTTTCCTGCCGCTTGCCTGTAACCTGGAGCTGGCAGGGGTGGTGTGTCCATCTGTGGGCACAGACCGCGGTGCACAGGGCAGAACAGCGCCCCAGCCTCCCCTTCACTGCTACAGGGAGTGGATGGCACTGAGCTGAGCGCTGGCACCTTACTCTCTCACTCAGCTCTCTTATCACAGCCCCAGAGTGGACACCAAGGTGGACACCAGCAGAGCCCGTAGGTCCCGGACCTGGTTAGAGGAAGTCACTGAAAAGCTGACTCATGTAAAAACCTTTGGGTCTAAACCTTTCACTCTGAACCTGGGATCAGAGTTGCACACCCCCCCAAAATAAAGCCATCAGCCAAGATTCAGGTGTAAGGACCTGCGCCCCGGGGAAGACCAAAGGGTCTTCCATCCCTGCTGGTTAAGAGTTAAGCTGACTGGCCTGGTCTTTTTCTGTCCAGGCCTGATGGGGTCATTTTTCCCCCTGCTTTATAGAAAACCCCAATAGGCCTGAAATGGCCCTGAAGCCATCTTCTCCGCTGGTGACGTTGGAGTATAACCCCAAAGATTCGCACGTGATCCTGGGGGGCTGCTACAATGGGCAGATAGGTAAGGGGGATCCCAGTGCTCACCCAGTTGCCAGATCAATGCAGTGGACCTTCCTGCCGCTGACCACCCTGGTGCCTGTGCATCTGCTGGCACTCAGACCTGCAGCTGTGCCCATGCAAGTAAGTCTAACACTAGCTCAAAATAAGAAGTTCTGAAAACTGTAGTTCAAGTGGAAGCAAGGCCCACGCATTTGGGGACAGCCGTAGAGATGAAGCCACCGTGGAGTCCCGCGCTGGGAAAGGCATGGGGACACCTCCATGGTGCTGGTGGGTGACGCTGGCCTCAGAGGAGGAGCTGGAAAGAGGCCCCTTTCTGTTTTATTGCAAGAGTTTGTGAAGAATTTGAATTCTTTTAGGGTTTGGAAGAATTCATCAGTAAAACCATCTGGTCCCAGGCCTTTCTTTCTTTTTTCCTTTTTCTTTCTTTCTTTCTTTCTTTCTTTCTTTCTTTCTTTCTTTCTTTCTTTCCTTTTCAGACCCCTGGGATTGAACCCAGGGGTCTCTATCACTGAAATACGTCCCCAGCCCTTTCAATTTATTTTCTTGAGCCCAAATGTCACTCATGCCCAGGCTGGCCTCTCACTTGCCATCCTCCTGCCTCGGCGTCCTGAGTAACTGGACTTACACATCACCTATGCCTGACCTGGACTTTTCTTTGTGGCAAGTTTTAGAATTACTAACTGTATATCTTCACTCACTATCAGTCTCTTCAGATTTTCTGTTTATCCTGAAGCTATTGTGGTAGTTTCTGTCTTCTAGGGACTTTTCCATTTCATTCAGATTTCATAATCTGTGACATATACTGGCTCGTGATATTCCTTTATAATCATTTTCATTTCTGCAAAGTTGGTAGTCATGTCTTCTATTTCGTTCCTGGTTTTAGTAATCTGAACCTTCTCTTTTTCTCCCTCCCCTCCTTTTGTCAGCCTAGCTAGACGTTTTTCAACTTTGTTTCAAGAACCAACTTTTGACTTTATTTTTTTTCTCAGACTTTTAAAATTTTTCAGTTTCCTTTATTTTCCACTCTAATCGTTATTATTTTTTCCTTCTCTATCCTTGGGGTTTAATATGCTCTTCTATTTCTCACTTCTTAAAGTAAAAGGTTAAGACAGTGTTTTTGTTTAGTTTGGTTTTTCATCTTTGTGGCCCCGAGGCTCAAGCCCAGGGCCTCGTACGTCCGAGGCCAGAGCTCTGCCGCCGAGCTGCAGCCCTGCCCTTGTCCTCTGTGGGTTTGTTTTTGTTTTGTTTAGTATAGAGATTCACGGCCATGAATTTCCCCGCCGTGCTGCTTTAGCTGCACCCGTACCTTTTAAGTTGTCATTTTTTACGTTTGCTTATTCTAAAGTATTTCTGGCTTCCCTTCTGCTTTATTCTTTGACCCGTGGGCTCATAAGAATGTGTTTGCTCATTTTCCAGCTATTTGGGCATTTTCCAATTTTCTTTTAGTTACTGATTTCAAGTTTTATTCCATTTGCTCAGAAAAGTTACATGATTTCAGTCACCTCGCATATGTCAGGCTTCTCTGGTGGCTTGGCACACCGTCCCTCCTGGAGAGTGACCCTCCTGTCCCCCTGAGAAGGACAGAGAACCTGTGCCATCTGCTGACAGGCAGGACATTCATTCTGCAGCTGCTTTCTCCTGAGTGTGACCCAGTGTTGGGCAGCGATATCCCCGGCCCCGGCTGGTAGCCTCCAGTGGCCCGGCTTCTCCAAGCCCCTGTGGGGGTCTCCAGCTGGCCCTCAGAGGCTTTTTGGTCAGCCCGCCGCTTGCCCCCCTTGTCACCCACAGCCTCGGCTGCACATTGTGCTTTGGCCTTTGCACTGAGCAAACTCAGAGTCAAGCCGGACTCTGAGGAGCTTTCCAGGAGCTGCCAGGCAGCTCAGGTAATGGCAGGTTTCTGGTCATGGGACTTTGAACGAGCTCTGTCAGCTCCTTTTGCTCCTTCCTGTGGCTGCCAGGCTACACCAGGCTGTTACTTTTCTTTTCCATATGCTTCCTTTTTCAGTACTAGGGGTCAAACGCGGTCTCTTCACATTGAACTCCACTCCCAGCCTTCTAAAATTTATCTGTATATTTTCTTTGGGTTTTTTGAGTCAGCATCTCACTATGGAGCTCAGGTTGGCCTTGAACCTAACCCACAATGGCCTTGAACTCATAATGATCTTCCTGCTTTAACCCGATGAGTGCTGGGGTTGTAGGTGTGTGTGACTGTGTTTAGTTTCAACCCTTTATTTTGTTTTACTTTGAGGCGGGGTCTTACTAAATCACTAGATTACCCAGGCTAGACTCAAATTTGCAGTCCTTCTGCCTCAGCCTCCTAGACTCCTGGGATTATGGGTGTGCATCCTGCAGGGCTGGGATGTCATTTTTCTAGACTACCATGAAACTGGAAAGCGTACATTTTAACTAGGGCAAGTTGAAATGCCACAAGGGTCGTTGTTCTTAACAAGATCCAATTTGGGGGCTGGGGATTTAGCTCAGTGGCATAAGTGCCTGCCTTGCAAGCAGGCAGTCGTGAGTTCGATCCCTGATACCAGTAAAAACGAAAAAGCCAAAAAAAAAAAAAAAAAAAAAGATCCAATTTGATTCTTATTTTTCTTGAATAACTCTCCCGCCTGCTCTGAGCTTTTGGCTAATTTCTAGAATTCTGAAAAAAATTGATTCTGCCCGTTTTTACCAGTTTTCTCATTGTTATGATAGAGAATCTGGGGAAGTTCTCTGAACTGAACTGTTCTGCCAGGGTTTCAACTTTTCTTGCTTAGCCCTTTCCTAATCAAAGATTGATGAAGAAAACAAATGACAGTTATTTCATTTCTCGAAGCTTTGAAATGGCTCATTTTGCAGCAGAATATTCCCAGAACAATTCTCAAGGGCCTGCTAATTTCTCAAACTCAGATACGTAATTCTCACTATTTTTGTTGATAGCCCACCTGGAAATTTTATTTTAAAAAATTCCTAGTGAAGCAGGGTGTGGTGGCACATACCTATAATCCCAGTCAGTACTCAAGGAGGCTGAGGCAGGAGGATCAATGAAAGTTCAAATCTAGTCAGGGCTACATAACGAGATTCTATCTCAAAAAAAAAAAAAAATTCCAATGAGATCAGAAGAAATCTGCCTGCCCTCCGTCCTCATAACATTCTCGATCCTCACAACACTGCAATACTTTAGGAACTGTCACGTTTCTGTTTCTAAGACAAAATACCTGGCACACACAAAGGAGGGAAGGTTTGTTTTGGCCCAGGACTGGCTGGTTCCAAGGCAGAAATATCATGGCAAAGCTGCTCAATCCATTGTAGCCAGGAAGCAGAGAGAAAGAAGGGACAGACAGGGAGCAGCCAAGGGCCACGTACCTTCCCCCGGCGACGTCCCCAAGCCCCACCAGACATGGGCAGAAGTCTTCTCTACTGGCCCCGCTGTCCCGTGCGCCAACCCGGTCTAACACAGACCACCTGTCCCAGGCGCGTCCACCTTTACCTGCTCTCCTACTTCCCTTCGTCTCGGGAGTAGGAGCCAGGACAGTTGAGAGCTTCACAGGAGCTCTCGGTGGCCAGGCTGCCGCTGGGCCTTCCCAGGCCCCATCTCCTTCCCAGGCTGGAAGCCTTCTTCCAGGGGAGCTCTCAGGCTGGGGACGAGACACACTCCTGTACATTTTTCTGCCGGATGACCTGGGTGCCAGCACCCTCGGGTCCCCGAGCACCTGTGCTAGGATTTATTCAGGAGTCAGCTGCACTCACAGCTGGTCACTGCTCGCAGTGGCTTTCCCTGCGACTCATAGCAGCGGGGCTCTTGGCCTTGCTGCTGTAGGAAGGGGTCCCAGACCGGGCACCGGAGACCAGCGGGTCCCATGCTGGAGCGTGCGCTACCAAGCAGAGCAAGCTGAGCCAAGAAAATGCCATGCACTTGAGGGGTGTCAGGTCAAAGCTTACAAAGCAAGTGCTTCTGTTTCACAAAAGCAGCCTTGCAGGAAAGGGCTGTGCCTGAGAGGGGAGCCCCACCCCCCCACCCCCATCCCCGTATACCCGGGGGAAAAGGGAGAGGTCGCACTTAGAGCAGATCACGGGCCAGGGTCAGGCTCCTGCTGCGGACCTTTCTGGAAGCAGAAAACGTTCAGAGGAGAAAAGGGAGGGAGTTGGTGCTGCGGGCAGGTTCACTTCAGTGTCCTTGCCTCAAGGGGCCTTTTTTCAGGCTTTTCCCTGCAACAGAGCCTCACCTGTCCCCTCTGCCTGGCTGCCTGCAGCCCGAGGGTCACCCTCCGCTTGGCCTCTGTATCTCCCACTGCAGTAGCAATCGCAGGCCGGGCTGTGCTTGCCTGCTCCCTCCGCCCTCTCAGTGGACAGAGCCTGACCTGTTCCCAGCAGCTTCCCCAGGATCCGGGGTGACACTGAGCACAGGATGGGGGGTAATGGAGGAATGAGGCTTGCTCTTTGGGAGTCTTTCTCGAGATCCCTTGGGAGCTAGTTTAAATTTAATCCTACTGTGAAAATCTGCACACTTTCCACAGCCAGAGAAGCAACATCCCTTCCATCCCTGTTTCCGATTCAAGGGAACAAAGCCAAGCCCCTTTCACCTCCCCTTGTCTCCTTCCCCATCAGCCTGCTGGGACACCCGGAAGGGCAGCCTGGTGGCAGAGCTGTCCACCATCGAGTTCAGCCATCGAGACCCTGTGTACGGCTCCATCTGGCTGCAGTCAAAGACAGGCACCGAGTGCTTCTCGGCTTCCACGGACGGGCAGGTACCACCTGGCCAGGCCCCTGAGGGCAGAGAGGGCTTGTATGTTCCCTGGTTCTCTCAGCATTGCTGTGGGAAGGTTTCTTTTTACATTTCATTTTTACATTAACAGTGGATAAATCATGCATGTGGAACAAAACTTCAGAGTTCAGAAGGACGGCAGTGAAATGCCCTCCTCACCTCTCTGTCTAACCTCCCTGCTTCCACCTGGGCGGGGGGCCAGACCCCTACCTCCACCTCCAGGTGTCTCTGCCTATTCTTCCTGCCTATTTGAGCATACATGTGTCTCTCTTCTGTCCTCTTTTTTTGTACGCTCTGCACTTGATGTGTTCATGTAGCGTATTTCAGAGGCAGTTTCTCGTTCCATAAACACTACCCAGTGCCTGCTAAGGACTGGAGGGTATGGGCACATCATAATTTATCTCAATAGTTTTTATCAGAAATGCATTTGCCTGTAGATTACTGCATACGCACGCAGGAGCATCTACAGCTTCATTCCTGCAGTAGGCTCTTGAGATCACAGTGTGTATCTTCTTTTCACATTTCTAGATAGTTCTACCTATGGGAAGCTGGAAGGATCCAGACTCTGGGGTTGGCACCTGGTGATTTGGGTTTATTAAGGTCAAAGCGAGTTCCCGGCATCCAGGCTTCGGGCAAATGGACAGGTGCTGATGGTCCGCCAGGCTTGGGACCCGTGGCCCCCAGCAGTAATTCTTGAAATGTGTTTCTTCGCATAGGTGGATGAGGGACAAAAGCCAGAGGAGCAGAGGGACCTCGAGGTCTCAGAGTCACCTGCTTCCTCCTAGGTCATGTGGTGGGACATTCGCAAGATAAGTGAGCCCACTGAGGTGGTGATCCTGGACATCACCAAGAAGGAACAGCTGGAAAGCGCCTTAGGGGCCATCTCCCTGGAGTTCGAGCCTACCTTGGTGAGTGTTTTCTGCTCTCCTTTCCTCAGCTTTCCTTGGGAGGGTAAGGACGGACCATGGCTCAATATGGCCTGAGGCTCCAGGCCCACCCAGAGAGAGGCCCTTTCTCCGTCTGGGGGGGGTCTTCACAGCACCATCCAGCAGGGGGCAGCAGAGCTCCTTGTGGAAGGAAGCCATTGGCATCCGCCGCCTGTCACTGGACTAGTGGCCTGCTAAAGAGTAGACAGATTAGAAGGAGAACCTTGAGCAGTACCCCAACTACCTGTGCTTCACATGGGGTCCAGGGCTGGTCACTTCCCTTCCCATGAGGAAGAAAGAAGGTGTTGAGGAGGGAAAGGAGAGCTGGGGAGGCTCCTTGGGAAATCAAGGCACAGGCATGGACTCAGTACCTAATAAAGCAATCTCCATGTCGGGCAATAATGTTAGTGTGTCAGAGGAGAGAAGTTCTAGAAGCAGCAAATGAAACTCCCTCTGTAATGCAAGACAAGAGAATGACTTTTCCAGCTGATTCTTGACTTGGACTGGATCCTGGTTTATGTTATTGAAGTCGTGGCTGGGTCCCCAACTGGGGGTGTTGCTTGTTGCCTTAGGGTCTTAGGGTCATGTGATATCATTGCTAGGACGCTGGGAGCCCGAACCTGAGTGTCCTCATCAGAGGATGGGGGATGAATGCTTGTGGTAATGCAGTTGATCCCTGACCTTGGCCAAGGCTCTGGATGGTGGGGAGAGGAGCTCAGAAAAGCATTTCTAGCCTGCATGTTATCGCAGGCCATGTGGTAGATGTAATGAGTCTTCACTGCTCCAAACATGTTGCTTACCGAGGGACCCTTCTCGGTTCCTTACCGAGATGGCCCCTAAGGCGTTTTCCAGCTGTTCCTTCTTGGTGATGTCCAGGATCACCACCTTCACTGCTCCAAATGTGTTGTCTGTATGCTGGACATTTTTAGATACCACGGCACAAGCCTGTGCCATCATGCATGCCCACTACATGACACGGGGACATGCTATTGTCCCCACTTTCCAGATGACTAGGATGAGTGCCAGGGAGGCTAAGTTATGTGCCCCAGCACAGGATGAAGCTGGACTCAAACCCCTACCCTCTGAGCTGTTCCCAGCCATGTGCATCTGTATGGCTCTCCTCCCAGAAAAGTTTGCATGCAGGCACTGAGAGGCCTGGTCTGGTCTCTTCGTTTGCCTCTGACACACAACTTCATAGTTTATTTGTGCTTGCCCTTCCTTCCTTCCCTCCTCCCTTTCTCTCTCCTGCCTTCTTCCCTCCCTTCTCCCCTGTATGTGGGACAGAGGATGGAACCCAGGGCCTGGGCGTCCTCAGCAAGTGCTTTACCACTGAGCTACATCTCTGGCTTGCATATATTTTTAAAGCTTTCACTTCAAACATGCAAAAATTACCACTTTAGGCCCAGGGATAAAACTCAGTGGTGCAAACACTTGCCTGGCAAGCACAAGGCCCTGAGTTCAATTTCTGGTACCAAAAACAAAAACAAGACAAAATGACAATTGCCATTTTAACCACTTTGACGAGTTCAATTCAGTAGTGTTCAGTGTGTTCACATTGTTATGCAAACATCACTACCATCATCTCCAGAATTTTGTGTGCGTGTGAACTCAGGGTCTCTACACTGAACTACATGCCCAGCCCTTTTTAAATTTTTTAATTTTTATTGTGAGACAGAGTCTTGCTAAACCAGGCTGGGCTCAGACTTGCAAATCCTCCTGCCTTAGCCCTCCCAGAGTACTGAGAAGAGAGGTGTGCAATGCCTGACTCAGAACATGTTGCATCTTCCAGAACTGAAGCCTTCTAAGCAATAGTTCCCATCATCCTCTACCCTCACCTGGTCTACTTTCCATTTCTTTGAATCTGGCTATTTTAGGAACCTGTGATAAATGGAATTACAGTATATTTGTCTTTTTTGTGACTGGTTTACTGCACTTTGCATAATACCCTTAAGGTTTATCCATACTAGAGCATGTGTAAAAAATTCTCTTTGTTGTGAAAGCTTAATGCTGTTCCGTTATGCACGGAGACCGCGCTATGTTTACCCATGCATTTGTCTGGGGCACCTGGGTTGCTTCTACCTCTTGGCTATAACGGCTAATTCTGCTATGAACATGGGTGTACACTGTGGCCCAATTTTGCAAGGACTTTTGGAAGGGCTGTGGCACTTCCTAGGCTAGTGTTCTCAAGGCCTTATGTCCTCTCCCAGAGAGGGGTAGAGTGTGGGGGAATCAGGAGGGCCTGGAGTTCTCAAGCCACGTTTCAAGTAATCCACAAATTTATTTCAAGCCCCTACTCAGACCAGGTACTGTTCCAAAGAGACAAATGTCCCTGCCCTCAAGAAGCTTGACTTCTAGTTGTGGGATGCACAGTAAACACAGTAAGTGCCTACACCAGGAGCTGGAAAGAGCTGTGATAACCAAAACAAAGAGCAGAATAGGGTGGCTTGGGAACCGTGGGTTGCTTCGAGTGGGCAGAGCAACCGGGGGAGGCAAGATGTGAGCAAAGCCCTGAAGGCAGTGAGAAGTCATGGAACAGGTGGCTGAGGGGGAAGCGGTCCAGGCTAGGGCACCACCACAGCGCATCCCGAGGCAGCGTGTGCCTGCATGCTTGAAGCTGTTGCAGATACCACCAGGCACCTAGGCTGAGGGTTCTCCAGAGCCTTCTTGGGTAATTACTATGCATCTAATCTTTCTTGCTGAAGGCCTTAGCCCTATCAGTTCTTCCACCTGAGTTCTTTGTAGGCTGTGCTGGGGCTAATGTCACTGCTAAGCCAGATTAGACTCTGCCTGCCTTCTAAGTGACCAAGTCCACACCGAATTTGGATGCCGTGTGAAGGGGCTCTTGGTATCCTCCGGGAGACCAAAAGAACCAGGAAGGCGAGTCTCCAAAGCAGGGAGTCTTTTGAGGCTGGGAAGAGTGGGGACAGCTCTTTTGCAGAGGTACAGTCTGAGCAGAGCTTAGCACAGCGGTCTGCTTGCACTGCCGACCCCTGAGCCAGCTGCTGATTACATCAGCCAAGCCCAGAGTTGGTGCTTCGTGGCACCTTCCATCGTGTCCACCCTCCACAGCCAACCAAGTTCATGGTGGGCACTGAGCAGGGCATTGTCATCTCCTGCAACCGCAAAGCCAAGACAGCAGCTGAGAAGATCGTGTGCACTTTCTCGGGCCACCATGGCCCCATCTATGCCCTTCAGAGAAACCCTTTCTACCCGAAGAACTTCCTGACTGTTGGGGACTGGACAGCACGCATCTGGTCTGAGGACAGCCGGGAGTCATCCATCATGTGGACCAAGTAAGGGAAGGACAGGGATGGGGACTGGGGACAGGAGGGAAAGGCACAGAGATGGCCAGCTTAGAGCCTCTGTAGGTCCATCTGTAAAATTTAACAAGGAAAATATAGGGCCCCTAGTTAAATTTGAATTTCAGGAAAAATAATGAAAAATTTTAGTATAAGTATGTCCCATGCAATATCTGGGATATACTTATACTAAAAATTATTTATTGTTCATAAAAATCTCCAGAGTTTCTTTGATACTGATCACTTTTTCCGCAGCTGTCTACACAGTTGCAAAGGAGGCTGGGAAATGTAGTCTCTGGTGTGACCGCTGTATCTATAATTATACCACTGTGGGATGAGATTTTATGGAAAATTCAGTCCCTACCACGTGCATGTGTGCATGCTTGGCTGCACTTGCATGCACACACAAATGTGTGTGTGTGTCTAATGTTCGGTATTCATGGAGTGTTAAGGAAATCCACACCAAACCAAGTAGGAAGTGTACCCCACTCTGATAGCAGAGTTATACACTTTCCCAGACACCCCTTCCTGCGATTGCTTCCATGTGTCCAGGGGCACCACATCCAGAGCCCTAAGGAAGCTAAACATAAGGAAGAGTATGACCTGAGAAATGGGGTCTCACAGGTACCACATGGCTTACCTTACGGATGGTGCCTGGAGCCCTGTGAGGCCAGCAGTGTTCTTTACCACCAAGATGGACGGGACCCTGGACATCTGGGACTTTGTGTTCAAGCAGTCTGACCCTGCCCTCAGCCTGAAGGTCATGTGCACCGCCTGCCCGTAGGAGTGTGGTGCTAGGTGTGAGTGTGGCGAGGTGTGTGCATGTGTGCTGCACTGTGCTTGGCCACATGTGTCAGGGCCTCTCCAGGTAATTCACATGCTGGCCGACTGCAGCTCCTGCCTTGAGTGCCTGGGCTTCTGCAGAGTCAAGGGGTCTTGGCAGCCTGGTAATATGGCAGAATCACCCCAGGGAAATTCAAACAGAAAAGAAAGCAGATGCCCAGCCTCCCCTGCCCCCAGGTGTATCCCTCTGGGCCTTAGACAGGAGTTTGGGGAGTTGTCCCTTAAGCCCGAGCTCCTATTGGCAAAGCCATGGCAGGGGCCGTGGCGGGCCATGAGGCTTGGGGTTCCACAGATGGGTGGACTGGACTGAAAGAGCTGGGTGAGGCTGGGGCCTAGACAGCCAGTCTCTGAGTTTGACCTTCAACCTGTTGGGCATGGGGGTGTGATGAGGGGGTGCTTAGACAAGGTGAAGGGGCTAAGTCTCCCCAGATGCCAGCAGATGACAAACATGACTTTCCCCTACCTGGTCTCCTTGGGCCATCTAACAGGTGTGTGACGAGGCCCTCTTCTGCCTCCGAGTGCAAGACAATGGCTGTCTCATTGCTTGTGGCTCCCAGAACGGGACGACCACCCTGCTAGAGGTCTCTAGTGGGCTCTCCACCCTCCAGAGGAATGAGAGGAACATAGCTTCTTCTGTAAGTACTGGCACCAAAGCAGGGACCATGCTGCACATGTCCTGACCTGGCCCCGTCTCAGAGCAGCCTGGCCAGGTAGAAACACAGGTCCCCTCCCTTCCTCCTCCTGGGAATGGGCGCACAGGTTGATGGGGCCATGGGGTGTCCTGAAGTACAGGCTCTATGGATGGGTGTTAGCAGAGTTCACCTGCCCTCACTCGGTACTCTGCAGCCCAGTGGCCCTAGGTGAGTCACTGTTTCGCCCTAGGCTTTGATTTTCCAGCAGCAAATCAAGTGGTTTCAAACAACAAAAATTTTTTTGGACCAGAACCATTCAAAGATGTCAATGGGGAAACCTGCCCTGGGGAGGGGGCACTGAGGCCCATGCCATATCCTGCCACCCTCCCCAGGAGCCCTGGTGCATACCTCCCAGTACCTGGTGCTGAGGTCTGGGAGAGCTTCTTGTCCCTGCCTGAGATGGGTGTTTTCACCCCTGTGCTGGCCCTTGTCGAGCCCAGGGCCACCGTGTTGTGTAACCACAAAGGTACTCTCCACTGCGTGGTCCATGTGCTCGCACTTTGGAATGGAGTAACTTGGCGTCCTGGCTCCAGCCTCTGATGCCAGTATCCAGCCTTCCCTTCTTGACACCAGCCCTGCATGCAGACCTCTTTGAGTAGGGCCGGGAGGAGTGAGGAGTGGCCCAGCCTGGCCCTGTGCTGGAGTCACTCACTGCCTTTGTCCCACTGTGGCGCAGATGTTTGAGCGGGAGACCCGGCGGGAGAAGATCCTGGAGGCCAGGCAGAAGGAGATGCGGCTAAAGGAGAAAGGGAAGGCGGAGGGCAAGGACGATGACCAGAGGGACGAGGAGCTGGCCACGAACCTGGAGGAGATGGTCGCCCAGGCCGAGAAGGAGTTCTTTGACATTGTCTTCACAGAGCTGAAGAAGAAGGAGGTGGAGGCCATGGCGAAGAAAACAAAACCTGTAGGAGCCTTAGCGGGCTGGGTGGGCTGAGGGCTAGGAGCTGGGAGGGCACATGGAGCCAGTGTGGTCGCTGGCAGGCCTCCCAGGCATCCTCATTCAAGTGGGAGGACTTAGCTCGCTGCCTCTCAGCAGAGTCAGACTGCTCAAGGGCAGGTGCCCAGGGAGGACAGGGCCATGGCGTTTGCCTGTGTGCCTCCTTCTCAGTTCCCAGCCTGGGCTCAGGAGTGTCACTGTGCTTAGCCCCTCTGCCCGTGCTCCTGGCTCAGCAGCGCTCTCTGGCTACACCAATGGGGGCCAGAACTCTTCAATTTGCAGTTCCTCACTTCCCATCTGGAAAATGAGGAGATCAAACTGCGCTGATGGTGTCTGTCACCTTCTGGGCCCTTTTCTATCCTAAAGAGCAGAGAAAGAAAAAGACCTTGTCCTTCTGTGTCATTATCCTTAGCTGTGTGCAGATAAGGTACCAAAACAGAGCTGGGTAGGGTGGTTCATCCTGTCATCCCAGCACTTTAGGAGGCTGAAGCAGGAGGACTGCAGGTTGGATCCCAGCCTGGGCACCTTAAAAAGGGCTGAGATGCAGCTTAAAGATCATCCTGTCAGGGAAATGAGCAGCTGGGGCATTCCAGGACTGGCTGCATAATGAGGAGGGGGTACAAAATAAAAATGTGGGCTCTGTTTTAAAACTTAGAATTCCAAGATGAGGACAGCACAGCTTACATCAAGTGCATGCGCTTCTAAGCACTGGCCCTGGATGGCCTCATGGGACAGTCCCCTGTGAAGCCACCCTGCTTTGGGGATGAGCAACAAGGACTGTTGTAGGTCACTGATGGGGGTGAGGGAACCAGAGAAGATCACGTATTTCCCCTGGTGATCCGCTCCCCATCTCCCTTTGGCTCTAAGGACAGATGTGGTTTTGTGGTGCTGTCTGCATTCGGAAGTACTAGGATGGCACTTTATTCCCACATTCTCTGAGCAGGACCAGTGGTGCAGAGGCCACACTAGCTAGAGTCGGGCTCAGGGCAGCCCCGGTTCCTCCCACACATCACTCCTCACCTGGCCATTCTTCAAGCACTGTGCTTGGTGCCCTGCCTCCCAAAATGTGGTGCTCACAACAGCTGGGAGCTTTTTATCATTTTATTTTATTTTGCAGCACTGGGAATGGAACCCAGGACCTTGCACATGGTAGGCAAGTGCCGGACTGCTGAGATAGATCAGCTCAAACCTCCTAAATGAGGAAGCTGAGCCTCAGAAGATCTGGCCCTTGCCATCTGCCCCACACCTCCTCCTCCCCGGTGCAGCCGATTCGAAAGCATTCCTCATGCCCAGTGACTCTAGTCCTAGCCCTGTCCTGCAACATGTCATGTCTGCCATAGGGGTTAAGATGCCCAGGAGCCCAGGAGGAGCTGGCCCAAGGTCACCCAGTCTACACACAGCAGAGGCAGGACTGTCCAGTTCCCCAAGCCCTGCCCACCTTCTGCCCCGCTGGCACTGAGCATCCTCTGGGCCCTCACCAGCCAGGACTTGGTACCATCAGGGCACTTGGCTTTCCAGGCTTCAAGCAGCTGGCTACTTTCAGCTTGTGGGATTTGCACTGGGGAGTAAAGAAGCCCTGCCACTCACCAACACTCCCCTTGTTTTTTCCTCAACAGAAGAAAGCAAGTTTGGAGATGGATGAGGAAGTGGAGGGAGACTACACAGGGGAAGAAGAGGAGGTCAGTGACGAGAAGTCTGTCTAGGCTGGCCTTGGCTGCAGTGCTGTCCTTGACCGTCTCTCAAGTGCCTCCATGGTACTGCCCTGGTCATCCTGAGCTTTCCCTTAAAGCGTGATGCTGGGGACACATAGAGCACCGACTACCCCCACTTTCCAAGTCCCTGGCTCACACTGGAGCCCAGTCCTGTGCAACCCCCTCACAGAGAGGAAAGTGGCAAGCCTGATCCCTGTGTTGGCACCACCAAGAGCGCCACGATGGAGGGCCCTGCAGCCCTCAGTCCTGGTCCGGGCTGTCCCCTTGGCGTCCACTTCTCACGGGCTCCTCTGCCAGGCTCTTCCTCTGAAAGCTCGCAACCTCAACCCAGGCTTGGCCAGGCCACACAGGCCTCGAAGCCCTGCAAGGGGAAAAGGTTTTTCCTCCTCCCTTCCTACCCTTGTTATCCATCTGCAAATTGGGAGCAGCTAATGCATCCCTAGTGCCTTTCTGTGCAGCCACATCAGAGGCCTCCGAGCCTGTGCAAGCCCGCTGGGCCCGGATGCCTGGAGCAGAGGGGGTGCACCCACGTGCTTTTTGCTTTCTTCACCCTGGTTCCATTAAACAAATTAATAGCAGTGACGCCAGCAGTTCATGCTTGCTGTGCATCCTAGGTAAGAACTTTTCATGTTACCTCCTTCATGTCACTCTTTCACAAAGTCACTGGAAGCTTTGTGCTCTGACTGTCCTTTATTCTACAGAGGGGGATGTGGAAGTGCAGGAGAGTTGGTGAGGGGCAGGCAGGAGTGGGAGCCCACAGCGCTCACTTCCCGTCCTGCACAGCAGTCAAATGTGGCCCCCAGGAAAGTGGGGTCTGCACAAGACTCCTAGGATCTCCAAGGTGGGCAGTGGGCTGGGTTGCTGCTTCACAAGGTGCCCTGAAGCCATACATAGCTCAACAGAACAGTTCATAGGATTGAGGGCCGCTTAGAGCTAACTTTGCACCAGAAATCCCCCAACTCACTGACTGTCATTGTTGGGTGATCCAAAGTGCCCTTAAAAAAACTTCTCTAGCATGGCATGGTGATATATGTCTATAATCTCAGCACTTTGGGAAGCTAAGGCTGGAGGACCATGATCTTGAGCCCCGTCTGGGCAACTTAACAACTTAGTGAGATCCTGCCCTAAAATAAAAAATTTAAAAAGGGTTGTTGACATAGCTCAGTGTGAAGACCCTGGGTTCAGTCTCCAGAATAGCATAATAACAATAATAATAATAACTAATTAAAAGGACTGGGGATGTAGCTCCATGTGAGTCTCAAAATTTAACCCCTAGGACCACAAAACAAAAACAAAACTTGAGGATTTTGTTGAGAAAAGACCAGGGCCATCCTTGGTGCCCATATAGTTTGGGGTGAGTGGTAGTTCTGAGCTGCAGACTTTGATAAAAGCAGTAATCAGAGGATTATTGTAATCGCAGGTGGTTGGCTATGACAGAATCCAGCACTGATCTCATCATCTTCTGTCCGTGTCATGGATGTGGAAGGTGACAGAGGGAGGAAGCCCTAGCTGGGTCTCACGGGAGCACATGACAGGGCTGAGGGTCTGGCCCAGGACTTGCGCCTGGACTTTCTGCCCCACATTGCTCTCCTAGGCTCTGCTTTGCATGGAGCTGCCAGCCAGGCAGCAGGCAGAGCATCCTCGGGGCAGCAGCTTGGGGTGCAGGGAGCCTGTGCTGCCCTTGGGGACTCCTTCCTTAGAGCACTGATTCTCCACCAGTGGTGATTTTACCCGACTGGGACCTTGGCAATAGCTGGGGACATTTTGGGTGGACAAAACTGGTCAGGGAGCTGCTCCTGTCATCAGGGAAGCTGCTCTGTACCCTTGCTGCACTGGGAAATCCCCAGCTCACAGGATGGGGACGTTCTATCCAGGATGACATTCTATCCAGAACGTCAGTAGAGTCATGGTAGGGAAACCCCAACTCGGATGAAAGTCTGTCCCAGTTAAGTGGTTGAAGTGGAAGCCCAAGCTCCGTATTGACGTGGCATGCTGACAGCCACTCCAAAGGAGGAGTACATTCTTTCGCTACTCTCAGATTTAGAACTTTGGGCCTGCAAAGGCTGTCTGCTGGGGCCTGTAAATCTTTCTCCCTGTGCACAGAGGGTGTCACTGTGCCAGGACGGTGTCAGAGAACAGGTCATAGAGGAGGAGCATGCAGACAGCAGTGATCAAAGCATGCACGACCATCGAGCATGCCCTCCCTGGAGCAACGACTTACCAGCCTCGCCCACCAACCTCGTCAGGCACCTGGTGTTTACTCGCTTTCAAAAGGGAGCAAAACAAAACCACAATGCCTTAGTGAAGGACCAAAAGTCCACAGCCGTGGGTGTGGAATGTGCACTGGGAAATGCCAACATGGGCCAGGCAGGGGACAGAGAGAGCAGTGTTGGAAAGTGGCAGAAGCATGCCCAGACTCGCATGTCCAGAGCATAGTTCCGTCTTCCCCACACAGATGCACCTGAGAGGAGGATGCACCCCTGCTCTGACTTCTCCTCAGCTGGCCTGGTTGAAAAACACGCTGAATGCTTAACCAATGATGCTCTGGTTGCAGCCCCTGGGAGCATCACTGCCACCATCCCTTCTGTGCGGTACTTGGGTACTGGGCCCCAGGCAGGATTCTGAGGAAGAACCCTCCTGTCCTATGTTGGTAACATGATAAAGTGCTCCCTGAGCTCCAGAGGTCCTAGGATGGCCCAGAAGCCCAAGTAGGGGCAAAGATGATGTGAAAAGTACACCAGAATCAGCTCCGAATCCCGAGCCTCAAGGGCACGCACGTCTGGGTGCTGAGGGCCTGATGGCTGACATGGGAATTGTGGGTGGCAGCAGATTCTGGAGCTTACAGGAAGGCAAGGAGGAGTCCAGCCAGCCATGATGCTGCATGTTTGTAATTCTAGGGCCAGGAGAACTACAAGTTTGAGGCCAGCGGGGACAATCTAATGAGACACTCATAAAATCAATCAATCAATCAAAGAACCCAGTCTGGGTGCTTGCTGCCTGCTAGCATGGCTGTCACCTAGTCCTGCGTCGTGTTCCAGCCATGCAGTGACACAGATGCAGGTGCCCTCCCGGAGCCTGTGAGCTGATGAGAGGCATGGAAGGTGAACACACACATGCAGATAGCTACAGAACGACAATGCACACGGTGGCAGTTTAAGGGATAGCACGGGGCACTGTGAGAGGGATACGGGAAGGACCCCTGAGACTGTGGGGTGAGGAGCTGTCCAGGGATCTCGGTGAGACAGTGACAATGAAGCAGACACTGAGCGTGAGGGTGAGGGTGAGGCTGAGGCTGGAGGTGGCACACCTATGCTTACAGGGTCCAGTAGGAGCAGATGGTGGGGCATGGTAGGGCAGACTCTGACCTCAGGGATTTTGGCCTTTGTCCTGGAACCGCAGAGAAGGAAGGGGAAGCTGCGAGAACACCTCTGGGCTGGAGGGAAGCAGCTGAGGCCAGGTGAGAGGGCAGAAAGGGCAGCTTGGAGTGCAGTGATGGCTACAGAGTGGCTAACCTCTCTGTCCCTCTGTCACCCGGATTATCAGCGAGGGGCTCTGCAGTAACTTACAGCCACTGGTTGCAAAGTCAATGCTCAATAAAGGTCTACCGACCTCTCCCTGAGAAGCATCGGACAGCTGCCAACCCAGCCCTCGTTCCTGAAGGCAAGGCCCAGTCAGTACTGGAGGGTCCCTTCTCAGGGGAACCCCAAACCTACTGGAGAGGATGCTGGGGCTTCTTCAGAGAAAAGTCTCAACCAACGCTGTGTTTTCTCAATAATTCTTTTCCATCTCACCTGAGTTCTACAGTGGGGGAGTCAAGTCCCCATGTAGCCAGGCCCTGCTCTCAAGCAGTGAGACTTTGGTCCCTGGAGCCCAGAGGGTCAGAGGGCTTTGGAAAGTGCCCATGCCCAGGAAGCCAGTGGTTTTCAAATGAAAGCGGGTTTGCAGGACATGGAGTGGCTTTTTCGGTAGAAAAGAAGGCTTGGCAGGTAACTGAAAATTTCAGTAAGCTCAGACCCAAATAGGATTTAGGAGCCTTTGACATAGTAGTTTGACTGCCACCTGCACAGAGATCTGCAACTTCCCTGAGTCAAAGGACCCCATGTTTAACAAGACCCTTGTGAAGCTCAGAGGAGACATTGCAGGTTTAGCCCCAGTGTGGCCTCCGGCAGGCACCGAATACTTATTAGATCTTAGTCTCTGAGCAGATCTCAAGATAAAACAAATTTTTGAAAAGGGCTGGTGGTGTAGCCCAGCATAAAAGTCCCACATTTAATCCTCAGTATAACCAAACCAAGCCAAATAAAACAAAACTAGTTAAAGTCAAGAAACGATATATACTCTTTTGGAGGGAGGGTCAAGATACTCAGAAGACTAAAGCTTCACTGGTCTCAGGTGTGGCTGCATCCAGCAACTCATGTGGCGTCATCGATTTCTCTCTCTGCAGCTTCTTTGTTTGGGTTGGTCTCATACTTCTGTGATGGTGCAGCTCCTTCCACTGGTTGGGGGAAGCATTAGGCCCAGTCTTACGCCTCTCAGTCAGCAGTCAGCTCAGCAGCAATGCTTAAGGTGGAACAGAGCGCCTCCCTCCAGTGCAGCAGCCTCCCAGGAAAAGGCTCTGATTGGCTCAGTCTTGGTCGCCTCCACCTTCTGGGGCTGATGACTATGACCAAGGCCACATGTGGATTGCAGGCCTCCTACCATGGCCGGGGAGAAAAGGATGCTATGATGAGCTCCACCAGAATTGCATGGACTGGAGGACCCACATGGACTAAAAGATAGGCAGTTCTCCAAAAGAGAGGGGAGGTGACACATGAGATGCGTTTTGAAGGAGTTGCCAGACAAGTCCAGAAAAGGGATCCCCAGGAAAGAGCTGCAAGGGTGGAGCCCAAGTGTGGGAGAGGGGACTGCATATGGTGGTCCTGACCACAGCAGGGATGGCAGCATAGGAGGAGCCAAGATGAAGCAGGAAAGGCCGTAGTGGGGAGCCATGGCAGGATTTCAAGTAAGTCTGTGATAACAGCGACAGTGTGGAAAGTGGGTTGGAACAGGGGAAACAGGAGACAAAGAGACCTGCAGGCTGTTCTTGCCTGGAGGAGACTGTGAAGTCCAAGCCTGTGGGCGGTGACAGTGGGGGTGGAGAGGAGAGGCAGGAGCAAAGGGAAAGAATCAGCGTCCGGGACCGAGCTCCAGCGTGGAGAGGAGGATGAAGAGAAAACACATGGAAGAATAGAGAGGGAGGCCGGGCATTTAGCTCAGCAGCACAGCACCTGCCCGGCAAGCGTGAGGTCGTAAGTTTGATACCTGGCTGAAATCGTAAGTCACACAGAGAACAATGTTTGCGAGTAGAGATGACGTCATGACTGCTGCTGCTACGTGTCCATGACTGCTGCTGCTAGAAGCTTCTTATTTGCCCCAGCAATCACAATGGGCCCTTCTGGGTGGGTCTTGTCCATGTAGAAGAACAGAAAAGAAAAGGAAAAACAGCCACAGCCCAACTGACCAGGGGCCTCCACGGCTCACCCCAGCTGGATTCTGGCTCTAAATGCAATCACCATACACCCTCAGGACGCACCTGAGCTCCCACAGCACCAACCCACCAGCCTCAGGCAACCTGCACGGAGCATGAGCAAAACCTGGGCCTTCTTCAGGAGAGTTGGTTCCCGCTGAGCTGCCCTGGGTTTATTTTTCAAGCCCCACACTTCCAACTGCTTTTGGCCACTGTTTATTAATAACTTTCCTCAACACAGGCTCCTGGGAGGCAGCTCGGGAAGCCAGTCCCAGGGCCCCAGCTGGCATCACCGTCTGCCTCTGAGTGCATGCCAGGTGTCTGAGGCAGCCCCGAGGGACATGAGCGCTGCCTTTCCCAGCTCTATCTATGAGATGTGAACCCCACCAAGGCTCTCTCCCGAGGACTCTGCAGGTCCTAGGCTCAGGGTCAGTGGGAGCAGAGGCCACAAAACATGGACCCAGAGAATCAGGGAGAGCTTGAACTCCAGGAAACCGAGACCCAGGGAGCAGGAAAACCCTGCTTCAGGTGGTTGGCAAGGCAGAAGCAGAGCTGGGACCAGAATCCTGTTTTCCTGGGGCCTCCTGGGACCAGGAATCGTTCCACCCCTGTGCTCTCCAGTGCATCATTGTGTGATCGTTGTTATTGTAATCAAGAATGGGGACCACAGCTGCTGCTTCTGATTAATGTTGTACTAGAGACAGCACCCAGGGCCTTTGCAAGGAGTACATCCTCAGTGCCCCCTCCACCCTTTTTTTCTTTCAATTTTGACCTTAGCGTCTCATTAAGTCACTGAGTTGCCCAGGCTGGGTTAGAACTTGTGATCCTCCTGCCTCAGCCTCTCAGAGTCCTGGGATCACAGGTGTGTACCATCATGCCAGGCCTGGAGACTGCAGCTTTTGACTTACATTTCCTGGCACAGCATGGCCTCCCCAGGTCGTTGGGCTAGGTCATCCTGAGCTCCATTCTGGATTTAGGGACAGGGCTTCCTTTGTTAGTGAGACCACAAGAGTGGCTTCTTCTGCACCACATTCCAGCTGACCCAGGCACTCCCCCTGCCGCACTTGGGGAGGCAGCCAGAGCAAAGGGACAACTCCTTACCCTCCCAAGCCCTCTGCATCTGCACCCCCCCACCCCCCTACCCCCCACCCCCGAGACCGCAGCCATGGTCACTGCAGCGGCCATGGAAACGCAGGGTTGCCAGCCGGGACCCTGGAGATGCCAAAACTGCTGGTGTAGGAAGTGGTGGCTGGAGGGACTGCCTGTGACCGACTGGCCTCCTAGGGGCCGGCGGGCGCACCCCAGAGGGCTACGGAACAAGGCGGGTGCGAGAGCCGGGAGGGGCCGGTGGCCGCCCTGGAGCTACCAAAGCGACGCCCGCCGGCCCGGGGCGGAGGCGGCCTGCTCCAGCAGCCCGGGGCGGGCGGTGCAGGGGCGGGGCGCGCCAGGTCCGCCCTCCGGGCCTCGCCTCCAGGTCAGCGCCAGGCCCTGGGCGCGTTGTTGGTTTCGGGTTGTCAGGCAGCAGTGGCAGCCGCAGCAGCCAAAGGACAGCAGCCACCCAAGGAGACCGCGGTGGAAGTGGGCCTGGCTATGCTTGAGCCCCTCTGCCCGCTGCAAGCATGAAGGACAGCGGGGATTCCAAGGACCAGCAACTCATGGTGAGGCTCCTTGGGGCTCTTCCTCGCCCCTTCCACGACCCCCGAAACCCGAGTATCTCGGTCAGCCTCCAACAGTGTCCACTAAGCGGACAGCGAGGGCCAGGGGCTGGGTCAGTCCAGAGCACCTTTGCCCAAGTCCTAAGGAGCAGGTGTCCGGAAGTACATGGCCTTCTTTTTAGTTTGGAAAGTTAGCCACACCCCAGAGGCTCCCACCCCACAGCCTGAAGAGTGCCTGCCTGGAGACTGCCCTGTGATCTTGGGAGATCTGACCCACTGCCCTGAGAGGGTGAACCAGAGGGGACCCAGCCCACCCTATCTGGAGTTTAGAAGGAGCCAGGGACAAACAGAAGCTCCTGGCACCAGGAGAGCCAAGGTGGACTTGGAAGTGGGTGGTTGGTGGCCTGCCGAGCTACTGCTGTTTAAGTTAGAACTCAGTACTTCAGAGAAGCTCGGGAAGCCACCACTATGAGCCCTAGAGCCCTGGGGACTGGAACAGAGGAGGCTTTGGGGGTGGGGGGAAGGTGGGGACAGGTAGGGGCTGAAGGTGGAGATTCCTGGCCATCAGTAGAGCCCCACTGGAACGATGAGGGGGAGACTCAGTGACCCCAAGCCTCTGTTAGGCCCAGGTAGGTGGGTGGGAATCTTTCTCTCCCCACCTCTGACTTCTGAGACCTGGGAACGGGCCTTTGGCATTTGCAAGTGGTGGCGCTGTGTCTAGAGCATTACGATGCCCACATTCCACTTCTGTAGGGTCCCCTGCTTCTTCAAAGGGCAGCTTTGGACCCAGCCCCCGGGTTCTAGAATATACTGTCTAGCAGTGGGAGTGGGCTTCTTTGCAAACCTTTTGCCAATGTTTGGTGGTGCACTCCTGTAATCCCAGCTACTCAGGATGTTTGAGGCCAGTTTGGGCAACTCGGCAAGACCTTATCTCACAGAAAGAAATAAAAAAGCCCAGGGATTTGGTTTAGAGGTAGAGCACACTTGAGTTCAAGCCCTAGTACTGTCAAAAAGAAAAAGAGAAAATGATTTGCTTCAAATAAATGGTGTGCACATGTGTGGCTTTGATGCAGAGTCAGGCCAAGGGCCCACCCCTCCTGCTCTGAGTTCCAACAAACTTGATGTGACAGACATGGAGCACAGTGCCGCTGAAGGTCAAGGGCGAGCCCCTTAGTGCTGCCCGTATGCCCAGCAGGTGTGTCCTTTTGATCCACCTGAGAAATCCTCCATCTTCCCCGCCCTGTCCGGGCTGCCAGGTCCCACACCACGGCCCCAGACCTACTCTTGTCTTCAGCTGCAGCAGGTCAATAACATAGACACTGATAGGCTGCCCCAGGGTCCCTGGCTTCCAGTTCAAGCCCAAGGGAGCTGCAGTGTTTAATTTGGGTGTGCAAGTGATGCACAGTTTTTACCCTGGGGCCATCCCCACGGCATGGGCTTCTGGGAGATTGAGAGACTCAGACAGAGCCCGGCACGCTGTGAACTTGCTGCCTTCTGGCCAGCCAGTGACTGTGACTCCTTAGGACCAAGGAACCTGGCCCAGCTGACCACTGGAGAGCTGGGAGTTTGGGTGGGAGGAGAATCCTGAGACCCCCTCGTGCTTTCTGAGCCTAGCACGGCCTTGTCCTGCTCAATGCAGGGGTCTGATCTTCCCTCCCAGGTGGCACTCAGGGTCCGGCCCATCAGTGTGGCAGAGCTGGAGGAAGGAGCCACCCTCATTGCCCACAAGGTGGACGAGCAGGTATGTACAGGGGCCGCAACCGGGAGCTGCAGGGCAGACTGCTCCACTCGCTCAGGCTCCTGCGGGCGGACGGGCGTCCCTTCCCGCTTGCCCTCTTGACCAGGAAACCTTCCTAGATGGGTCCAAGGAAATCTGAGAGCTTCATAACCTGGCGGGCTCCCGTGGCTTCCCCACCTCACTGCATCTGCTGCCCAAAGGACACGGATTTATATGGTCAGAGCTAAGCTCGTCTCCAGTGTGCTTGTGCTTGGTGAATCCTTGGCTGTCGGTTCTCTCAGCCCTTGCGTTACTATAATTAAAGGATAAGGCAATAACTATTTGCCAACTACCCATGCCATACTGGGGACCACGGGAGGAGCTAAGAAACCACAGCGAACAGGAAAAAGAAAAAATAACTTTCTCCTCCTCCACTGCCTATAGTCCAGTGTGGGCAGATAGGACTTAATCAAGAACTGAATAAAAGAGTTTGTAACTAACGAGGACTACAAAGAAATGCTAGGAGTAAGGGGGCACTTAATCTAGTCCTAGAGGCTGGGGAGGAATCCTTCAAGAGCTGCTGCTGGAACTGAAATAAGGGACAAAGAAAAGGTGATTAGGTATGCAAGGAGAGACATTCTCCCAGAGAGCCTTGTGTGTGCAAAGGTCCTGTGGTGAGAAAGATGGTGACATAACTGGGCGACTGAGAGAAGGCCAGTGTAGCTTAAGCTAGGGGCGAGAGATGTGGAGTGAGTTAGAGACACAGGCAAGGGTCACCCCACACACTGTGTAGGCACGGTCACCCTGTTTCTTTGGGTGGGCAGTGGAGGACTCAGGCATCAAAGTGGACACTGGGGAGGGGCAGCAGACACAGATTGGTACCCAGGTGGGAACATCCTGGTGGGACAGCGATGTAACAGCCTGACAGGGAGTAACCCTGGCGTCTGCTCCATGGCTGCTGGGGCTGGCTTCTCCCTAGTGCCAGGGCTCATGGGACAGAGAAGTCAGAATGGCACCATGCAGTGTGCACAGAGGCACATAAACACCGGCTCAGTGGCTTCTGCATTTTCCAGTGGTGCAGCTTCGGAGGAGAGTTTCTTGGTACTCAACAGCTTCACTTGTGCGTGGGGACAGCAGTCCTCGTGCTCTCTTTAGAGGGCCTTTAGGGCTCTGCTGCTCGGTGCCTGGCCCAGAGGATGAGCGGCTTAGATGTTAGCTGCCATCACCTGTCTGGGGCTGACATTCCCAGGGATGCGGGGTTGGCTGACGGGAGAGCCCAGCCCTACGGAGTCACACAGAGGAGAAACCTCCGTCCACTTTGTCCACTAGGAAGTGCATCGGGTCCTCAGGTTGGGACAACGATCTCCCTTTCTCGCTGCTCCTGGCTCCCAGCCTGCATGGGGGCGGATAGATTTTTACTGTCGGGAACACTACTCCCTGTCTAGGGACAGCCCTTTGTGTGCCCACGCTCAGCAGACACTGGCTCCATTCTGTCCCCTCAGGCAGAGGAGGGGCTCCCGCCCTGCAAGCTGGGCATGACCTGAACCGAGTTGTTAGGGCTGCTCCTGTGACAGTGCAGAGGCGCAGAGTGGCACCTTCTGACCTAAACTCTTTAGGTTTCCAAAGTGGTTCAAAGATGGGTGTGACCAGGGGCCTGGCCCAGCCCTCCTGACCAAGGCCTGCAGTTTGAGAGTGGCCACAGTGCGTGCCAGGCTGACAGGCTCAAAAAGCAAGCTCTCCCTCTGACAATGGACCATGGCAAGAAGGGGGTAAAACATACCAGTCCAAGAACAGAGATGGGCAATCTATTTTTCTTGCATCTCGTTCTGACCAGCCCTCCCCAATGACCCCCAGATTCATCCTGCAGCCTCAGGCTCCAGGGCTGGTCAGTTGCACTGAATGCCCAGCCTGCCAGTGGAAAGTCTCCTTCCTCTGAAGACCCAAGGCCCAGTAGTCAGTGGGGTGAGTTTTGAGAGCTGGTCCAGGGCAACATGGCTGTGGTATGTCTGTCCAGTTAAGATGTAGCTGGGTCCAGGCAACCAATGCAAGGCCCTGCCTTCTCTCAGGTGTTGGCTTGGGCTGTCAGGTGCTCCCCATTGCTCCCTTGGCTATGGCTGTCATGGCCTGTGGGGCCAGGGGTGGGGGTTCCTCTTGTTTCCTGCCTTCACTTTCCTTCGCTGGTGTCGTCTGAGGCCCAAGGGTGGGAACCCTGAGCAATGCAGCCTGGTGCACACTAGCTAGGGCTTGGCCCCTTGGTGGTCAGTAGGGAGCAGGCACTGTCACAGCCCACTTGTCCATGGGTTTTGAGGCGGAGGACTCAGTCATCCTCTGGCTTGGACCAGTATGAGGGGTCCTATCACAGCCTTCTTTAGAATGAGCAGTTGTTCTCCTGGGGGCATCTGGAACTGGGCAAGGTGGGCACTCCTGTAGCAAAATGTCCTCCAGAGCAAAGCCAGTGTGCCTTGATTCTGGGGAAGCTTGAGTTGGGGTTTGGATTTGTAAAGAAACTGGCCAGGTGTCTTGTGGGCCTGGGGTCCCAGGGCCCCAGTTCAGTTTGGGGCCATAACTAGGACCTGGTCAGATAGTCCTTCGGTCAGGGTTCATGGATACACAGTGCTTGACACTGTACCTATGCACGGCAGAGCACACGGTAATCTCCAGTGTTGAAATGCAGGATGCTTTCAGAGTTAGGTAAAACCCAGCCTCCCTTCTCCTCCATCACAGCTCTTGGCAAGGCCCCACACAGCCATCTCCTGAGAATATACCTGGAGGACTGCTAGGAGCTCTGGGCTTTGCAGCATTTGGGTGGCACAGAGCCCAGAAGTCAGATCCTCAGAAAGACTGAAGGGCAGGAAGGGCCCCTGTGGGTGGGGATTCCAGGCTGGGGAAGGAGCTTCCAAGTGAACCCCAGACATCCCCACCCAAGGCAGGCCTGCTGATCCTCCCCCTGCCTTTCCAGATGGTGCTTGTCTGCAGGACTTAAGTCAATGAATGATGTGTATAATTCCATAATTAGCATTCATCTACTGATAGTCTAACTGGTACCCCACCCCCACTCCTGGGGTCCTGAGGAGCCAGGCAGGGGCCTTCAGGAGGCCTTGTGGAGGGCCCAGGCGTACAGAATAGGGGATGAAAGAGGAGCTGTGGCAGGTGTGATGTGGAAGAGGGCAGAGTGGAGGCCCCTGGCTCCTAACAGAATGAAAACTGTAGTCTCAGGCTGGGACCCTGAGGACCTCACCTTTCGGGGTGCTGGCTGGGTGCCCACACACAAGCTTGGGTTTCTGTTTCCTTGTCAGAGGGGGGGGCAACTAATCGCAGGCCCCACCCTCACCGAGAGCTGTGGAGAGGGTTAAGGGAGGTGATATGAGGGGACCTGATCCCCAAAAGTGTGAGTCTGTTGTGAAAGATAAACAGGATGAGGTGACAGACTCCAAGTGCCACAGACAGTGAGTGCTGTAGGGGTTGCTGCCCTCCCGGGTGGGGGGCAGCGGGGCTCCCTGCACACCACCCATCTCGGGGGCATGTGGAAAACCGTGGAAAACACCCAGGGGAGCTAGGTGTGGAGGTGTGTGCTATTATCCCAGCACTCAGGAGGGAAACTGAGGTGGAGGAGGATCGCCACAAATTCAAGGCCAGCCTGGGCTGCATACAAGACTCGACGATGATCAGGGAAGATACAGGGAACCTTCATCTTGACCCCTTAGCCATCTCTCCGCCTTTCCCAGCCCTTCCCAGCTTCAGGCAGACCTACTTGCCGTCTGTTGCTGTCCATCCGTGAACCGTTCTGGACATGTAATTAGGTCGTATAGTACGGGTCCCTCGTGTCCTGCTTCTTTCCCTTAGTGTCACGTCTTTGGGCTTTACCCACACTGCAGCCTGTATCGGAATTTTTGTCTTTTCATGGCTGGATAATTCTCCTTGCTGTGGCTATACCATGAGTTGTTTATCCAGTCATCGGTGGATGGGCATTTGAACTTCTGTGCACAGTACTTCAAGGATCAAGGATCCTTACCCCTAACCCCAGGATGGCTACAAGTAGAAGGGGCAGGTTTGTTAAAAATGCGCACTTGGGGTTCCACATTTCCAGGCTGTTTGATTGTATGAGTCTGGGTGATGCCTGGGAATCTGCATTTCACAAGCACCGCTCCTTGGAGAACTCTGTTGCGTGCATCTGCAGCCCCCAGGAGAGACGAGCCCTGGAGCAGCGGTGGTGCAGCTGTGGCATGCATGATGTGGTTGGCTGATTACATCACTACCCTGGACTGTTAGGTCAGCCTTCCCATCATCCTGAGCCTCGGGCTCCTCAGAGTCCCGTAGCCAATGGTTACCTGGCCAGGACGTCAGCCAGGTATGGCTCTGCCCTGAGCAGCCGGCTGGGCCTTGGTGCTGTGAGCTCAGTAGGTTCCATTCTGGGCCCTCCATCTAGCCGAAGTCCAGTAGGGCCCAGGGTGCCTAGACACTGCGCCTGCCCTCCTTGGGTGTGGCTACCCCACCTCCACAAGGCCAGGGACCCGCCATGGTATAAGCAGATTAGTTTTGCAAGGCAGCGCTAACAGAGCACTGAAGGCTTCAACACAGAGGTTTACGAGGTCACGGCGCTGTGGCGGCAGGAAGGCTCTGGTCCAGGCCCCTCTTGTTGGCCTGCAGATGGCTGCCTTCCCATCTTCCAGAGCACTGTCCTCTGTGCCTGTCCCATCAGCTTCCCCTTTCTGAGCGGCACTAGTCACATGAGGTTAGGGCTGACCCTGCTCCGCATGGCCTGGTCCTCATCTTAGTACCCCTGTACCTGCTCTACTTTCAAATAGGGCCACTGACTAAGGCACTTGGGGCAGAAGGGAAGGGTAAGTGGGTGGGAGGAGCCTGAGTTCCTGAACCAGATTTGGTCTTTGGATCTGATGGGGTCTGTACTTCACAGCGCTGTTTTTGATGTGCTACTGATACGGTCTGAGTCCTTACCTCTTGTCACTTGAACCAGGTGTTTATAATCCTGACAGTCTGGGACTCCAGGGCTGGAAAATCGGAGGTTTGAGCCTGACCTGGGCAATTTAACAACTTGGCAAGGTCTCAAAATTAAAACAAAACAAAACAACCATATAAAATGGTTGGGGATACAGCTCACTGCAAAAGCCCTGGATTCAATTCCCAATATGGGGGGGGGGGATTTCCCATAAATTTCCAGAAAGCATATGCCAAGGCTTTTGTGTGGTGCCTGGAACACGCAAAGCTCCCTATAGAAGGCAACTTTATTCGGCAAATGTCCCTTGAGCTATGTGCCAGCAAGGGGGACATTTAGAGGGGGCCCTGGAGGACATAGAGCAGGATGCCAGAGTGAAGGCCGTCGTGTGCTTGAGGGGCTCCCTGGGGAAGGGAATGGTGGCTGTCTCAGCAGATGCACGCCTGAGTTCCTGACCCAAGCTCTAGAGCCCCTGCAGGGAGGACGGAGGTGGGATGCAGCTCCCCAGCTCCACGAGTCTCAGCTGAGAGCCTCTGCCCAAGTCCTCACCTCTTTGCCTTGCTTACCGCCTTCTCTAGAATATTTCCACTCTCACCTCTCTCGGCCACCTCCTGCTCATCCTCTAAGACCCAACACTGGTGCCACCTCTTCCAGAAAGCCCTCTCCTCCCTGGCGTTGCTGGATTGGGCATCTCCCCTGGTTATGAGTGACCTGGGAGTGCCTGAAGGCAGGACCCTTGGCCTCGCTCTTCTCTATTCCCGGGGCTGGCACCTTGGCCTGTTCCGCTTGGCAGCCCAGGCACCCTCCCCACCCACCCCACTCAGCTCTGGCTCACCTGGGCAGGGGCACAAGGGCCCCACTGTGTCCCAGGGTGGACAGGTACAGGGCAATGCTGTGGGGGTGGAGTGGGAGCCAGGGCTCAGACAGGTGGGACCCAGACAAAGCCTTCTCTCAGCGGGGATCGTGGCAGCTGTGCGGTGAGCACACTGATGCAGGAGCTCTCATAGGTCAGTGAACGAGATGCCCAGGGTGCCCTGAACTCTGCAGTGCCTGGAGGTCGTGTGACCATCACTGTTGGAGGTGGGCATCCGTGCATACATGCTGTTCCCTCTCCCCAGCACAGAAAGCCCTCGAAGGTCCTGCTGTGTCCACAGGAGCGCTGGCACCTGGGTGGGAGCTGGTACAGCTGGCCAGGCTGCTGGAGCTTCCCAAGGGACCAATGCCAGGGGGCCTGGAGCCAGTTTGTCTCTTCAGTTGGGTCTGAAACTTGAGCAGGGCTCATGCTGCTGGCAGCCTGCAACAGAGACCAATGCCAGGAGCTTAGGGGCCACTAGGACTGAGGCCCTGAGGAGGTGACTGGGGACAGGTGCTTGTCCTGTACTTGCCTCACTGCGATCACCAGCCCTTGGGCAGCTGGGAGGGGCCCAGCTTGGAGGCCTTCTTTCCCCACACAAAGCTTTCTGCTCAGCCTGTTCAGCACCCTCTCTCCTACCTGGCTCACCTGCAGTCCCACCGGACTAGCTAAGACTTCTACTTCCTGAGGGGTCACCTCACCTGGTGAATTACAGAAGGGCCTTGCCAGCTCCTGGAGGGGCCAGGGCCAGCAGTGGGCACAGGTGTGCCTGCCCTGGGGGCGTGTGGAGTGAAAGGGAGTGGTTGATGGCAGGACAGACACAGAATACACAGAGAGCATGCTGGGAGTCCCTAGGTCCTTTCCTCCTGGGACTGGGCCTCCTAAATCCCTGAACTTGGTAGGTACAGCCAGAAGGATTCACGGAGGACACCCCAGACCCAAGCGATCAGCTGCCACCTCACTGCCAGCCTCAGCGCCATCCTCATCTGTCCTCTCGGAGTGGCTCCTCCCCATGCCTCATCTGTTCACAAGCCCCACCTCCCCTGCTGACCCATCTCTGCTCCCTTGGGCACCTGGCTCAGTTCTTGGCCCTGTGAAGACTCAGTTTACCTCCTCACACAGCACTTTACTGTCCAGGGCCTGTGGACATTGAGCACTTATGTGCACAGAGTGTGGGGGTCTCTCTTGGATGATGGTGACTGCTGAGGGACCCTAGCACACAGGGGTCCTGGGGAGCAGGGAGGGCTGAGAGGACATTCAGAGGATACACGGGGACCAGCCCAACCTGCAGGCCTCAACCCTGCAATTTGGTGCCTCAGTTTCCCCATTAAATAATAACCATGCATTCACATTGCAGAGTGTATAAAGATCAGCTGTTGTTAGCATAACTGAGAGTGAAGGCTGCCCCCCAGTAGAGGAGGGGCCATTGGGTGCTCCCCTAGGAGCAGGCCCCACCTAATCGGCAGGGGAGTACACAGTGGTGTATTCACTCGGGCTTTCTAGTGAGCCAGGACCCCAAGGAGCCCTGGGGTCAGCAGCAGTGAGCAGACCCTGCCTCCCATTGCTGGGACCCGTGTGGCACAGTGGGCCAGGGACTTGGGGGCTGATGACCTGCTCCACGGTGAGGATAGGATCAACACACCCTCAACTTGTATTTTTTGTCCTTTTATTCTGGCTTTTAATTGTGTCTTCTTCTTGTGTTGCTCTTTTATTTTTGTCACTCTAGATTTGATAGCTGAGTCTCAGGGGCAGGGAATTGGTGACCGTCTCATCCCCAACTCTGTCCTTTCTCTCTCTCTTAACAGTACCTAAGCTGGGAAGCTGAGGCAGAAGGGTCACAGATTTGAACTCAGCCTAGACAACTTAGTGACTTCAAAAGATTCAGTCTCAAATAATAAAAATGGTAGGGATGTAATCAGTGTGAAGTCCTAGGTGCAGTTCCTAGTACTTGAAGAGAGAGAAACAGAGACAGAGACAGAGGCAGAGACCTCTGAGTACTTGGCAGGCGTTACACACGTTGTCTCCTGGGGTATTCTCAGTCTCCGGGATGCAGTAGTGCAGTCTCACCTGACAGAGGAGGAGATCCGGGCTCGGGCAGGTCACCCTGCTACTGAGAAGCAGGACTGGGGTTCAGAGTCTGCCCTCACTGTCCTCTTTGGTCCCTGTTCCCCTCATCCTACATCCCCCAAACTCAAGCCCTTCTGTAGTCTTTGAGTGTCTTCTGTTGTTTCTGAGAGCCTCATTTTCCCCACCTGTCCCTAGGCTGGGACCCCCCCCCCACCATGAAAATTCCGCCCCTTCTGCCTTTCCACATGGAGCCCAGAACAAGCCTTGGCACACCAGGACGTGGACAGAGTAGGGTGGCTCGGAGATTGTTCTAGAAAATGGCTCTGCAGGTTTTGAATGCAGGTCCCAGCTACTGAGCCCCCGGTCCTCCCCCTGGCTAGTGTGACCTTCGCTCTCAACCCTAATTCCTTAGCTGTGCATGGGAGAAACAATTGCTCCAGGCAGTAAAGCCCTGCTGTTGCTTTTCTTGTGGGCAAGAGCTTTGCAGTTAAGGGACAGGCCCTGAGTCTCAGGCCTACTGCATTTGGCACAGTCCTGCAGAGATCGCTGCTCCCTTGGGACTGTACTGGGCCTTGTAGGGGCTGCACCCAAGGCCAGACCCGACGCCTGGAGGTCAGATGGGAGCAGAAATGCACCCAGGTCTCTGCAAACCCCAGCTGACTGTGACCTTCCCTTGGGGAACTTTGCAGATGGTGGTTCTCATGGACCCAATGGAGGACCCTGATGACATTCTGCGAGCACACCGCTCCCGGGAGAAGTCCTACCTGTTCGATGTGGCCTTTGACTTCACTGCCACCCAGGTGGGACAGGGCCTGGACCTGGGCCTGAAATATGAAAGAGCCCCCTGACACCCTTTGCCTTACCCGGCAGAAGCCTTCACTTTCCTTCCACCGTGTGCTCAAGGAATCGAGTTCTAGAGCTTTCCCCACTTGGGGACAGTGTTTGCATGTGTTTGCATGGTGCCTACACTTGTATACCTGTGTGGTGGGCCCACCTGGCCTCCTGCTTGGACACGCTTGGGTGAGCGCGTGCACACACACACCGCCCCGCCTCGATGCACACTCCATAGCTGCCCGTATCCAAGCGGAGGCAGGAGCCTGAAGCCCATCTGGTGCAGAGAGGGCAGGCAGGGAGTCTCCGGGAAACTGACACTCTCCTAGGGACTCCCATCTCACCCATCTTTGGGATGCGCTCTGGAGCAGATGGAATGCATCCTTAGAGCTGGGGGCCAGCAGCCAGCTTCAGGGGAAGTGTCTCAGGTGTCCTGAGCTCTCCTGCACACTGGTGCCCCCCCCCGGGGGGGGTGTAAGTGGAGACATCCTCTCCTACAGCTGCCACACCCTTCTTCCCAGCCTGGGGTTCCAGGGTCAGCATTGCCTGTGGGCATCTGAGCTCTGCCCAGTCTGTGTGTCAGGCCCTTGACCAACTTCCTGTTCCCTGCAGGAGATGGTGTACCAGGCCACCACCAAGGGCCTCATAGAAGGCGTCATTTCAGGCTACAATGCCACTGTCTTTGCATATGGTCCTACAGGTGAGGCAGAAACCCAGACTGAAACACCCCTGTCACCCCACCCATAAGAACCAAGCCCCTTTGTCTAGTTCCACCTGGATGGGGGTCGAGGCTATGGCTGATCCAGACCTCATCCAGGACCCTCCAGCTCTAAAACCCCATCCCTCACCAGTGTCATCATCATTCTTCTGTCCCTCACTACCACCTGGACATTTGAGGGTCCAGCCTTGGGGACAGACCTAAAGTTATCAGCTCAGCAAGACCTCACGCTGGTCCCCACTCCGTTCACCCATCACCTTACTCTGTCCCAGGCTGTGGGAAAACTTACACCATGCTGGGTACTGACCATGAGCCGGGCATCTATGTTCGGACCCTCAATGACCTCTTCCGTGCAATCGAAGAGACCAGCAGTGACATGGAATATGAGGTTTCCATGTCCTACTTGGAGGTGAGCCCTACCCAACCCTGGGCAAGAGGTAAGGATGGGCTGACCTCCCAGAAGCTCATTACTGGGTGATTTCCTGGACGCCCATCATGACTGCTACCCCACGAGCAGGTTGTTAGCCCTACCTTCCATAAAAAAGGGCTCAGCAAGGTTAGGCAAGTAGATCGATGACACACAGTGAGAGAGCAGGGGTTCAGACTCACGACCCAGTGGCTTGAAAGCTGATTATGGCCTGTTGTCCCACCCAGAGTAGCCTTGTCAGTGAGCAAAGAGCTTTGCAGCCCTCCCAGACAGCCCTCCTTGTCCTCCTGGTGGGCCTGTTCCTGGAGCTCATCTGTCCACACCGAGCATGGAAGAGGCAGGAGACTTAGCCAGCAGACTCTTCTGGGAGCCGATAATCTCCCGAGTGACAGCCCAGAAGGAGCGGCAAGGTGGGGCTGCCAGCCCATGTTGACTGAGCCAACAAGGCTCACCTGGCCATGTGTGGGGGCCACCTGGAAGTAGCCTAACATTGCCTAGCAATGACCAAGGTTTCTCAACCTGTTCCCCACTTTGGTCAGGCCTCACATCTGCACAGCATCCGGCCTGGGAAGCCTAGAAGGTTCTGGATCCTCCAGTAACATCAGCTCTAGACTGGAGTTTTCCTGTAGATGCTGAAGACTCCTGCCAACAAAGAGGGCCTTCTGCCAGCCAGGGCTTCTCTCATGAAGCCTAGGGCCCAGAATGCTGGCTGGGGGAGAGAAGCAGGGTTTCCTTACCTGGGCCTCCTGACCTTGGTCTGCCTTCTCCTCTCCCTGACTGCTCTCGTCAGATCTACAATGAGATGATCCGGGACCTGCTGAACCCCACCCTGGGGTACCTGGAGCTGAGGGAGGACTCCAAAGGGGCCATCCAGGTTGCCGGAATCACCGAGGTCTCCACCATCAATGCCAATGAGGCGAGTGTTGTGCGGCCAGTCAGGGGCTGTGGAGGGGACCCTCAGTAAAAGGGGTCAGGAAGGAGAGGACTGAAGCTAGGAAGCCACTGGTGCTCAGTGGGGCCTGGGGCAGACAGACAATCCTGAGTGGCAGAAGTGAAACTCACGTCAGCTGTCACGTCCCCGCCTCGCTGACCCTGGGGAGTGACCAGGCCACACAACTTCCCCCACCCATGGAGGCCTGCCTGCCCAGGCCCCTTGGCACACAGTGGTCAGGCCACCCCAGCTGAACCTCTCAGATGCATGCAGGAACCCCCTCTCCTGGGCCAGGCTCCTCCTCTCTGTGAGACATCTCTAGGGGTCCCCAAGACCTCTGCCCTCCATCCTACCCACCTAGGTCATGCAGCTGCTGATGAAGGGGAACCAGCAGAGGACCCAGGAGCCCACGGCTGCCAACCAGACGTCCTCACGCTCCCACGCTGTGCTGCAGGTGGCCGTGCGCCAGCGCAGCAGGGTCAGAAGCATCGTGCAGGAGGTGCGGCAGGGCCGCCTCTTCATGATTGACCTGGCCGGCTCTGAGCGCGCCTCCCAGGTGAGGCTGGCTCTTGGCGACAGGGCAGGGATGTCTGTCCCAGAGGAAAGTGCTCCCCCATGGGAGGCTGGCTCTCTAGGACTGGGGGAGAGGCTACTATGTGGGACAGCTCCCCAGAAGCTGCGAGGGAAGAACGTCCAAGAGCAGTGGAGGGGTGAATGGGAGCCTCAGGGTGCAGACAAAAGGGGTGTCCCAGAGGGCTAGGAGTGTAAGGATAGGCCAAGGGCCTGCTGGGGGAAGGGGGAGATGGGGCCAGGGCGACAATGACTGGGGCCAGCTGAGGGATTTGATAGTAGGTAGAAAAGCCCCTGACAGAGAAACTTGGGCAGAGCCTGGGAGTGGACCCCAATAGTCACATCCTGGCCCTGTCAGTTTCTTGAAGTAACTTTGAACCTTTACTTGCCTGATTTGGGGGCCTTGGGTCGCTATAGCAACCCAGCAGACACAGAGTCTGCTCTTTCCTGAGGGCCAGCTTGGGGTTCACAGTCACTGGACAGCAGAAGCTGAGGATGTCACTGTGTTAGTGCTGGAGAAATGCAGGCCAGAGGACCTCGTGAGGAAATAAGCAAGGTTTCATGTTGAAAAGCAGACTGGGTTAGAACAGGATGAGATTCAGCAAACTCACCCGCCCCCACCTCACCCTCGAGTGAAGTCTGGAGTCCTTGAAGGGACGGGGAAGCCTGGGAAGAGGGTGTTCAGTGCTGGAGCCAGCTGGTCCTGGCTTCTCCAGGAGGGTTGAGGTGGCTTCTGGCTGGTGGCAGAGACCCTGCTGCCTTGATGCCCCTGCAGGCCAAGAGTGGAGGACCCTGACCTTTCGACTTTCTGTGTGTGTGTGTGTGTGTGTGTGTGTCTGTCTGTCTCTCTCTCTCATGCACACCCTCCCCATTCCTCACACACACATCACACCTCTCTCCCTGCTCCCTGAAGCCTGTGGCATTCTTTAGAGCCATGACCAGTGGTGGAGACGGCTGCCTGGGAAGCCACTTTGTGGATGACATGTTCTGGCAGCACCTGCCCTGGGAGAGACCAAGAAGCAGCCTCTCTACCCTGCTCAGAATCCTGTAGCCCTCGGCTTGTTTAGAGACCCTGCTGTCACCTTAGCTTGTCAAATCTTCCAGGCCCCTGACAGGAGGGCGGGCAAGGCTGTGGTGTCATATCAATGATACATTTGGGGGCCCCAAGGGAGGAAGGGAGATTTACTACCAGGATCACCTGGGCGTTTTGAGGGGGCTAAAGTGGAGCCCCATCCCCACCCCGGAAGGTCACAGTGATGTCGTTTGCTGCCCCAGACACAGAACCGTGGGCAGCGCATGAAGGAGGGGGCCCACATCAACCGCTCCCTGCTGGCCCTGGGCAACTGCATCAACGCGCTGAGTGACAAGGGCAGCAACAAGTACATCAACTACCGGGACAGCAAGCTGACCCGGCTCCTCAAGGTAACCCCACAAGCGGGCCCAGGCGCTGGGCTACCGAGGGTCGGGCTGCCAGGTGTACAATACAAATGCAAGACACCCCGCTCGATCTGAATTTTATATAAGCCACGAAAGTAATTTTAGTGCAAGTGTGCCCCATGCCACACCTGGGCTATGCATATACTAAATAAATCAATGCATCATTTTTCTGAAATCTGCATGTCACTGACTACCCTGAAGTTTATCTGGCAACTCCATCCTAGAGTGGGCAGCAGGGAGGGAGGGAGCTGCACCCAGCCCCCTTCTAGAGGCTGAGCTCGTGGGACTGAAAGCCTCCTAGATGTGGGGTTCAGTGGAGAGCCCCATGGGGCCACTTGCTTTGTGCAGGGCAACCCTGGGCCTTAACTGAGAGGCATCACTGGGTGTCTGCTCCCAACTGGCCTCTGAGTTCAGTGCTTCCTCCTACGGGTCCTTTCCTGTTTTAGGGAGAGAAGATCATTGATTTTTTTTTTTTAACTTTTTATTAGTACATGTCTGCAGTATGTAACGATTACATTCATTGTGGGAACTGGCATATGTATGTAATATCTCAGTTCTTTTATTTCCCCTTTCCCTCCACTTTTTTTTTTTTTTTACAATTTTTTTCTTTTTTTGCCAGTGGTAGATTTATTTATTTTATAATTCTTTATCAAGTTAACTATCATAAACATAGACTAACACCTGGACTAACAAGCCAAACAGCATATAAAACACATAAAACAGTTACGGTAAATCAAGGTACACTTTTAGGTATGTTGGCCATGCAGGAATACAATAATTTTTTCCCTTCCTCCTTTTTCCCTATTGCCTATTTTTATTTTGTATAGTATTTATACACTGAATTTCTGACATAAGAGAAATCACGTGATATTTACACTTCCATGTTTGATATGCTTCATTTAAAATTATGTTCTCAAAGAATATCTGTTTCCTACGAAAGACTCCTTTGTCCTTTATGGCAGACAGCTACTGCACTGTAAAAAATACCACAGTGTCTTTATTTGTTCATCTGTTGATGGATAGACAGGCTGCTTCCAAGATTTCCCTCCCATGAACTGTACCGCTATAAACATGAGTGTGTGTGTGTGTGTGTGTGTGTGTGTGTGTGTGTGTCCCTGTAGCATGATTTATTTGCTTCTTCAGGAAGATATCTAGAAGGGGAAGAGCTGGGTGAGATGGAATTTTTAGTTTTAGTTTTTTGAGGAAGCTCCACACTGATTTCCGTAGTGGTTGTACCAGTTTACACTCCCACTAGCAATAGAGAAAGATTCCTTTTCCCCCAGAACTTTGATCATTTGATTTCTTGAAGATGTCCATCCTTTATCTTTTTTTGTCTGTTCTTTCTGAAGATGGGATTTCAGTGTTACTTTAATTTGCATTTCTCGAGTGGCAAGTGATGCTGAAGACTTAAATTATTTTCCTTTGTGTCATTCATGTATTTATTGGCCATTTGCACTGCTTCATCTGAGAAATATGAATTCATTTCAGATGCCTATTTTTGATTGTGTCTTTGATTGTCTTTAAATTTGAGGATCTTTTTTGTGAGTTATTTACATATTTTAGGTATTAGTCCTTTGTCTGAGGAGTAACTGGAAAGGTTTTTCCCCTTTCTATAGGTCGTCTCTTCACATGGTTGGTAATTTCCTTTTTCCTGGGTCCTCACTGCAGGGAGCACTGTCTCCTGTTTTCCTTCAGTCCATGAATTTCCTTTGAAGCTAAATGTGTTGCTTGTATACAGCACATTGGTGGATCTTGTTTCTCGATCCACTCTCCTTGTGTTTCTTTTTATTGGTGACTTGAGACCATCTGCATTAATGGTTACACCCAGCATGCGCTGGCCTGTCTCTGCTGTTACCCTCCTGCCACTGGTGCCCCACTTTCCCCCTCCATTCAGTTGCCTGCCCTGCTCAGTAACCCTTCTCTGCGGCTGTTTCTGGAGCCGTGGTCATCTGTATCTCTCTAGAATGTCCTTCAACACTTTGTATAGGGTTGGTTTGGTGGTCATGAATTCCTTCAGCTGTTCTTTATCATGGAAGTATCTTATTTCTCCATTAATTTTAAAAGATAGTTTTGCAGCATACATCAATCTGGGTTGGAAGTTGTTTTCTTTCAGGACTTCAAACACTTCACTCCAAGCTCCTCTTGACTTGATGGTTTGTGTTGAAATGTCTGCGGTGATTCTGATGGGTTTTCCTGTATAGGCAATCTGTTTTTATTCCCTAACAGTCTTTAATGTTCTGTTCTTGTGTTGAGTATCTTGGATCTTGGTAATTATATGTCTGGGTGTAGATTTATTTTGGTTATGGCTAGTTGAAGTTCTATATGCCTCACTTATCTGTATGTCAGACCCTCTTCCCTTGTTTGTGAAGTTTTGTGCTATTACTTTTTTTTTTGTACTTGGGCATTGAACTCAGGACCTTGAACTTGCCAGGAAAGCACTTATGTTACTAAAATGTGTCCCCATCCCTCTGCTGTTACTTGTGTAAATAGTTTTTTATGTCATTTGTGTTGACCCCCTTGCTTTTGTGTATTTAAGAATTTTTCTGCATTATTGCTGTGAATGGGTTTTTATGCAATTTGTGTTGTTTTCATTTACTCTAGTTACTCTGAGATGAGCTGTCTTTGCGTCACCTAGCAGCTGTTAGGTCCATGTTTCACCTCCTTCTGTTGCTTTTAAGGTGTCTTTGAGAAGTTAGTCTTCAAAGGCATCCTTGTCTTCTCGTTCTGAAATGTGGTCCATCCATTGGCCTCTTCTACTGCTCATACTTTCAATATAATTTTTAGTCCCCTGCGGTTTTGACTGAAATCTTTCATGGGCTCTAATTCTTTGCTAAACTCTTCATTCATGTTTATATAGTTTTGTTTAACTTAGCTTACTTTTTACTGCTGTCTTTAGAAAGCTTCTGAGTCATTTTGATTACTGTTTTAATGATCTGTGTAGTTATAACTTTGGAGACCTTGTTGAGTACCTTTTTGATATATTTTTTTAACCTTCTCTATTATCCTTTTGAGTAATTTTGGAGTATGATTTATGCTGCTCTCCTCCTTGTTGCCCCTGAATTGGCTTTGGGGGAATATGTGGGAGTTCTGGAAGCATTTCGTTGCCTTTCTTCTGTTTCTGTTGGGTTTGTATATTTTGTTTGTGCTGAGGTCTGTGGCTGCTTATGGTGTAAAGACGCTATTATTAATATATTGTTAGGATGGCAGGTTTTTTTTTTTTGTACCTGGAATTGAACTCATGACCTTGCACTTGCCAGGCAGGCACTTAGGACACTGAGCTAAATCCCCAGGCCTAGATAGCGGTCTTTTTAATCGCTTTTCAGTGATATGCCTCAGGTGTAGCTCACTATAGTCTTCTGCCAAGACCAACCACCCTAGTCACTTTGTAAGGGGAAGACTTTGTGTCACTCGCTCAACACAGAATTGTCTAGCAGTGTAGTCTTGTATTGTTTATGTCACAAAGGTAATATGAGGGTTAGCTTACAGAGAAAACCCATTAATAACAACAATTATGTCACAGTGCTATTGTCAATGCCCAAGACAAGTGGGCTATTAATATACCGTAAGAACCAATTATGTACCACCCTTAAGTGTAGAGAAGAAATCCACAATTATGATGTAAGCATTAATGCAACCCAGGCATTGACTTTCAGCTACTATGTACTAAATGTGATAGCTATATCTTCACTAGCAGCAGAAAAAAATTCTATAGTCATTTTGTAGTTAACTATCTTACGATTAATATTGATATATGGTTATACTAGTAAAGATATTGGAGATTGGGAACTGAGAAATGCAAGAGGGAAAATGTAAATCCTTAACTGATGTGAGAAGGGAGAGGGGGAAGTGATACAAGGAATCCCATTTGGGGGGTAGAAATTATAGAATTAGATAAAGATAAAAAAAACTGACAAGAAATAGAAGATAAAAGACAAAGATGGAGGAAAGAAATTATATGAGGAGTAAAAATAACAGAAGAAATTAAAAGGAGAAAAATTAAATGGGAGAAGAAAAAATATAGAAAAAAGTTAAGAAGAAAGGAAAATCTCCCAAACCTCGATAAACTGATGAAGGAGGAAAGAGAGAAGAAAAAAAGAAAAAACAAAAAACAATGCTCATACAAAAAATATTCCCTGTGATTTTTCAATGTGTGATTTTCTCCTGGGATCTACCATTCTGGGCGCTGTCCAGTTCAGTATGTGGTCCTGCTCACACTAGTTGGTAAAGGAGAGAGTTAGACCCCAGATCTGTGCTAGTTACCTGGACCAGAAAGCAGTGACTAGGAGGAACCAATGCCATGAATTTCAGATCCAGTGTAACACAGGCTGAGCCTGGCCTCTCTGGTCATGGGAACAAGGTCTAAGTCCTTCACCTCAAACCCCTTCAAGGAGTTTCTTTCCAACCTGCTCCCAACCATGGCTGTCTCTCATCCAGTCACTGTGGGAATGTCACACTGGGAGCCCTAATGTGAAGCTGAGTCCTGGGTTAAAACAATCAACCTCTCCCTGGAATGGCATCCAACCAAGCACTGTCCCCAGGGGTAAGGCAGGTGCTTGGACTGGAGCCATTCATCAGCTGTTGCAAGTCAAAGGACTCATGTGGGGGCAGAATCTCATGCTCTCCAGGCAGCTCTTAGCACCTAAAAACACAAACACAGAACAGAAACCTCTGTGTTTCTCCCTGAACTCCTCCCTGAACTTCTCCTCCCTGAACCCTGGCTTTTACTTTGTCTGTGTAGATCTGGCTTCCCTTTCATGCCAGCCACGATATCTGGGAGCTGGGGGAGAAAGTACAGATTGCTCCTGCCCTTCTCTGCAATTTCTCTGTAACTGTTTAAGTTTCCTGCCAGAATCCTCAGATCCCCAGGGATCTAGCTATCTTTCTCTCTTCCCTAAGTTATTTTTCAGTGTCTGGATCCCAGATCTTGAAGAGGTTGAGCCATCGTTGCTTACCACTCAGCCATGTCCCCCTTGTCCTTTAGCTTTGTCGGTGTCTCTGTGGGTTAGGGGAGTTCTATTTGCAGATGAGGAATTTTCACAAGGAGGTTAAGGAATTTTCCTGAGGGCTGAAGCTAGTAATGCTGAAAATAGGGTTCCAAATGAAGTCCTTGGTCAAATGTCATAGTAGCAGCTTGCATGATCCCTGAGTCAGTCTGACACCATGGCTGCATCCATAAACCAGAAAGGTGCAGATGGGGAAAATGATGGCCATATTCCAAAGCAGCCTCCAGGTCTCCTAGCTGGGTGAGGCTGTCTTCCTCTCAAGCTGTTTGCAATGTGCAGTGTGTGTGTGTGTGTGTGTATGTGTGTGTGTGTGTGTGTGTGTGTGTGTGTGTGTGTGTGTGTGTGTGTGAAAAGCAGGGAGTACAGGGAAAGAGAACACATACCAGGACGGGGTCGGGGCAGCCTGGCAGGAGGCCATCTCAGCTGACCACATGTCTTATCTCTCTCTGTCCAGGACTCTCTTGGGGGAAACAGCCGTACCGTGATGATCGCCCACATCAGTCCAGCAAGCACAGCCTTTGAGGAGTCCCGGAACACCCTGACCTATGCCGGCCGGGCCAAGAACATTAAGACAAGGGTGAGGCCCTGTGGGCTGTCCCTCTGGGCATACTTTCCAGGCTCCAGATTTGAGCTCCTGGACTGACTGATCCCTTCTACCCACCCATGTTCTGTAGACCCAGCCACCATTGCACTGGCCTCATTCCCCCAATGAACATGACTCCCAAGCACTTCTCTTGCACCTCCAGCCCCTGATTGTCGACCCCAAAGCCTTTATTTGCCTCTCATCCCAGCCCAGCCCCTCCATCTTCAGAGGTCCATTCAGATACCTGCATTTCCGAAGCCCCTCCCCATAGCATTCACAAGAAGAGGCAGCCCGTTTTAAGTATCTACCCTGAGCTCTTTGACATATTCTGTCATCTGATTTCAAAACCAGGCAAGTGGTACTGCTTCTTCATGATACAGTTAAAAAGTGAGGCTTAAGGAATGGTTGAGTGATTTCTCAGATAGCTTAGAAGCGATGGCTTAGAAACTAGAAGTGGGTCTGCCTGGTTCCCAAGTTCATGTTCCTACTTCTCTGGTGAACATGATGGGACCCCTGAAATCCAGTATGAAATCTCCTTATGACTGAGTGCTTCAAGTTGTATTCTGACTCTCTGGGAAGTTCGTGGAGGAGAAGAGACGTAGTGTAGATTAGTTCATTGTTAATGGAGACAGTTGCTTAGGTAGATGGTGCCAGTAGGGGCTGGGGGAGACTGAGTAGTATTATGAAGCTTGAGGAGAATATTCTAGAAGGTAGGAAGTGGTAAAGCTCCAGTGGTGAGGAAGAGTTAAAAATCTATGGTGGATACTCAGCAAGAGAGTTGGACTGGAGAGAAGAATGATTGTTTAGGAGCAGTGACTCAGAATAAATCAGAGATTGGTGAACCTTCAACACCAGGTAAAGGAAGTAGGGTGTTCCATCTAGCCAGTAGGGAGCCACTGAAGTTGATGGGCAGAGGCAGCATTTTAGGACTGGCAAAGACATGTAGGATGTGATAGCAAGAAGTGGAGTCAGAGGCAAGGAGGCCATGACAGTCACCAGAAGGACTGGGAGTCAATGAGGGACAAAGGAAGGTCCCCCAAGAAGGTCCAGGGGGTGTACGGAGGTAAACCCAGTTCCTGGTGTTCTCCCTGCAGGTGAAACGGAATTTACTTAATGTTTCCTATCACATCGCCCAGTACACCAGTATCATCGAGGACCTGCGGAGTGAGATCCAGCGACTCAAGGGCAAGATCAACCAACAGGCTGGGTGGGGCCCAGCCACAGGCCAGCTGCAGCGGGGTGACATCCGACACATCCAAGGTGTGTGTGGGGAGGTGGTGCTGACCAGGCTCTTTGCGACTAGGCAGCCTTGGGCTAGGCACTCAGCTGTTCTGAGCCTTGCAACCTACCTTTGAAAAGTGGGATCCTGATCTCTGCCGTAGAGAGCTGGTGATCAGGTGGGGTCACATACGACACTACACATTTAGCTGTGCAGGATATCACACTGGGGATTGCCTCAGCTGTGCAGGATGTCACACTGGGGACTGCCTGGCAGACACTGGGGCCACCACCTTTTTGTGGTTGACACAAGAAGCTGTAAGAGTAAGGGGAACCTGGGTCCTAGGGATGACCTGATAAAACAGTTGGGGTACAGCCTTGAGGCACCTTTGGGGTTGGGAGTAGGAGGACCTCTTTCTGGAGGAAGTGCTTAGACAGGAAGTGGGTGCAGTGATTTGGGAAGAAAGATGGGGAAGGGCCCCAGGGCGTAGAATCCTTAGCCTGAGCCCGCCCCTCATCTGAACTCCCATCCCCACCTTCCACCCACCCCCTCACCCCTGGCCCCCACCCTGATCCCCTGCAGCCGAAGTTCAGCAGCAGGGTGAGCAGGCAGAAATCAGCGCACTCCATATGCAGCTCACTAGAGCTTTCCGGGAGCAGACGGATGTCCGCAGGTGCCTGCTAGAGCTGGAGAAGCGGGCCAGGGAGATCGAGATCGAGATGGAGACCTCCTGCCACTTGATCACCATTGCTGGGTATGCAACCCCCTTCCCTCCAAGCCCCACATGGGCCCAGGATGCAAGAGCTGGGAGATGTGGGTGCACACTCTCCCAAGGACTCAGTCTTATCTCCCTGGGGTGGGGCAGCTGGAAGGGTAAGAAATCTCACAGAGCCCTCAAACGGCAAGAGGAGCAGAGGAAGGAGTCGTACACCAAGGATGACAGTGAGAAAGACTCAGATACGGGCAGTGACCCGCCAGAAGATCTAGAGCCACCTGAGGTGGCCTCAGCCTGGGAGAGCATCACTGCCCTGGTGGATGAGCAGAAGAAGCTGCACAAAGAGGTGGTGTCCAGGGCTCAGCGGGCATGGGGGATGAGGAGTGGGCATCACACCTGGGGGCCAGAGGAGGAGCGTGAGTGGGAACTCAGGCTACAAACCCTGGTGACCTTGCCAGGTTTTTTCACCTCTCTGTGCCTCACATTTCTCAGCTGTAAGATGGGAGTGGTGGAGATGCAGCCCTCATGGGGTCTTTGGAGAGGTAAAATTCATGCCTGGCACATGCCTAGGGTTCACATGGTAGTTAGGGCTTTCAGAATAGCAGATCTTTCCATTCTGTTGAGGCACACTCACACCAGAGGGGCTTCAGAGTATTGTGAGCCCTGAGGGTGTCACAGGGTTGGGCTTGAGCAGATGTCCCCAGAGCTGGCTACGGCTGTGGGCGGGTGATAGGGTGGCAAGCAAGTGAGCAAAGAGAAACCACTTTGGAAGAGCCCCTGGTTACAGGATCCAAGATACAGTCCGAGGGTTGGCACGGAGTGTGTGCTCCACACTGGGAGTCCAGGGGCTGGAAAGGTGAGGACAAACAGGACTGCTGGGCACGGCCTGGTGCTGACCTGGCATATTCCCCAGTTGGCACTGCAGCAGCGCTGCCAGCAAGAGCTGCGCACACGGTGCCGGTACCTGGAGGAGACGCTGCTGCAGCTCATCGGCTCGGAGAAACAGCGCGAGGTACTCAGTTTGCTGTGCCAGGTACACGAACTCGAGGTGGAGAACACCGAGATGCGGTCACATGGGCGGCTTCGACTCTGTGACAAGATCATCCAGGGCCAGAGACAGATCATCGATGGTAGGGCCCATGCCCAGCTTGACCAAACTGCTGAGGAGGACCAGTGGGCACATGCTGAGCCCTGCCCCTCCCCCCACAGAGTACAGCCTGCCTGTCCCCCAGCACCTAGAGAACCTGTGCGACCTGTACCTTCGAGAGCAGGAGAAGGGTGGCCTCAAGCCGGCCACCGTCATGAACTGTGTGGCCTCCAGGGCCCTGAAGGTGGGCATGGGGGCAGTCCTGTGTGTACGGGCGTATGTCAGGGAGGGGCCACCACCCACAGTGGGATGCTAGTTGGTTGGCACTCCAGGGAGTTGGTTCCTTCTTACCCCATCCCATGCCTTCCAAGCTTGAGTAAGGTCCTTGTCCCTACGCATTCCTCACTGGCATCTGTCCCCACCCAGGACTGGCCAATTGAGATCTCACGAATGGCCCCAGATGATGTACAGGAGACCAGGGCATTAGGTGGTGCCACTGAGGCTGCCACTGTAGTTTCCTCCTGGGGACCCAGGACCCAAACCCACTACTGCCTTTCCTGGGCTTCTGGCCTATGTGACAACCCTTGTCACTCTGTATGCCTTTGTCACCCTCCAAGTCTTCTGATTGTCCACTCCTGTTCTCCCTTCCCTAGGACAGTTTCTTGCCTAAAATTACCGTGGCAGAAATCACATTGACCTCAGACTCTGACCCAGAGAGCGTGAACACACTGCATTCCGAAGCTCAGCACCTGCAAGACACCCTGCCTCCTCTCACCGCAGAGAGGTGAGGCCACTTCCTTCCTTACTTTTGCACCCTCTCAGGGCAGGGGCCAGTGTAACAGATCAAGTGTCCATAGGGAAGATGGAGACTGAATAAAGGCAGGTCCGGAGCCAAGTTTCCTGGCTTCTTTTTCCCTTTACACCAACAGCTTCTCCCCTAGAAGGGCAGACCTCAGTGCCACCAGCCTGGTCAACAGCCACCCATTCTCCTTTGCCAGCGTCAGTAAAGCCCACCTTGCATCTAAGGCCACACCCCGGGCCTGGCCAGCAAAGAGCTCCTCTGTGCCCATCCCACTTCCCATCCCAGTTGGCAGCCTGGTAGCCCAGGAGGTGAGCTCTAGGAACCCACTGTTCCTAGGGGTGTTCCTAGGGCTGTTGCTGGGGGTGGGCACACAAGGGTGGACACCCAACATTTGGGGTGCAGTCTTTCCAAAATGGCCTCCCGTCCACCCCTGGAGGCTTGCTGCCCCTGCTGAGTGGAACATGGGGGCCCTACTGTCTTCCCAATCCCTCCAGGCCCCGCCCTCAGACAGCCTGGGCTTCCAGATCAGCTCTTCCCCCGACAGCAGTGAGAATCTGTCAGGGATCCCCTTGTCCCAGAAAGGTGCGTATGCCCCCGCCTGGTGTTGTCTAACCGCTCAGCTCACCCAGCCCAAAGCCCCACCCTCCCTTTTGCTCTGCTGAGTGTGCACTGCATCGCTTGCTGCCTATTCTGCAGCCACCAGTGCCCCTGGGGTGTTAGTTACCTGCTTAAGGACACAGAGCGATAGGAGCACAGTCAGAAATTATGCTGGGGACACCTGGCACCCAAGCTCACATCCCCTCCACTCAATAACTGTAATAGCGCCAGCTGAATCCCTGTCCCCTGGATAAGGTAGGCTAAGCCCATCGCCTTAGTAACCTAAGGGCTCAGTGTTGCCATCCTTGGTTTAAAGCAAAGTTCAGTGTGTCCCAAGTTCCTTAAATAACAATTCAGGTGTCATGGGCAAGGGCACCCTGGCTCCTGCTCTTTTCTGCCCTTCCTGGCAGAGGGAGGCCGTTGGGAGGTGGCCTTGATCCTGTGCTGGGATTCCTGTGTTCTCTGCAGAGGGAAAGGAGATCCTGACCGGTACCAAGTCCATTTCAGTGAAGGCTGCCAGGCGGCGCTCACGGGCTCTGGCCCTACAGGGGCGCCACCTGCTGGCAGCTGCTGCAGATCGCAGCAGCCTGTCGCTGAACTCCCTGAGCGAGGCTGAGGATGCCAGGCCACCCAGCCCCACGCTGCAGCGTGCAGCCAGCGAGGACAACCTGTCCAGCAGCACGGGCGAGGGCCCCTCAGGGGCAATCAGGCATCAAGGTGATAGCCCTGGATCCTGGGTAGGTGACCAGAAGAAAAATACAGACAAGAAAAGAGAGAAGTCACTAGAGACAAAGAAGAGGAAGCGGAGGACCCTTGAGGTCGCAGGGCAAGGGGTAGGTAAGGGGAAGGAGAGGGGCTGGGTGGGTGGGGTCTTGAGGGCTGAATTCCTCTGTCTGCACCCCAAGCCATGCCTCAGCAATGCCTTCATCCTCCAGCTGCCACCATAGCTGGGGCAGAGGCCTACACAGCTCTTGGCCTCACCTCACTTACTGTTCTCCAACTCAGCTCTCCCGCCCTAAGACACACGTCCGCCATCCACCAGACAGCACCTCGGATCACAAGGTGCCAGTGTGTGGGCACCCCACACCCAGTAACCGGCATTTAGGAAGAGTCATGCTGCCTTTGGCCAAAATCAGACTCCCTCCAAGTGAGGGCGCCGGTCAGTACCAGGAAGGGAGGGAAGGGGAAGCCTTGGCCAGCCCAGGGAGGAGATGTGCAAGCTCCTGCCCCTGTACCTGCCCAGTGACGGAAGCCTGATACTCAGCGTATTCAAGGGATTGGGGACTTGGGCTTGTGCCTCTAAGGGAGTTCAAGCCCCTGATCCTGGCTCTCACTCTGTTGCAGGCTCTGGGGATGCCTTACCCCTTATTGTTACCTCCAATGCAGCTGGCATTTCCCATCGGCCCACTCATGGGCTGCGCCCACCCCATGGCTCAAGTGCCCGACACAACTGAAAAGCCCTGCCTGGAACCAGCTATTCTGCCCTTGAGACTGAACGGGGTGTAGTGGGAATGGGAAACAGAGGTGGGCAGATGGGAATCACATGGAAACAGGAACTCAGAATCTCAGAGCTCCTAAGACCCAGAAGCTGGGGCGGGGGTGCCAGACCCAGGCATGCTTTCATTGTCAGGAGAAGAGGGTAAGCCCGAGGCACAGCCTCCCGCCCTGCACACAACACTATTGCCAAAACCCTGGCAGTGGGGTGTGGAGCCATAAGCAGAGCTCGCTCCTGGGCCACACCTGGGGCGAGGGTATGTTGGATCACTGGAGAGGGGCCAACGGGCCTTTACATCTGGGTTTGCCACTTTGCGATGGCTTTTCCCTCTTCTTTTTTAATAATAAAATCCCCTTTGTGTTTCATGGTTGTGTTGGAAACCAGGCCTCATCTGAATGTGGGACAACAGCTGTGACTGATTCGGCCGGCTCCCTTCCACCTCCCTGAGGTGCCCTGCTCTCCCCAGGCTGGGGACAGGGGTTCTGGCCAGATCCCAGGCCCCTCCCCAGGAAACGCAGGGCTAGAGCAAGTTCAGTTTATGCCCCATCCCAGCCACCTTCACATTTGCCAAAGACCCCTCCCAGGGGAGAGGCCCCAGCCTGGGGGTAACACCCTCAGAAAACCTGCAGCACAGAGGAGGTAGCCAGACCCTGGAGATCAGGGCTCAGAAATGACCAGCTAAATCCCTCAGCTGCAAGCTGAGCAAACTCCTGCCAGAGGCAGGTACCCTGGTGTCCCAGTTAGTAGCCCACAGACCATTTGCTTTTACCTGTCCTGCTCCAAGTGGGGTAGGGGCTCTCAGGGAAAAACTCAGTGAAGGCCAGCGAACCCCCAGATTTGTAGGCTCTCCCTGGGCCCTCCCCTGGGGGCTGGTGGTTCTTCATCCCTTCACCTCTCTGAGTATCTATTTATTCAGATCCAAAAATGTTGCCTTCAAAGTTGGCTGTGGAATGAGTTCCAGAATCCAGGCATCTGGTCTACTGCCACTCACCTAGCACCCACCCTAGCCCCAACCAGCCAGTGCCAGCCCACACAGGGACCGGGCTCACAGTCCCCTGCACACATGCCTCATCCTTCCCAGACCTTGGCATCTCCTAGGCCAGTCTTTTTCAATCCGATCTACTTGGGCGTCCGGATGAGGGTGTGGTAGACGGGCTTGACTATGAGGTGTAGATGCAGCGCGTTCTCCACCAGGTACTCAGAGTTGCGCCGCTGCAGGTCTGCGTGCGCCAGGAAGTCGCCGACCTCCTCGCTGCTCTGGTGGAAGCTGTAGGCGTGGCGGACCAGGAGCCGGCCTTGCTGGCGGGCTCCCACTAGCACGGTCTTCTGGAAGCTCACTCCTGCAGCGTCGCCACCGCTGCTGGCCGGAGTAACCACTAGACGCGGCCGTCCGTCCTCGGGGCGCGCGGCTGGCAGGGCGGTGCCCGCGGCGTCGGCGTAGACTGGCCGCAGGCTGACGGGCAGCCAGCGCGGCGAGAAGAGCACGTTCCAAGTGACCCGGCGGCCCGCGTCGTGGCCGCTCGGTCCCAACTGCGTCTGAAAGCTGGTGCTACGGTCATCGCGGGCTGGGTTGTTGATGACCCAAGGAGCACCCCAGGCGGGCGCGAGGTAGTTGCGGGGAAGGAAAGCGCTGCCGTTGACGTCGAAGAACTTGGCGTAGTGCAGCGGCGAGGCGGCGTGGAACTGATAGGCCTGAAGCAGGAGGTCGGCCACCGCGGGGCCGTGGCGCGCCAGGGCGGCAGAGCGCGCCTGCAGCTGGAACAGCTGTGCTGGCGGGATCATCGGGTACCGGATGGCGCGCAGCGCTCGCTCGGCCACGGCAGGCGACGGCCGAGCGCGGCCCAGCCACGCCTCCAGCGCGTGGAACAGCTCCAGCTCATCCTGCAGCACCAGGTCTGAGCGCTGCAGCAGCTGCGCCAGCAGCTCGGGGCTCACAGCGCCCCACTCGGCGCTACCCGCCACAGCAGACAAGTTCCAGGCCAGGAACTGCAGGCAGCTCTCGCGCAGGGCCTCGTCCCCGGTACTTACCGCGTAATGGTACCAGCCCACGGCGGGGCCTGCACCGCCTGCCAGGTGCGCGCGCATGTAGTCCGCCACGCCGCGCTGCAGCGGGGCCACGCCGTACTTGATGGCCAGCCGGTGCAGCGGGATGGCTTGGGCCAGCAGCACAGTTAGCTCACCGCAGTACAGGTACCTGCCAGAAAGGCGGAGCGGTGGGGAAGTGTCAGGTCAAACCCGTCCTTCCTCCAGGTCGCTCTCTGTGACCAAGGGTGAAAACAATACAGTGGGCCCTGTGGCTTCTGGTCATTCCCTCTTAGGCCCTTCCGGAGTGTTTCTACTTCCTGACTTCCTCTTTAGGTTTCCGGTAATGAAATAGATGGCACCTGCCACTGTGGAATTTATAGTCTGGGTTCAGAGCCATGTCCTCCCACGTATTCGCCAGGAGACTGAACTAGTTTAACTCTGATGACCTAAAGCTACCCATCTAAGAAAGGGTAACAGCCCGCCCCCATATTGTCACAATGGGAACAGAGTGAGTCGGTGGTCAGCACAAGGGCCCCTTTCCTTCTTTGTTAGGGGTCAGCTTGCTGTCTTCTAAGCCTCCCTCATCCCTTCTGCCAATCCTACTGGCACACAGCAGTCCTATTTTGTCTCTGTTCCTGTTGCCTGGAATTTGTGTGTCAGGCTCTGCCACCCGTCTGGCCGAAGGTGCTGGATCAGAATTACTTGCTTAAGCTGGAGTGTAAATGGTGAGGGGCAGGAAACTGGCTAACCTTTTTCAGCTCCCTAGCCCTGTGATTCCAAACCCCGGGCAGATATCAAAACCACATAGACCCTTTAAAATAAAAAATGCCTGTCCATCCCAGTCGTAGGCCAGACATCGACCATCCAGAGAGGGGCCCTGGAATCTGTGGTTTCTACAAGCTTCACTGACCAGGTTTGAAAGCTTGGAGGGAGCCTACATGGTATTACACTCTTGTAATCCCAGCACTTGGGAGGCGGAAGCAGGAGGATTGTCTCAAGTTCAAGACCAGCCCGGACTACAAAGTGAGCCCATGGCCAGCCGGAAGTGCATAGCGAGACCCTGTCTCAAAAAGACAAAAAAAGAAAAAAGTGCAGAGGGGCCACCATCTTGGGGAAGTGACCTGAGGCCATCCAGAGCACACAGCCAAAGGCAGGAAGCCACACTGCACGGTGCAAGAAGACAGTGGGAGAAGGGACAAAGGAGATGGTGTGCTGTTGTCCTGGTGACATGGGTGAACAGACATAATGATACTAAGGGCCAGGATGCTGTGGCCTCCTGATAGAGAGCCATATCCTGGGGAGGGGAGGGGGTGAAGCGCCCCCAGTTCTTCCCCTTCCTACCTGACAAACTTGTCGAAGACAGCCGCGCAATCTCGGGGCTCCTGCAGCACCACCTCACTCTGGTTGCTCAGCAGCTCGCGGAACAGCTCGCTGTGCAGCCCCAGCAGCAGGCGGTGGCTGTGGAAGACTCGAACCTCGTCGGTGCCTGTAGCCTGCACACGCAGGACCACGTCGCTGGCGTTGCCCTGCCGAAGCAGCTCCTGCAGGCGGTGGAGCAGCATCTGGGAGTGGTTGATGGAGACGCCCGCTGCCTCCCCGCCCAGGTCAGTTCTCTGTGCTGCAGCAGGAGGGACAGAACACAGCTGAGAAGTGGTCCAGGCCTTGGGCCTCTCTGTGGAGGGGTGCAGCAGAGACACGTGCGTGGGGGGCAGGGCAGAAGGGTCCAGGAAGGAGCTGTGTGTGTGCACCCATGTGTACCCTCGCTGTATACGGATGTTGAGGACATACACAGGCACGTTCTGGGTGGATGGGATATACCAATGCAGAGCCAAGAGGGTATTCCTGTGAGCAGGGAAGAGGAGCCTCTTGGGATGTTGAGGGAGATGTCACAGACCAACTCTGATCTCCACAGACAGCTGTCCATGAAGCCAGACAGGGGCCCTACTCACCCTGGCCAGACAAGGGCGGAGCCACTCTTGGTCCTTACCCTTTTGGTTACCTAGCAATTGTCTACCTGAACACTCAGAGGCGTTGTCCCAAGTGCCTCCTACATCCTGCACACTCTTCTAAGAGCCTGGAATTTGGCAGCAGACAAAATAAACCAACTCCTTATTTCTGTGAAAGCACAAATGAGCAGACCAGTGAGGTAATAAGTACGTAAATAGGCACCCTAGTTTTAAAGGAGGCATTCAAGAAGTGAACCCATGCAGGGGCAGGAGGACCAGGCCTGCAGAGGCAGGCTGTCCAGAGCAGTGAGTGGGAGAAAAGAGTTGAACAGAGGCTGGGTGACAGGGGAAGAGGAGAAGCTGGCTTCCAGGACTGCCCTCTGTTACTGGGTTCTGATCAATGAGACAGCTGGGAACCAAAGGAAGTCCCAAGGCCAAGCTGGTGCTGGAGTGGGGCCCTCCGGGGAACTGGGTGTCATAGATGGCATCCCTCTGCAGGCGGCCAAGCAGGGCTCTGCTCATGCTTCCTGAGACACATGTTGGTCACGTGGCAGGTACACACTTGGTCACAGAAAAGTCAAGGAGCGCTGCTGATGGGTTCCCGGAGCTGAGAGCAGTGTGAAGAGCATTGTAGAGGGAACCAGGAGGTGTCTGAGAGTGGCAGATGGGCACTGGCCACACACTCACTGTATGTGTACACATAAGCACGCACAAGCCATGGTGTAGGGACAGGTGGGAGGTGGCTCACACAAGAGCCAAGCATCTGTGAGACACGGAAAGCGAGGAGAAAGGGAGGGAGAGAGGTCGCGGGGGATTTCCTAGCCCCACCTCCCCAGCTGTCACTCTGAAGGACCTGAATGCTGATGGTGTCCCCATTCGGCCTCAGCCTGGGACAGTGGATAATGGAGGGTCTGCCCGTTGCTAAGATCCCTGCCCCTGCCGGGTCTCTCCACCCTGCCAAGGCAGGACACCCTCCTCCCTTCTGGGAGCTGTGACTGTGGCGATGTGGGGCGCTGTCCCAAGCTCTGCACACCCCCTTCTGGGCTGGCCATGTGCATGAGGCCTGGAAGGTCCCGCCCTGCCCCGCCCCCACGCTGCCCTGCACCCTCATTGTGCCCGCTGTCCACTCACCTGCACGAGTGACCAGGCCCACCAGGGCCAGAATGGCCCAGAAGCTGCCCCAGGACCCAGGTTTCCAGTGGCCTAGCCTAAGCATCTTTGTGCTTCACTCCCAAGTCCACTGGAGGGACAGTGATGGCCAGACCACTCTGAACGCATCCCTCCTCCTTATATAGGATCTCACACAGGGGACGGATCCCCCCTCCTGCCAGGCCTCCCTCCCCCACCCAGCCTCTGCCATGGATTGGTGGAAACTGGCCCCTGCTGTTGCCCGGGCAACCACTTAAGCCAGAGAGTGGCAGCCCCAAGGGCTATTGTGCTGTCCTGGGCCCCCAAGGGGAACAGATCCGGCACCCTCCTCCCCCACCACTCCTCACAGCTCAGCAAGGCTAACTGGTCCTCCCCTGGGATGTTTTAGGCTCCTTAAAGGTCAGGAAAGGAGCTTCAAGGCCACTATCAGACACCAGCACCAGGGCTCCCTGCCCCTCCCCCAGCCCCAGGCCCAGCTTCAGCCCCTGGCACAGAGCGCATTTGGCAGCATCGTGGCTGGAGCACCGTGGAGAGCCAGCTGCAAAGGCAGAGCCTGGAAGAGGAGAGAGAAGAGGCAACTCGGGCTCCCACCCCTCCCCCACTCCCGTTTTGGGAGGATTAGCTCTCCCAAAGGAGGACAAAGATCTGGAAAAGGGGTCAGTGGGGGACTGGACAGTGTTCATGGCCCTGTTGAAGAAGGCTCCTGGTGTACACTGCAGTGGGTGATGGGTCTGTAGGAAAGCGCCATGGGACCTGTGTCCATCTTGCTCCCCAGGGTCAAGGTTGTCCCACTTGACAGAAATGGACACACAGCAGAAGAAGTCTCCCATGTGCCATGGGCAGCACCCTGCCTGGGCAGGCCTGACCACCATCCAGCAGTAAACAGCCTGTCCCCCTACCCAGCCAGGCAGCGTGTGGACCTGAGCCAGAGACTGGGTACCCATCTGCCTTCCTTCCTTCCGTTAGGTTGACTCCCCCCAGTGGCTGAAGGTGTTGGGGTTCACCTGCTGGGAAGACTTCTTCACCAGCTTCTGTCTAATTTCCAACTGTTTCCTAGAGTTCTAAGGAGACATGAAGCAAACCCGGAACCCCACTGCACATGTAGGGAAACTGAGGCGGAGAGCCAGGTGACAGTCTCCATTGCACAGTGCAGAGGACAGTTCTTGTGAAAATGAAGATGTAGAGAGAGAAGGATGAAATCTAGAGCTGGGGGAGACAGAGAGAGACAGACAGACGTGTGTGTGCCCATAGGATGCTGGACGGGTCTCATCCCGTACCTCTGCATCTGCCTCAGCTCCTCAGGGGGTTGATGAACTGAAGTGGGCAGGGAATGGGTTGGTCCTTCCCTGTCCTTGCTGTCTGGATCCCAGAGCCCAGCTCAATCTATTGATTTCTGCCTCTGGCTATTGCACAGCGTCCCGACAGCTCCACCCCCTCTCTGGAGCCACAGGGAGAGCAAAAATTGGGTCTGGCAGCAGCCTCATCCGGGTTGGCAGAGTCGGAGCTGTCCAGCTCAGCAGAAACCCCTCCAGGCTGCCCTGACACTCACGCCTGGCCTCCTCCTCCGGATCCACCATCCCCTGCCCACTGGTGACCCGCCTGCCCTTTCCACAGGCTGTACCATTTCCTGGCTCACTCCAGAAAGAGCCACCATGCAACACAACAGCCTGGGGGCTTCCTAGCAACCATGCATGCTTGTCGATGGGAGTTATGGAGCTGAGAACCTGCTGCTCAGTGCATTGTCATTCTGTAGATGTATGTTAGCTCTTACTGTGACAAAATGCCTGAGGTAGACAACTTAAAAGCAAGAAAGGTTTATTTTAATGCATGGTTTCAGAGATTTTGGTCCATGGTTGCTTCGCCCTATAGCTTTGAGTCTGTAGTACATGAAGCAGCACATCATAGCAGAGTGCATGGCAGAGGGTTAGGGTTGAAACTCAGAGTGTGCCCCTAAACTGGGCATAGTGGTGTGTGCCTGTAATCACAGCATTCAGGAGGCTGACGCAAGAGGATCACTGTGAGTTTTGAGACCAGCCTGGACTATGTAGAGAGTTTAAAGGTAACCTAAACTACCCAGTAAGACCCTGTCTCAAAAAAAATGCACCCTTAAAAGCTCGTTATTTTGAGGATTTTGTTAGCAGTGAATGGATCATAAGGGCTTTCACTTCATCAAGTGGATTAATCCACTGATGTGTTCCTAGCTCAATGGGCCTATCGGGAGGTAGGGCCTAACACGAGGTGGTCGCTGGGCCATGGCTGTGTAGGGTATGACTTCTTTCCCTGCCCCTTCTCCTCTGGCTTTTCTCCTCCTCGCTACCACCTGATGCTTCTGCTTGGAGCCAGTCAGCCACGGACTGAAACTTTTGAAACCATGAATCAAAATAACATTTTCTGATTTAAACTGTCTTTCTCAAGTATTTGGTCACAGTAATCAAAAGTTAACTAATATAGAAAGAAATTACTCATTCTAGGTAACCAGGAAGCAAAGAGAGAGGGAGAGACAGGAGCCAGCTTCCCAGTACCTCCTTTTTTGGTGGGGGTGGGTATTGGGAGTTGAACTCAGGACCTCAAGCTAGCCAGGCAGTCAGTGCACCACTGAGCTGAATCCCTGGCTCCCAATACCTCATTTAAGAGCACTGCCACACGCTACTTCTTCCAACTGGGTCACCTCCCAAAGTTTCCACCAGCTGGGGACCAAGCCTTGCACACATGCACCTTTGGGAGACACCCCAGACCCAAATTGTGACAACACTCCTTCACTCCAGCCTCCTCCAGGGTCTGCCCCAGTCTCCCTGGAAACCCAGCCCTCCCGCACTAGAATCTCCATGCTCCACCTGGGAACCAGATGCTTAGGGGTGAGCCTGTGCATCTGTATTTTCTAGACACCCCAGGAAAATTTTTGTGGACACCGCAGCCTAAGCACCACCGACTAAAGTTAAGTGGGTGATACTGCAAGTGTGAGTGGGACTGGGAGGCTGCGGCCTGCCGGGAAAGGTCGCCTCTGATTCTTCACCTCCAAGAGGTCCCCTCGCGCTATCCTAGCCTCCCTCATCCTCACCCTCCTCTAAGGCTGCAGAAACTGTTTTCCCAAATAAAAGTGTCATATTGTTGTTTCTTAGTCCCAAGGTTGCTGCACTGCAAGGGGGCTTGTGCGTGTGCATGGCAGGTGTGTGTGTGTGTGTGTGTGTGTGTGTGTGTGTGTGTTAGGGCAGGTAAGGGGCAACAGGGTCTTCACCATCCAGTCTCTGGTAATGAATCTACAGCACCGTATTCCCTTCTGCCCTGTCAGAGGCTCTGTCATCCCTTGAAGCTGGAGAGTTGGCAGCACAGAGGCACAGCTCCTTGAAGGAAGCCCGACCACCTGTGACACCAGCCCATCTCATCTAAGCACCTTGTGTGAGGGTGACAGGAACTTGCAGAGCCAGGCTCAAGTGTCACCAAGTTGGCTGGGTGTTAGGCAACCCCGTGCTGGCTTTTCTGGGAAGCGGTTTCAGTCCTGATCAATCAATTCTCTTGTCCAGCAGAGTTGCTGTAACACTGTACAAGCAACCAGAGTCTCTCGGGCTTGGGCAGGAGGAGGAGCTCCTGAATCTGTAGCGGGCCGGGGTGATGGGACCCTAGGTAGTTGGAGCCCTGAGTAAGGAAGGGCCACAGACCAGCCCTGCCCTGCCCTGGCAGCCTCCTTACACCCGTGAGACTCCTGCCCCGGGCAAGGGTTCCAGTGAGGGGCTGCTGCGAGGATGGAAAGTGTAGGGACAGGCAGAGGAATGACCCGCCCTGCACTCCTACTCAGAGGTCACAGCTGGATTAAACCTGAGGCCAGGGCAGTGGTGGTGTACAACTGTAATCCCAGCGCTGAGAGACTCAGGAAGGAGGGTCACCATGAGTTCTAGAACAACCTGGACCACAGTGAGTTCAAGGCTGTCTCAGAACAAACAAAAACAAAATTTAAAAGGGCTGGGGATGTAGCTTAGTGTCAAGGCCCTGGATTCAATTCCTAGGTTAATGTGTGCTGCTGTAGTTTGGTTGTTGTTTGTTTTGTTATTTTTTGGCTTTTTGAGGCAAGGTCTCACTATGCAATCCAGGCTGGCCTCGAGCTCACTATGTAGCCCAGGCTGACTCCTGACTTGCAGGGATCCTCCTGCCTCAGCCTCCCGAGTACTGGCATTACAGGTGTGTACCACCATTCCTGGCTCCATCCTATAGCTGATAACATCTTCCTCCATCCAGGTTGGCTCAAAAGTGTCTGCCTCGCCTGCCCACTCTTGTCACTGACACTGGCACCACTCTGGAAAGAACCACCCCCACCAAGAAGGGTCCTCTGGGTGTGCTGTCTATGGGTCCCATGAGGATGGCCCTGTCCTTGCCATCACCCATGCCCATTCGGACACAGCGGCTGCCCTGTCCATTCTGTGGCAGCACTGGTGTCCATTGAGCTATGGACGCTCTGGCTCTGGCTCTCACATCATGGAGCCCAACACTACTCATGCACGTTATAATGTTGCCCATGGTGTGCAGAGATCTCGGAGCCACACACTCCCAGGACAGCACCGCCATCCTGGCCTCAGGGGCATTTCCTGCGCACGGTGCTTCTCTGCTCAGCCTCAGACACTGGGATCCTCCCAGTCCGTGTGGGGAGGCAGCACCTCTGAGAGGCCCATCAGAGGATCCTGCGGGTGCCTCTGGCTGCACCCCAGGACAGGGCACTGCAGGCCTGGACCCGTGGGCAGAGCTGCTAGGCTGGCTGAAGGCATGCATGCAGAGGCAAATGGAGCCTCAGTGTTCTGGGCCAAAGGCGATGCACTCTGTCTAGAGAACACTTAGGCTTTCCAGTAAGAGACTCACTCGTTCTGCAAAGCAAGGTGTAGGCACAGGGTAGGGAGCCCTGCCTGCCTCAGACACAGCAGGTCTTTCCAGTCCTGAAGGGGGCTGTGCCGCAGATTCACTCCTGGCCTCAGGACAAAGGGAGGAAGCCACCTGAGGAGTTGTCTGTGCTTTCCAGGGCTGGGTCCAGCACACCCTCCAAGGTCCTGTGCTAAAAGGATAGTGCCTGCCTTCCCTGGTCCCCTAGTGCTGCCCAGGGCCTTGGCTCAAGGCAGAGAGACCTCAGAGGCTTGCAGGATCTGGCCGTGGCCACTGAGGGACAGCAAGGCCCTGGCTGTAAGTGCCAAGATGGAAGTTGGGGTCAAGGTGGGTTGGCTCCATTCCCAAACGCGCATGCGTCCTAATTTAGGAGCCAGGGAACACCTCACATTCCCAGGGAGTGGGCCTCTGCCTGATGCCCAGGCTGCCCCCTGGGTGGTGCCTGTGTCCTGGTGCTGGTATTGGGCTGCTGTGGTCACACTGTCCCTCTGGGGAGGGCTCTGCTAGGAGCAGATTCCAGCCTCAGCACCCTGCGGCACCAGCTGGCGCTTATTTGCCAGGGACTGATATTCTTGAGGGATGCTCTATTTCACAGGGGCCAGGAAAACAACAGCTTGTGGGCCAGAGGTCCTGGTTTCCCAAGCCACCAGCAGCTTGGCCAGGCTTTTCCTGGGTGGGAGGGGACAGCGTTCCCACCTCTGCACCAGGGCTTTCTGCCATCATCCTGGTCAGCAGTCACTTGGAGGAGCCTCAGGCTTATCTCCACCTGTGGTGCTGCCCCTTTGAACCTGACCCCTCGGGCTCTCAAGGAATCTGGCCCCTGACCCAAAAGTGGCAGCCTTGCCACCCCCACCTGGCTCCACTTCCCATCTCTTGGGTGGGGTGTCCTCCTTTCCCGGCCAGCAAGGGCCTCTCAGAGTGTCCGTGCCCTAGGGGGCTCCCTGAATCCTCCTGCCCTTTCCAAAGTCTCACCCACCAGGGCATGGCTGCTCCTGCTGAACAGACCAGGCTGCAGGTGCCCTGGACCTGGACTTGGCTTTCCTGCCTCTTCGCTGCCCTCTGCGTGGGCACAGGCCCCTCAGACCCACCCCAGGCCCAGTCTTTCTCCATCAGAGCCCTGACTCAGCCCTCCTCCACCCGGCTTTGGTCTGATGGGACCCACTTGGTCTCATTCCCTGAGCCTTCGCCCCACCCTCTCCTTCCTCCTCCTCCCTTCCCCAACCCCCACTCTCTGCATTAACATGCTCAGTGCTGCTGGAAGAATCGTGGGGCAAACACCTGCTTGGAGAGCAGGGTGAGGGGGACAGCTGGAGATGTTGGGAGGAGGCTGTGGAGACCTCCGGGAAGAACCACTGGCGACCTGGGGCTCAGGACCCAGGAGCATGGGGCTCGAGACCGGTAAAGTATCTTGAAATGGTGGGGTGGGGGCCACAGGCGAGGGACCTAGAGGTTGGGAGCTGGGAGTGTGAGGTTGATAATGAATGGGCTGTGAGATGGGATCCTGAAGTTTATTTAGCTGGGGGCTGGGGACCCCATCTTCAGCAGGAAATCAGAAGCTAGAAATTAAAACCTAAAGAGAATTAAAATGTAGTTTGAGGAGGGCAGAGGCTGAAGCTGGTGGAGAGTCCTCACCCCGGACCAGCCACAGCCAGCTGTGTCTCCTCACCCCTGGGGACTCAGTTTCCCCACCCAAAAGAGAGTAGACCATTCCAGCTTCAGCGGTGCTGCCCAGGGAAGGGATGCTCTTAGGCTTAGGAAAGAGGAGAACCTAGTAACAGTCACTTCTGAGAGAGGAGGCAGTTGCCGCTGTGGGGGGCAGTGCAGCTGCTGGGAGCCACCCAGGGTCAGTCACTAGGCGCAGTTCTTAAAGGCACAGGAGATGAAGACCTCAGGCAGCAGCACAGTCCCCACCACCAAGGGCTGCTTCCCGTCAGTGGGGGAGGGGGCCACATAAGTTGGGGTGGGATGGAGTTTTCATGGGACAGAAATTGCCATATGGCCGGGTCTCTCCTAGGGGTCCGCAAGGAGCAGGGCTGAACACAAAGATCTCAGGGTCACGCTGAGGCTACCTCAAGCCCAGCTGGAGAGAGGATGCGTAAGCCAACCCTATCCTTCTGCCCTTCCTAGCTGGCCAGCCATCCGTGACCCTGCTGCCCACACCCAACTCGAGTGGCCTGGGTGAGGAATTTGAAGGGCCCTGGCCAGAGAGGTCACCGTGTGTGGCTGGTATCATCCCTGTCATCTACTACAGTGTCCTGCTGGGCCTGGGGCTGCCTGGTGAGTAGGGCGCTAGAGTCTGGGGTCTCAGGCTTGGCCAGAGCACCAATCTTCTGTGCTGGACCCTGGGGCCCAGGGTCATAGATTCCAGCTCTCCTCTTGGCATCCTGGGGCACTGGGCAGTAAAAAGCAGAGGGGAGTCAAAGTGAGGGGCCAGCCTGGGCATGATGGGCACATATGTATAAGCTTAGCACCCAGCGGGCAGAGGCAGGAGGATTGCTTCGAGTTTGAGGCCAGCCTGGACTGCATAACAATACCCTGTGGCAAAAGAACAATAAAAAAGGACAGGGTTTCTGGCTCTGCCTTCTCTGGCTCTCCCCAAGCCTGGTAGATAAACCAGTGCCTGTGTTCAGGGAAGCTTCTCCCCAGGGACACTGAGCACCTGATGATGAGCTGGGGGGACAGGTGGACCACAGCTGGGGGTCTGGATGGACAGGGTGACACTGACGTGCTTAGGGTTTGCGAAGTGAGTTGTTTTAGTGGTTTGGTTTGCCAAACCCCAGCCAGCTAGAAGAGTTTAAGAAGGATCTGGACAGAGGGGAAGAGAAGCCAGTACTGGCAGCTGGGGAGGACAATGAGACAGTAGGAGGCTGACTCTGAGGCTCCCTGCTGATACTTCTCATCTCTCTCCGTGACCTTGGTCACCATCAGTCAACCTCCTGACCACAGTGGCCTTGGCCCGGCTTGCCACCAGGACCAGGAAGCCTTCTTACTACTACCTCCTGGCGCTCACGGCCTCGGATATCGTCACCCAGGTGGTCATCGTGTTTGTGGGCTTCCTCCTGCAGGGCGCCGTGCTGGCCCGCAGGGTCCCCCAGGCTGTGGTGCGCACGGCCAACATCCTGGAGTTCGCTGCCAACCACGCCTCCGTATGGATCGCTGTCCTGCTCACAGCTGACCGATACAAAGCCCTGTGCCACCCCCTGCACCACCGGGTCACATCGTCCCCTGGCCAGACCCGCCAGGCCATTGGCGCTGTCCTCAGTGCGGCTCTGCTGACCGGCATTCCTTTCTACTGGTGGCTGGATGTGTGGAGGGATGCAGACCTGCCTAGCGTGCTGGACGAGGTCCTCAAGTGGGCTCACTGCCTCCTCGTCTACTTCATCCCCTGTGGCATCTTCCTGGTCACCAACTCAGTCATCATCTTCCGACTGCGAAGGAGAGGCTGGAGCGGGCTGCGGCCTAGGGTGGGCAAGAGCACGGCCATCCTGCTGGGTGTCACCTCGCTCTTCACCCTCCTTTGGGCCCCTCGGACCTTCGTCATGCTCTACCACCTGTATGTGGCCCCAGTCCACCGGGACTGGAGGGTGCATCTGGCCTTGGATGTGGCCAACATGGTGGCCATGCTCAACACAGTGGTCAACTTTGGCCTCTACTGCTTCTTCAGCAAGACCTTCCGGGCCACTGTCCACCAGGTGATCCACAGTGTGCCCCTGCCCTGCACCCCAAGGTCACGGCTGAAAGGGGCAGTGGTGGACCCTGTGCTACTGAAGCCCTTAGGACTCTCCAGAAGGGCAGAACTATAGAGGAGGGGCCGAGCCAGGGTGTTTGGGGGGCTCAGGGACACATGTCCTGGGACCCTCAGGATTGTGCCCAACGAATCAGTGACCTCCTTCAGTGTCATCTAGGGCTCCTTCGGGGCTGGCTCTCAGGTGGAGAGAACAATTCGGCCAGCCCTTAGGTGAGCTTCACTTCCCACTTCCTGGGGAAGGGGCGGGGCCCTGCGGGCACAGGCTGGGGTAACAACCGCGGTGGGCGTCCTTCTGTGAGGGGTGTTGGGCTGGCACAGGCTCAGTGCTGCTTTTGGTTGAATTAATGAAAGAACAAATGAATGAAGTGATGGACAGACATGAACCATCTTCAGCCCAGCCCCTTTCTTGGTGTCTGCTTCTCATTCCCTGAATTGTCAGCACCTCTAGCTTCCAGGGTCAGTGCTGGGGTTTGAAAAGGAAGCTGTCTGTGAGTGTCTAGCAATGGGAGTGCTAGGCAGACTGAGTCCCAGAGAGTGTCAGAGGGAGTGGCCTTTGGACAGACTGAACGCCCCAGCCTGCCTCAGCAGTCCCGGGGAGACATCATTCCCTAGGTCTCAAACATCCTGGTCTGATTTTACAGCCCAAGAACCAGTGCAGGTCTGGGGACCAGAAGAGGCTCCAGGGCAGCAGTTGTTGCCACTGAGGAGAAAGGAAGTAGCCTCTCAGCTCAGGACCTGAGGGACGACTTAGCTAAGGGTGCCCCCAGCCGCCAAGCCTCTGGGGAGTCCTCTAAGCCTACCCTGGAAGAAGAAGTTCTTTCCCTTCCAGCTAGGCGTAAATGGGTGGCTGGCGTGGGGTGGAGGTCTCTGCTTGGCCCCTCCCCAGCCTCTCCAGGGCCCTCGCCTCTCAGCTGCAGCCCTGGGGAGGCAGCTGCCAGGGCCCAGCAGATGGAACTCCCACCTGCTCCAGCCTTCGGTAAACACATTAGCCGCAGGAGCAGGGTCCTTTCTGCTTCCCGGTCAGGCTGAGCTGACCTTTTCTCTGAATAGGAGGCCCAGGCCCGCCCCACCCACCCACCCACCCAGTGGTGTGACAGACAAAGAAACTGGTGGGTGCACGCACACACTTGGTGCACAATGAATGCCCTGGCTTTCCCCTTACCTCTCTACCTCTCCCCAGAGTGGGGATGGAAGCTCTGAAAACCAAACCTTTGTCCCCACCTGTACCACAAACACATGGAGGGCGACAGCTGAGCTGAGCTGATGTCATCCCGTGTGTGACTGTGCAGAAGAGCTGCTCTAGGCTGCCTGGGGGTGGTACCCTGCAGCCCCCACCCAGCTAGAATGGGGACCTGAAGCCCAGCTTAAGCCGAGGGGCACTTTTCTCTGTTCTGGACTACTCTACCCTCTGAGGCATCAGGCACCGTGCAGAATGGATTGGGACAAAACAAAGATAAAACCAGGTTGGGACTTTAAGCCAGCACTTCTGCTATGAGGTCTTGGCTGCCCCCTGTGGAAGCAGAGCATGGGGCGGGGGGTGCGTGTCCCCCACTGTCCTCTCTCACAGTTCCCATTGCATGGTGACTGGAGCAAAGGACGCTCCTGGGCTCCAGTCTTTGCTGAAGGAGGAAGGGATACAAGTGCTGTCCTCGGGAAGCTGGAGCCTGTGGGCTGGTCAGGGGCCAAGTCCACCCTGCACAAGGAGGCCCAGGGAAGAAAGCAAAGTGCCTCTGATGCAGACCAGAGGGACTGTGGGGGAGGGACCTCCCACTGTGTGACAAATCTACAGGGATTCTGCAGGAGAGTTAAGAGTTGGGAAGGGCGACTTCACGGCCAGGAACTGCACTTGGGGCCAGACCAGGGGGTCAGACCAGTGACAGGATGCCTGCTGTAGCTGGCTGGTGGGCCACCCCTGGGAGACCAAAGCAGAAAGATCTGCTCCCTTGTCCCTGAGCACCGTGAAACCAGAAACTCAACAACTCTGGATGGGTGGGTGGAGGGGTGTGGCACTCTTGAAGTAGAATTTTTATGCAGGTGGGGACTCAAACCACCGAAACTCCCGTGTTGGCGCTAATGTGACCTCACTTGTACACGTGGACCTGGTGACATCAGTGTTTCCAGACAGCTGTATACTGACTATTGTAACCATTTCACAGGCTGAGGAAACTGAGGCACAGGGAGGTGAAATGGTGTGCACATCCCCCCAGAGCTGGTCAAGAGCAAGGCAAGACGCCAACCAGATGTGCGGGGCCCTGGTCCACCCTCCTGGTCTCACATGCTCGTGAGCCTACAGCTCTCCATCCCTGGGCTCATCTGATTTGAGGAACCAAAAGCATGTCTCCTCATATGACAAATTAGCTGCTCTGTGTGGTGGCAGGAGCCTGTTCTCCCAGGCACTTGGGGAGCTGAGATGTGGCCCAGGAGTTCAAGACCAGTCTGAGCAACACAGCAAGACCCTATCTCAACGTAAATAAATGAAATGCATTAGGTAGCTTTTCCTTTTTAACGTTTTTGTAATCTTTTATAAATGCAGACGTTATCACTTTGGTAAGCAAGTCATTTAAATGTGTTTTAATCAGCTGTTGTTGCTCCCTAATGCATTTTTCTTGTTAAACCTTTAATGGGCTTCTAGAGGACAGGAAGGACCAGAGGTTTCAGTTTATCCTTCTCTCCTTCCCCCTGGACCCCCCTCCCACACACACATCTGCTGAAATATCTGACCTCATGTAAATCTGTCTTGAAGTCCTAAGGTCCTCGCTTACAGTTCCCAGTGCACAGTGACTGATTTGCCGGTCCCTCTTACTCTGTCATTAGCCCTTCGTTCACATTGGGACAGCTACTTGTCACAGGTCTCTCGTTCTTTACAAGCCTATGCATCACTTTGTTGGTTTGGCAAACTGTTTTCTAGACTCCCTGTACATGCATTTTCTATGGCAGCTGTCGCCTTAAACTATAGATATGTATTTCTTCATGGCTGTGGAAGCCCAAGTCCCAGAATACGGTGTCAGCAGGTCAGGTCTCTGCTGAGGCCTGTCCCTTTGGCTTGCAGATGGCCAGATGCTTGCTGTGTGCTCCCCATTGTCTCTCGGACACCAGGCAGACAATGGGTGCCATCTGGATAGCTTCATTTTAACCTAAAGGACTATGACCAGATACAATAACATTTATCTTCTTTTTTTTCTTTTTTGCAGTACCGGGGATTGAACTCACAACCTCACACTTGCCAGGCAGGCGCTTATGCCATTGAGCTAAATCCCTGGCCTGATATAATAACATTTTGAGGTACTAGCATTTAAAGCTTCAACACGCAAATTTGGAGGACACAGTCCAGCCCATAGCACTATGGTGAAATTGTTAGTTTGACTGCAAATCCAGTCTTCGGTGAAAGTCACTTTTGGTAGCTTAGAATGGAATAGCCCCCGCCAGTCTCTTCTCCCTGCTCGGCTTGATGAGGTTCACAGGCAGTCTTTTCAATTCCACAGTGAGAGTGTCTTTCAGCCCCTCTCTCTCCCTCTCTCTCTCTTTCTCATTTTTTTCTGCAGTACTGAGGATTGAACCCAGGGCTTCTTCGTGAAGTTATGTCCCCAGCCCTTTTATTTTTTATTTCAGACAGGGTCTCACTAAGCTAAGATGCCCAATCTGGGCTCAAATGTGATCTTCCTGCCTCTACCACTCAGAGTGTTAGGCATGCACCATCATGCATCTCTCTCTCTTTTGTTTTGGTACCAGAAATTGAACTCAGGACCTTGTGCTTGCCAGGCAGGTGCTGCACCACTGAGCTAATCCCTGCCCCTCTCTCTGTCTTTCTTAAGAGATAGGGTCTCACTGTGTTACCCAGGATGGCCTCCAACTCCTGGGCTTAGTGATCCTCCTGCCTCAGCCTCCTGAGTAAGTGAGACTGCAGCCTCTGTTTTCTCAACCAAAGCCTGAGCTCCCAGGCCCCCTTCCCCCGTGCCTTTCTTGTTTATTCTCGGGCTGGTGCTCTTACTCCATCTCCCAGAGTTCCTCAGCTCCCTTTGTTGGTTGCACCCCCAGCCGCATTTCTCGGCTGAGTTGGCTGATTAGGGGCACACGGCTCCCCTGCATCACCGATGCACCTATGCTCATCAGTGCTTCCTCCTCTTCTCTAGGTCCAGCAGCATCCACCACTGCTCCCCACAAGGTGTGGCCTCTGCCCTTGTGCCTTCAGTTTACTTGAGCTTCCTCTTCAGGAGGATTCCACTCTCTCTTTTGCCTCTTTTGTTTTGGTCTTAGTATGTTTTCTGCTGTTATAACAAAACACCTGAGGCCAGGTGACTTTTCGAAGAGAAAGGTCTGCTCTCTGTGTGTGGTGCACTTGCCTGAGGTCTCAGCTACTTGGGAAGCTGATGGAGGAAGATCACAAATTCAAACCCAGCCTGGGCAACTTAGCCAGACCCTGTCTCAAAATGAAATAGCAATGACGGGCTGGGGGATAGCTCAGGTGGGGTACTACGAGGTCAGTCACACAATACCATTAACATACGACTTTGGGGATTAAGTTTTCTACACATGAACTTTTGGGAGTCCCATTCCAAACAGAATGGCCCAAAAAGGGGAGAGTAGGCTTATCAGGTAAATGGGACTCACAGCAGCCTACATCCGGCACCAAGGTGTGTCACAGGAGCGACCCCAGTTATGAGGAGAGGCCAGGGTCCCTTCCTCCTAGAAAGCATGTCCAGACAGTGGCAGGATGGGGAGGGGAAGTGGGACTGACACAGGCATCAGGCTTCCGGAGAGATGGCAAGGGATCTGTTCACTGCCCTGGCCAAGGAGAGGGGGCCCTGATGCCAGGACTGTAGCTTCTGAATCAACCATGGAGCCCTCGGAATACCAGGCCCCATGCGTGCTGGCAGGGACCCTGGGAACGCCCCTCCTGCTTCCGAGGGCCTGGCAGGTCTGGTGGCGCTGGCCCTGTGGGTGGACAGCAGAGGGCGCTGCAGGGTGGCCGAGTGGATGACCAGGGCCGCAGTGGGAGAGGAAGCCTCTAACCACGCTTGCAGGAGCCCAGTGATGGCCAAGAAGCCGCTCCTGCTCCGGCCCACGCCCAGCGGGGGCTCACGGGGAGGGAAATCTTGGCTGCCCCCATCACCACGTCCCCACCCTGAGCCACGTTCACCACATGGGCTTGGCCAGCCACAGGGTGGGGGCCGCAGGTCCCTGTGGCTTGCCCACACCGCTCTGGTAGTTTCCTGCATCCGAGGTGTGAAGGCCCTTTCATCACTCTCTCCGCTGCCACCCGCAGGCTTCAGCCTCCTCCTGGCCTGCAGCCTGCTGCTCTTGCCCCCCACCTCCAAACCGTTCGGTCAGTGACTCTGGGCCTCTGCTTGTCCTACCCCAGGCCATTTCTACCCAGAAGGCGCTCACAGCCTGGTGGCTTAGGCCCTGGCAG